CTGAACCTTCATTTTTGCAGGCTACCTATATAAAGAAGTCCCTGACCTTGCTTCCCTCAAGCCAGTCTCCTTCCTTCCTTCCCACCGACACCTCACACAACTCCACCAGCGTGCAGGGAGTCCCCTACCCTTCGCCTCCACGTCCTTAACCCGTTTCGTAGCAATACGTGACGACACAGCGACTCGCAACCATTATGGATTCCGCTAAGAGCACCCCAGTCGAGCCAGCCCACAAAGGCATCCTTAGAGACGAGACAGTAATGCTCCGATGGATTTTTGGTTATTGCCGTAACGCTCAGCTAATCAATGGCATGAGTTGGCCTGACATACCGCGGACATCTGCCCCACGCGGCTTTAATTCAGACATCAAAGATCTAGGATTTCTCAGCATTGATGTTGATCATTTCAGAGTTGAAGATGGTGTAATCCAACGAGTCAAGGTTGGTGTATCTTACCTCACTGTACACGCACTACAAAACTTACATGGCAAATGTACGCAAGGTGATGACTTGGCGTCCCGTCTTATTAAATCTCGTCATTGGGTGTTTGACTCCAAAGGTGCATTCTCATCGTATAGTCATCATTTCTTATTCGGCAAAGCAATGGCGATAAAGATAACGGACTTGGGAACGTCCCTAAAAAGATTCACCAGGAAGCCCTATGTTCTTGTTGTTCACGGGGCAATGCAAGAGCTTTCGCTGCTTTCGTTGTTGAACATAAAGCTTGAACCCGTGTTCGTTATCGACACCGTCAAAGCAGCTCAGTTTCCGCTGCAATTGTGGTATAGAAACACCCTCAAGGAGCTGCTGGAGAAGTTTGAGATTCCCTACTCGCAACTTCATGTAGCTGGGAACGATGCACATCTCACGCTTCGGGTGCTTCTCATGATAGCTGTCAGAGACGCTGAGATTCATTTGGAAGGGAAGAATCTCCCTGACTGGATTCCGATCTTGAAAGCTGTTGCCCAGTCTCCGTTACCCCCAAGACCCCCGACCAAGCGCGAGCTAGCCGCTATAGCTGAAGCAGAAGCCGAGCGACATACAACGATCGAAGCAAAAGAAGTATAACCTTGGATAGTCGCTGCTTGACTGATGCGAATGGACAAGTTGGGCAGGAAGTAATTAGCTGAGGCTGAAAATGGGTTATTACGCAGAAGGGTCTTGGGGGAAATGTTAGACAGAGAAAGTGCCTCCTCTTGTAAGACATACATAAAGAATAAACTCTGGCTGTGGTTGGTCGTTATCGTGAAGCGCAAACCTGCTGTCAGGATATCAGAATAATTAGTTGTCTAGAGTGTAAGAGACAAAATAATACAATCACCTTAGATTATGTTAGACTGCTACTTTATTTTAGTAGGCTAAACCTTAGAGAACATCTTTTCTGTTACCCACCTAGCCTACGTTTTGGGCAGTCACTTGGTTCCATTTTGTGAGTTTAAGTCTATTAGGTATAAGACGGCTTGATCAAAGGATAGATAGAGAGATTCATTATCAACAGATCCAGGCTAGAACGTCTTGCTCATAATGTAGTAGAGATCTAACCACTTTTCTACATATATATCAGGTATTAGTTGGTCGACTCACATCGAACTCCGCTACAATAACTGCCTCAACAGTTATCATCTTCCGTAGTATAGTGGTCAGTATGCAAGCTTGTCACGCTTGAGACCCGGGTTCAATTCCCGGCGGGAGAGTTCCAGCCATCTGCGATACGCAGACTTTATTTTTTCCTCATCATGACTTTTTTTTGATGCCTCTTGTGTATTCTTTTGTTGGTTGCATTGAAGGAAGCCATGCATGTGCTGACTGCTGACTGGCTGGCGTCTAGCGCGTCTAAGCCGCGGCTGATCTTGGCGCGACCCGCAATGTTAACTCAGGCAACCCATCTTGGACATTTGTTAATCAAACACGATCTTACATATCGTTTCGACTTGTCGCGTATCTCGAAAAACAACTCTATCGACCCGATTATATAACAAAGTGCATGGCCGAGAGAAAGCAACCGAACGGAACGGGGGCTGGGAACGGACAAGTGACCATGTCCGAATACAAGAAGGCGCAAGCCCGAGTTCGGGATCTGGTTGAGAAGCGTAGAATGCTGGAGCGACGCTTGGTGGGTGCAACTCAGATTCGCTCAGCGGGAATATGCTGACTTGTCCATAGACGCAAGTCGAAGATGGAATCGCCCAGAAAGAGACCAACTACCTCGACAGCACACCGAGCGGCAACATCATCACAGGTTTCGACAACTATATGAAGGGTATGAGCGGCGCGGCAGCGCAGCGACGAAAGGCTGGACCGATGGAGCAGAACCGGGTCTTTTCGCGATCATCCATCTCATACCGACCGAACAACTTAGTAAGCGAAGCATTGTCGGTTCAGTCACAAGAATGCGACACTAACTATATTTTAGGAGGGCATCACGCCAGGATCAGGAGGGTCAACACCAGCTGGCGCGACACCATCATCTGCGGCTTTCCGAGACGGACCCTCGAACCATCCCACACCGACGTCTACAACAGCGGCTAAGAACGCCAGCAAGACCAAGAAGAAGACTGTTGAGCCTGAGGATAGCGAAAACGATACATCGACGAGTAAGAAGCGAACAAACTTTGGAGCGCAGCGCAAGTAGGATACCTGTAATGATACACTGTGTAATGGGACGGGGCGTTATAAACAAGAAGTGCTATGGAAGCATGGTATGGATGGCGTTAGGTAATGCAGTAGAATAAATTCCTTCCTTGGGTTCTTTAAGGTTGTTTATTGTATAAAGGTGCCTTGTCGTCTAATGTGGCATGGGGCTCGACTGTAGACTGGGTGTTGTATGCACTCATACAGGTGGCTCGGAAGACCATTTATACCTGGAATGCTCTCCTGAGATATGATTCGGGAGAGATGGCGTGCCACGAGTTAACGGAGTGACGATTAGGAGTTGTGATGCTGTGTCGCACCCCAATGCCAACAATAGGTACTCTGTACTCGGTCATTACTGTGAAAGTAAAGCAGAGCTGGCAACACAGGCTGAGCATGGCTGAGCCAACAAGGTTCAATTGAGGTTGGATATGTGCCCCAGTTAAGTTAATGAGCTAAGGCGAGACTATGGGTGAGCTGACGTCTTATAAGGCTTATTTACTGTAGCTATCCCCCAGGAGACATGGGCCATTCTATGCGGGGTCTAAGTGGAAGATGAATGTGAATGATCATGATGGTGTTGTCGAGATGGGATGTTGCTGGACAATCGATGAGAAAAGAATTGGGGGATACACAGTATAGGTTATTTGATAGTAAACCCTGGTGTTGTTGATCTTTCTTTGGGTATAGTGAAAGTTAAAAAGTACCATGATAAAGGAAGGTAGCACGAGCGGTGGGTTCAAACGGAAGTGAGGGGCCGGGCGGGCAGCAGGTCGTGACGGGAGAGAGTAAGGTAGGTGCGAGAGGGGGAGGCATAGGTACGAGCACAGGCGCATACCTCGCCTAGACCCTGTTGTACGATGAATGTAAACACTAGGTTCTTGAACCTCCTCTTTCCAACAACAACTTTCGTTACTCTACTACAATTATCCTCAGTCCAATTCAGTCAAAAATAACCATCATTCATTCGTAACACCATCTTAAAGATGACAAGACAGGCCTCCCGCTTCACCCCCGAGGTGATGCTTTCGGCCCCGCGCCGTTCTCCCGGCGCTCCCAACTCCACCGGCGAGCTCATTCTCTATACTGTAAGTTGGCATATCAATTATTCATTGAAGGCGCTACTTACACAGACAGATCTCGACGTATTCATTCGAGACACATTCCGTGTCGTCACAGATTCGTGTACTCAATATCAAGGATGACTCTTCTCATGTCATCACCGACGACACGCATGATACCTCTCCTTTCTGGATCGGGGAGAAAGAAGTTGCTTTCATCAGGACACAAGATAATGGCATATCATCGCTATACTATTCGGACGTTTCGCGAAAATTCGAGTAAGAGCATGCCAGGCACGAATGACTGGTTCAATTGGATGCTAACACTCACAACCTAGGCCTCGCATGATTCAATATTTCCCTGGAGGTATCTCTGACCCAAAGGTCAAAATCCTGTCGGAAGACAAGGTCTTGGTTGTTTGCTCCTCTCTAACCACGCCCAAGGGGGACATGTATTGGCAAGCAGCTCAGCCCAAGACCTATACTTCAGCCAAAATCTATACCGGCCTATTCGTTCGCCATTGGGATAAATGGACTACCGAGAATCGGAACTCACTCTGGTATGGTGTGCTCAGCAAGAAGGATGATAAGTGGAAACTTGAGAATTCTAGCCTCACCAACCTCTTGGAAGGTACTCAGCTAAGCTGTCCTGTCGCTCCCTTCGGTGGTGCGGGGGATTTTGACATTTGCGAAAATGGGATTGCTTTCGTTTCCAAGGATCCCGACCTGAACCCAGCCCGATACACCAAGACCGATCTTTACTATGTACCCATCAAATCTTGGACGGAGAAGGCACCAAAGCCCCAGATCATTAAGACCGGACGGCTACGGGGATACAGCAGCACGCCAGTTTTTTCCAACGACGGAAAGAAGCTCGCATTCGCGAGAATGAAGAGCCAGCAATACGAGTCTGACAAGCCGAGACTGTTGCTAATTCCAGATGTTACCGACTTGAGTAATGTTCAAGAGTTTTACCAGACAGATGATGACGAGGGTGGCTGGGACTTGAGACCTGACTGGGTTATCTGGAAAAAGGACGACAAGGAGTTATATGTCGCTGCTGAGAAGCATGGGCGATCGATGCTCTGGAAGCTGCCAGCTGACACCCTCAAAGCCCGGGATCTCCCTGAACCTATCCACGAAGATGACTCTGTCTTGGTAGCACACACTCTGGCTAACAGTGACTCTCTTCTTATTACAACCCGATCGCGCGTAGAAAGCTCGAGCTACGGTATTCTTGACCCCGAGTCCAAGTCAGTTAAGGTGATCTCAGCCAGTTCTAAGAATGGTAAGACCTTCGGCCTCTCCAAGTCTCAGGCTACGGAAATCTGGTACCCCGGATCGGCTGGTTACGACAATCATGCTCTGGTAATGCTCCCTTCGGACTTCGACAAGTCCAAGAAGTATCCATTGGCTTTCTTGATCCATGGCGGACCTCAGTCAGCTTGGACGGATGATTGGAGCACTCGCTGGAACCCTGCCATCTTTGCTGAGCAAGGCTATGTGGCAGTGTGCCCCAACCCGACAGGCAGCACTGGGTACGGACAAGCTCATGTTGATGCAATTGCTGAGAACTGGGGAGGTGCCCCTTATAATGACCTGGTAAAGTGTTTCGAGTACCTGGAGAAGCACGTCGACTATGTAGACACCGATCGAGCAGTTGCGTTGGGGGCTTCTTACGGCGGATATATGATCAGTGAGTGTCGATGTTCTCATTAGGAAGCTGTGCAGTGTGCTAACATGGGGTTAGATTGGATTCAGGGTCATGACCTAGGACGAAGGTTCAAGGCCTTGGTATGCCACGATGGTGTCTTTTCGACACAGAGCCAGTGGTCTACAGAAGAGCTCTTCTTCCCCGAGCACGACTTTGGCGGAACACTCTGGGATAACCGTGCTGGATATGAGAAGTGGGATCCCTCTCTGCACACTGGAAACTGGGCCACCCCTCAGCTGGTAAGAAAGTCGGGAAGTGATTGCGTGAACGAATTTTAACCGAATTCTAGGTCATTCATAACGAACTCGACTACCGACTGCCTATTTCAGAAGGCTTGGCCATGTTCAATGTTCTGCAGGCCCGCGAAGTGCCCAGCAAGTTTGTCATGTTTCCCGATGAGAACCACGTAAGTACAACACAATAGATTTATTTAGGCCAACCACTCGCTAACCATGTATGCAGTGGGTGCTTAAGGCTGAGAACTCTCTTGTCTGGCACAGAGAGGTTCTAGGATGGATTAACAAATACAGTGGTATTTCTGACGAGGAAATACTGGTGGACGAGACTAAGGAGATGTCCGTATAGCTGCAGCTGGTCCGAATAGGAGCACGATTTTGAACTCGATTATTGAAGGGGGGTTGTACCGTTGAATTCATAGCTTGAGTTGGCACTTGATTATAAGATAGCTTCTAGCGCAGCATGATAATAACATGCTATCACTTTCAGGTTTTAGCGAGACCTCAACACCATAAAGCTCCCAGTCAGTGGCTTCAAGCAGGTTATTGTATTGTTCTGCTCATCGCATGTTATCTGTGTCAGTCTCGCTCAATGCCGTGGTCACTGATGTTGACAATAGATACCTATCTAGCCAGGTCAAAACAGATCATATCAATACAATTTGTACAGATTAAATGAGTTTCAACTTACTCAAAGAGTGTATCAAGTACCAGAGAATCTTTTGTGTTTCCTTCTTCTGAGGGCCACTGAAGCTATTGTCATAGAATGAACGTAGCTTAGCTCCTCCACGGGATATCAGAAGAATTGGCCCCTAAGAGCATAAGAGACGAAACAATTCGATCACTTTATGCTATCTGAGACTAGCAATTAGGCTACTTAATTACCTTATATGAATGGTAACCTACTAGGGTACTGGAGGTAAGCCTCCAATAAAGGACAATTCGGTACCTGCAACCTCAATTGTAGTCCCCACTCTTTTTTTATTGTTAGGCTGCTCCTGCTGTTTCGCAAGCTATTCTCTGATCTGCACTTCACCCAAACGGGCCAACTTCAAACAATTGGAGAAGCTTCATCGCAAATAGCTTCACCCCAATTTTTTGAGCAGTTCCAAGGCGCATTGTTCGGATAATGCGCTGCGAGGTTTTCCTCAAGCAGATTACTCGATGACGGTCAAACCAAGCCCAGCTCTGCTACCGCGACACCGAAAACGAACGAATCAATAGCTTACCACCAAACCGAAAGATTTACATTTACACCATCGCAAACAAGCTGATCGCTCAAACGAAAACGAAACGATTCAATTCACTTCACTTCAGAAAACTAGAAATATATCACACTTCATACAAACATGACGACGCCACCCTCTCTTTTTCACGCGCTCCTTCGCCCTTCTATTCTCCAGATCCTTCGCTCTACAGGCTACCACTCGACGCGCCCAGCCGTGCTCGACTCCTTAACCGACCTCGCCGCTCGATACCTGTCGCTTCTTTGCCAGAGCACCGCTGATCATGCGGCTCACAACCAAGGCGACAGCGCCGACTTCACCATAGCAGACATACGGATGGCGCTCCAGGACGCAGGTGCCATTATGCCTGAGCGCGTTCCTACAGAAGAGATGTGGCGCGACGAAGAGGACTTGCGGGGAGTGGAAGAGTTCATGGCGTGGTTTGCCGGACAGCGCATGAAGGAGATGATGGAAGTTGGCAGCGGAGACGGTGAAACGGATGCTACAGATTATCTTAATGGTAGGTCTTGTAACCACGTACATTCGGAAACCAAGCTAACAGAGAGCCTGTTCAGCTCTTAAAAAGAAGCACAGCAAAACTGGCGAGGACGCCAAGTACCACGGAACTATACTCGGCCGTGGCCACGACACAGGCGAGATCCAAGTCGAAGGCGGCCCAGAGACCACGATTGCAGAATGGATTTCCAACCGCGCGTCACCACAGAGCAGTCCAACACCTGGCGAAGACCAGCAACAGGATAAAGACCAACCTCCACAGCAACAAGCTCCTCAACAGAATGGTCATGCTAGCGACGACGATTCAGGACTTAGCTCTGTAGGCGACCGTCTAGAGCAGGACGAAACAATGGACTTGTCTTAATGAACAAGTCCTAGCTCTTTTTCGATCGAAAGAATCAGAACGCGACGAAGCTGGAGCGGCAGAGTGATTACACCGGCGATAGTGATTAGGTCTTGGTTTATTTTGCATAGCGACGGAGTTCTTCAGGGAGGCAAGGGGGGTGGATTGAGGCAAAGGGAAATACAGAAAGAAGTATCTTGGCCTTGAAAGACAGGGCTTTTTTCGAGCTTCGGAAACACTTTTGCTCTTTTGTTTGCAACGGTTCGACTTGAGGAGACATAGGTATTCATAGTAGTCTTAAGAGAATTCTTGTTCATTCTATCAATCTACCCAAACATTCGACCTTTTGGGCTTGAAGATATGCAAAGTCACTTTGAGTAGAAGAAGATCGAGGAAGATGGTAAGATTTGGCCCTTAGCCATGTCTTTTGTCATCACTTTGTATGACTGTTCTATGCCTAGATACCTAGATAGTGTACAAGATCCCACAGGCTATGCCTGTCCTTTTCTGTGCTATTATACATTTTGAGTTCGTCAGGAGATGATTCATGATTCCCCAAGCGCCGTTACAATGCTCCCCTATTTTACTACTTTACACTTTTCTTCAGCAAATCGTACACTCCCATCTGTGCTGCCGCCTCTTTGAACAAACTTGCCTTGTAGGCCTCGTCGCCCTCGGTAGGCCAGTACTGTCTCTGCAAATACTCGAACAATGCCTGAGCACGACGCTCATTCTCAAGGCCCGATACATCACCATCAGCTGAAGCGGCAAGACTTCGATCGAGATTACGTTTGGCGGTCATAAGACGTCGGCGGTGGGCTGGGGAATCCCATGATAGCTTAGTTGTATCCAAGACCATCTCAAGAATGAGAGTCTCGGGGGGGAGGAAGCGGAATCCCTCTCGAAGAGTTGTCAATGCAACAACAAGACCAACGTTGTCCTTGACACGGCGGAAAGTATGCAGGATCTTGCGAGCAAGCTGGCCGTCTATGCCGTCAGGCTCAAAGATCTTAGGAAACTTGATCGTTTCAGCAAACATTTTCCGGGTTTGCTCAACCTGACCAGCAACAGGGCCAGCAGAGGTGTGCAGTCTGTTGATGGAAAGGGTCTTCCAAAGCGCGCTAAAGGTGAAGGGGTCGGGCTCGACACCTTTCTCTATCACGAGCGTTTGATATAAGTCTAAAGCTTGCTGAGATTGTCCTGCTTGAATGTAGGACTCGAGAAGTTGGTTGATGACAAAAGAGTCGGCCCTCATCTCTGCTTCGCGGAAGGCATCCCAGAGCATCAGAATGCGATCGTGTAGGTCTCGTAGGCGGTAGTTCTCTGCCAATAGCGAGAATGTCTCGAGCGTCGCTCTTGGTAGGCCGGTCTTTGCATCATCCTTACCCAATGGGTCTTGAGATGTTTCGGCCTCTTTTCGTGCCTTGACAAACTCGATTCGTGTGTCAATCATGCCCCATGCCATTTGATCCGCCTTCTCAAGATCCTCAGCTCCTCCCACCCGTTGCCATGCTGCGATAAGACCGTTCAGCTGCACAGGAGCTGGCTCAATGCCTTTCTGACCCATGAACTCTACAACACTATGCGCTCCGTTCAGATCGCCAGCACCAATCAGCCTCTTCAACCACTTTCCAAAGAAGAACTTGTTTGCCACGACTGATGGCAGATGCTTTTGCTTCTTTAAATCGATCTTGCCGTCGCTCATCATATCGACGAAGGCGTATAAGCCATTTTCGGTCTGATGAGTTGTCAGGAAGTAGGATATGACTTGGTCATAGTCAGCGAGCTTCATATGTTCCCCTAGAAGCTCACGGAGTTGGCGATAGGCCGCCCAAGCCTTCTCCTTGCCCTCTTCTGTGCCTAGTTCAGAGCATGTACGGATGAAAGGCATCAGGATGCGAGGATCCGATTGCTTTTGGATCAGCTTGCTGATGGCTCGCTGTGCTTGGTCCAGATCTCCCACACGGCAGTACATCCTCACACCAAGCTCCCAAAACTCTTGGAATGTCTCTGCGTTTTCGTCGCCCAAGGTACCCATGCATCGCTTCCAGTTCTCGATCGCCTTTGACTCCCAACCATCAACAAACACAGCTTCAATAGTCAACAATTGCTGGGCAGGGTTTAGAGTAACTCTGGCCTCGCTCATGTCGCGAGCAAGAAGTGCAATATGTGATAGGCGGTGAATATTGACAGTTTCGGGTACTGAAAATATCTTCCATAGCAAATCCCACACCTCGAGGGGTACATGACTCCAACCGTGGGCAAGAGAAAGTCTAGCTGAGTGGTATGCCTTGTACACTCCTTGTACCGTCTTTGTTGTAAGTTTGATATTCCGGCGATGATCTCTGGCGACCCGTGATAGAATGGAATTAAGACGAGCAATCTTCTTCCGCTGGTTGATCGTCCATGGCTTTTCCGGGATTTGAGGGAATGTCACCCGAGAACCCAAAGATCCAAGTCCTGGTAATCCTGGAAGTTCAGAATCCAATTTCTCCAATAATTCCTTGGGCAAGTCTGCGCCGGTCTTGTCGATTTCTTGATCAATCGCAGCAGTGTATGCATCCAGCTTTGTAATAATCCTCTCCAGATCATCTGCCGTCTTCATTTTCTGCCATTCGCTACCCAGTTGATCTACCACTTCCTGGAATGCTGCCTTTTCGTCAATTCCACCAATATCGTCCTTGATCTCTAAAAGAGCATCTTTTAAGCCTGACGTATCCAACTCATTGAGTGAATCACCAAAAGCTTCTTCTCCAGAAAGCTCTGTTCTCTTATTGTCATTTTGTTCAAAGAACCGCACGCTGAACGATTCATTATCCTGGGTCGGATTCCGTAGAGACTTTATTCGGTCGAGATATTGCTTAAGTTCGAATTTGGTGGGTTTCCGTGTTACGGCATCATCGATCGACTGTTGCGCAGTGGATTTGGTGCTATATGTTGCCGCTATTCGTTGCGTTGGTCTTTGTCGAATCGCCAAACGACAGGATCGGCATATTGTCTCATTGCTGGTTCGTAGCTCGCGTAGAAGCGGTCGGCCCGCCATTCTCAGTACATAAAGCGCTGGTGTTGAAGTTGAAGCTTGGAGGGACCGAATATGGAACCTTTTTTAGTGGTTATCGATAAGACTTTGACTGTAAATCTGCCACTTACAGGCGGACCGATAGTAGTGGTTCTCACCGCCTTACTCTTTTAGTTCATGTACAACTTTTCTGGCGGCAGAAAATTAATTTTTGTCTGTACTTTGGCGACGGACTGGAAACATTGCGACTCCCAAAGATACCCCCAAGCACAGCAAAATGTCGAATTCTACGCCGGAATTCCTTCGATTTACAGGACACCGGTCCTTTACGCAGCGTTTGACTCTGTCTACGCTCACCGGTCGACCGATTCACATCTCCAAGATCCGAAGCTCGTCGCCTACGAATCCTGGTCTCTCTCCCCATGAGATTTCCTTCTTGCGCCTCCTCGAGGCTGTCACCAATGGCAGCTCGATGCAGATCTCCTACACTGGTACTACCATAACATTTCACCCAGGTCTGATCACCGGAACCATCGCCGGCTTTGGAGCTTCTGATGGCGATGTTATTGAGCACAACATCTCTATGAACAACACCCGCGGTATTACCTACTTCCTTATGCCTTTGTGTCTACTGGCACCATTCTCCAAAGCGCACATGAACGTTCGGTTCACCGGCCCTGGAGTCATCACATCATCCACCGAGACTGGCGACATCTCGGTCGATTCCTTCCGAACAGCTATTCTTCCTCTTTTCGCCCTCTATGGAATTCCTCCCGCCCGTATCGAACTCAGAGTACTTCAACGATCTTGTGCTGGACCTGGTGGAAAGGGCGGCGGTGGTTGCGTCGAGCTTCGATTCGCTAGTCAAGTGCGACTACCAAAGACCCTGCATCTTAACCGAAGCCCTGGTCGCATAAAGCGCATTCGTGGTGTCGCATACTGCACTGGAGTATCTGCTTCTAACAACGCCCGTATGATCCACTCAGCGCGTGAGGTCCTCAACCCCCTGGTACCTGATATCCATATCGCTGCACAGTACGACCAGGCACCCCTTGTGCCCTCAGGCGACAAGGCAGGAAGCAAGAGACGTCTAGGAATTGGTTTTGGTCTGAGCTTGGTCGCTGAGTCAAGCGCCGTTGGTGTCCTATACTCGGCAGATGTCGTTGTTCCGTCTTCTGGTGGTGTTGTCCCTGAGGACATTGGAAAGCAATGCGCATACCAACTTCTAGAGAATATCTCTCAAGGCGGATGCGCTACACAGGTTTCGGCAAAGACGATGCTTATTCTTATGGCCATGGGATCAGAGGATGTTGGCCGTCTCAGAATCGGGCGAGATGTGCTTGGAAATGAAGAGATGGTTATTCTTGCAAGAGACTTGAAGACGTTTGGCGCAAGCAGCTGGGGACTGAGAGATGTTGGAGACGACACGAATGATATCATTGTTTCTGTTAAGGGTACTGGCGTTGGCAATGTCGGAAGAAAGATAGCGTAAAAGTAAAGAGTAATGTATTCCTATTCAAATTCGCAAATGAGCTAATAGTCTCCATTCTGCCTGTCCGCTTCTCTTCAATTTTAGATTCAGGATAAGATAACGGATGGCATACTGGCTCACTCTTCGACCCTGTACCGTAACAAAAAAGTGCTTTTAAGACCCTGAGGCCGTGTCAACTGAAACTGATAATTTATGCCTCTATGAACCTATCACAGAGTATCGCTTATTCCTTATTAAAAACATGTTCCAAACCTTTATGCTATTGCTGTCTATCATTTTGAACCGTCCGGGCTGGCACTTGAAGGGCTCGCCTCCGAGCTTCGATAGAAGCCATAGTTGCCCCGTAGCTAATCGTACGCAGAGAATATGCAGCCGTTCTCTCTATGTTCAATGCCGCATTGCGAAGCGAGTGAAAAACATGATACTCGCCAATGATCGCATTTCCAGAACTCAACACGTCGGACAAATGCGACCTGGATGGTTCATCGACAGAGCGTTCTCTGGCAGATGGTTCCGATTCTCCCGACGTCGAGTTGCCTTCTTCGTTTGTGCTGACACGATGTAACGGTTGCAGTTCAATGCCTTCCTCCTCATCGACTGGCAATGAGCCGGGCATGTCCCTGGATACCCCACGTTCCTCGGCATCCAAATCTTCTATAGTGGGAGCCATCTCCTGAGCCACATCCGGGACCATGGGTCTGAAGGTTTTGAGGATCACTCTTAGCCTCTCTCGTTCAGTATGCACCGTCAACATCAAACATTGAACGGCAAGTATCATGACATCTGCCAAAACATAGTAGACTCGAGAAGAGGGAGGTTTCTGGCCTATAAAGTCAATGACTAGGCCGCCATGCATATAACCACGATGAAAGTCTGGTCCCACTGGAAGAGAAACAAAGATATGCAGAAGTATGCATATGATGTTGGGAATGAGTACCAAGCAGACATGCAGGGGACTCGCAGGCATTAGAAAAGGGAATGATTCATCCTTTGGCGTAAGATACAAGTACTGACCAACAGCCCTGAGGATGAATCGAAACATTGAGCATCTAAAAGGTATCACTTGTAAGCACAGCTCAAGAAGCATAAAGCCATGATGCAGGAGGATGATGGGACGTACTCCATATAGTACAAGGCACTTAACTCCGCAAAGACCAGGGTATCAAGACTCTTAAGCAAATGTGTGACAAAAAGCAACTTCCTCGCTAAACCGGGATTTCGCTTCTTTCTATTCTTCTTCTTTTTGCGACGCTGAGACTGCGACTGGGCGCGAGACCGAGTCGCCCTCGACTGCTCCTGTGGCAGATCCCATGTGACGCGGCTGCCGGACGAAGCATTGGCGGGTTCGGCTGGGGAGACATCGTTCGGCGCCGTAGAGTTCGGCGAGGCATCATCGCTCATTCTCGAGTATCGTCATCTGCGTCTGCAACTGCATCTGTAGAGCTAGTTCTGCATGAGCAGGGTGGCAGCTCAGGAGAAGCACGTGCGGATCATGAGCCTTTTCGCAAACGGCGGGGAACTGTAGTAAGAGTCGAAATAAGTGTTTTGGTATATATAGTTTGTAACAAGATGGATTCGACTGGCTCTATGTGATTTTGGAGCTTGGACTATAGCACTTGAGTGAATGGAAGTGACTTGTTGGAGTATGCATGAGACGACCTGAGCCGCCATGATAAGATTGCAGGGATCATCTGCGACAGGCAGGCAAGCATAGGTGCTAAGCTACCAGCAGCCACAGCTCAGTTCGGAAAAAGTAAGGTCCGAAAGGAACGATCAAGCCCCAGCACCTGAGAGCAGATGGGTACGTACCAGTACCCCGCCATCGGCCGTCTCTGGTGGGATGCAGCACTGCAACGGCCCAAATAATTTCTGCCCGCCGTGACTCAGACGAATAATCAAGGACGAGACAACAGAACAGAATCTACGACTTGGTTCTAAAATCTCCAAGTCTGCCATCATGACGACCTCAAGCTCCGCCCCCTCGGGGGATCTCACCTCCCAGATCCTTCAAGCTCTTTCGGAAAAGAGCCCCCTGCTCTCCTCAGAGGCCTTCCCCGCCATCGCCTTCCAGGACATCAAGGCTGCCCTCGACCGTCTGGCCTCCCGATCTATGGTCACATACGAGACAATTGACCGAGAGGAGGCTATTCTTGAACCCGAGGCGGAGCAGATTGCTGAGCACGGCAGTCACGAGGCGCGTGTTTTCGAGGCCTTGAGAAGTGCTGTTGAAGGACTGTCGGTTCAAGATTTGGAGAAGGCCATTGGAGATAAGACAGTGACCAAGGTCGGACAGGGCAAGGCTTTCAAGGAGAAGTGGATCAAGAAGAGCAGCGATGGCAAGCTTGTTGCTACTGTATGTAGTACCTAGGATGTTTATGCTATTTCTGCGATAATTGGTGGCTAACTGGATATAACAGGCCGAGTCCATCGAGGATGTCACCCGAGCGCAACTCCAGAGAATCAAAGAGACCCGAACACACGAGCCCAAGATCTTGACCGACTTGAAGAAGCGAAAGCTGATTAAGATGCAAAAGGTCATCAGCTTCAAGATCGAGAAGGGATCCAAGTTTGCATTGGAAATCCAAAAGGAGGAGACTGACCTGACAGCCGACATGATTGCGTCCGGATCATGGAAGTCTGCCAACTTCAAGCCTTACAACTTCAAGGCCCTCGGTGCCGACCAAAACGCTGGTGCCCTGCACCCCCTGAACAAGGTGCGACATGAGTTCCGATCCATCTTCTTCGAGATGGGTTTCGAGGAGATGCCCACCAACAAGTTCGTCGAGACTGGATTCTGGAACTTCGACGCCTTGTTTGTCCCTCAGCAGCATCCTGCTCGTGATCTTCAGGACACCTTCTACATTTCCGACCCTGCTCTTGGTGATGCGCCCCGTTCAGAAGAAGGACAGAACACTGAGGAGTACTGGGAGAACATCAAGCAGGTTCACCAGAACGGAAAGTTTGGATCAATTGGTTACAGATACCCCTGGTCAGCGGAAGAGACCAAGAGACTGGTGCTCCGAACACACACTACTTCCATTTCAACAGCCATGCTCTACAAGCTAGCAGCACAGAAGGGACCTGACGGCCGCCCACCTCCCGCGCGATACTTCTCTATTGATCGAGTTTTCCGTAACGAGACAGTGGACGCAACCCATCTGGCTGAGTTCCACCAGGTCGAGGGTGTTATCGCTGACTACGATCTTACACTGGGTGGACTGATGGAGTTTATGGAGGCCTTCTTCGCCAAGATGGGCATCACCAACCTCAAGTTCAAGCCCGCTTACAACCCTTACACCGAGCCCAGTATGGAAATTTTCAGCTACCACGAGGGTCTGGGCAAGCTGGTGGAGATTGGTAACAGTGGTATGTTCCGACCTGAGATGTTGGAGCCTATGGGTCTTCCCAAGGACATGCGTGTCTTTGGCTGGGGTCTGTCTCTTGAGCGCCCAACCATGATCAAGTACAAGATCTCCAACATTCGAGAGCTGTTGGGCCACAAGGTCGATCTCAACTTCATCGAGAGAAACCCTGCGGTGAGATTAGAGAAGGAGTAAAGAAGAGATCGAGTCATGGATGTATAGGCAAGGTAACCAAAAAGAAGAAAAAGAGAGATACGTATGACGCATGTTGGATTGGTTTAGAGGACGGCATCTAGAGGACCCGGTGCAATCGGTAATGCAATGCAATGCAGTGTGTGTTAGTATCTATCACGACTAGACGAAATAAGATTAACCAACAAAAAAAGACGGATACCTAAAAGTTTCAAGCATGAAATAAGCCTCGATCTGGGTCTCGATCTTGGATCTGGATAGATCAGAATAGGGGTCCCCTGGGCTGAGATGATGACTGATGAGGAGGGACCCTGACTAGAGACGGGAATCGAGGTCTAAGATGGAGTCATGTCGTCAGTGAGGTTTTGTTTCAGAGACGGTTGCCGTTGCCCCACAAGGAGGGTAGCCATTTTTGCGATGAATTACGCACTCGATTGATTAGTTCCTGGACCCTGAATCATGACGGTTTACTTCGGCAGTTATTTGTCAATTGTGAGGGTGGTTGTCAACTGTATTCTTGTTCATGTGATTTGGCTCATTGATTGACTGGAGTAGAAATCGGATGGAGTTGATTGTCAGTTCAGTTCTTGGCTTTCCCTATCCCCCGCTTTCGGCACCTTCCTTTGCTTTTGGTCTGTTCAGCTCCACATTTAGACTTGATCGGCCCCACGTCCCTTGAGCCCCGCCTCCATCGCATGGGATCGCATCGCGTCTCATCGCATCCACTTTGAGACTTCGTCATTGAGATCCAAGAACGGCTTTTGACGTCTGGACCTTTCCTCGATCTTGTAACGACGATTCATAATCAGTGCCTTGAGCGGAATCACGGATTGAACCCTGAGACAAATGAGAAGGAGAACAGTAAAAGCAATTGGTCATCTTGGCTCTAGAATGCAACGCTGCATGCATGTTAGCTATTTGGAAGTCGGTTGCAGTTTAAGGACAAGAGAATAAACGCCCGTGGCGTCCTTCCCCGCGTAAAGTTACTGGTGTTTGTAATTCCCCTGCCAAGTTGATGGGTGGTGTGACCAGCTGCCTGCCTGACTGAGCTTCTCCGCAGAGATCAGCATCTGCCGATTTAGAAGTCATGATGCTCACTCTGCCCAAGCGAGATGAACATCCTTCACTGCTTCCTCCTCACCAGATTCACAAGGAAGCTTGACGATCGAAACGTCCTGGTTGGTCGCTTTCAGTTGATGCTGAAAGGGATGACAGTGACAGTCTGAGGCGAACGGGGGGTACGCCACCTTTGTCATGGTCTGGTTGGCTAATGCTCGAAAAAGGATGGCCAGCACGTTTGGTCTCAAAGCTTACTGAGTGATGTCTCTATTGGTCAGCTCGTTGGTTCACTGTATGATGATGGCTGATTGACTTCCCTTCCGTGACACGCGAGATCAGGCCCAGACATGCGACATGCGTAGACAGTTGCACTCGCTCTTACCCTTTTGCTACAAGAGCCCAAAGATCGACAAGAGCTGGTCGGTTCTCCCCTTCCTCGCACAGGATATAAACCGAGCTCTTCCCCCTCATCTTGGCTTCTCATTCTTTCATATTCAAACTATACTACACAATCCAACACTGAAATCCTGTCCATTGCCCACGAACGTATCCTAAAGCAAAGGATACATACGACTACAACGAACACTTAAATACATCTACACTTTCCCTCAAACAACCTTCATAATGGATTCTGGTGCTCCCCAGACTGGTGCTGCCACTGGCAACGTTAGCGGTCGTCGTCGAGTATGTCCACTCACATACCCACTCTCACTTACACCTTCCCACTAACACGCTTCACCAACAGAGCTCAGGCTTCATGCCCGCCTTCGCCAGCCTCGCCGAGCAGAAGCGTGGTTCTCAGGACAGCGCTACCCGCCGAGCGAGTATGTCAGACCAGGCGCCTAAGAGCGGCCTTTTCGGCTCGTTCTTCCACAAGTACGTCACAATTGTCATGTCATGGTCTCATGCAGGCGACTCATATACTAACAACATTTGAAGCAACTTCGGCAAGAACGCTCAAAAATAATTGAAATGAAGTCATGATGAAATGAAAGGCATTGTCCTATTGTATTATTAGTATCAACACGGCGAATTGCAGGGCATTTTGGGCCCTTTTCTTCAGTTTGCAAATTTGGTATTTTGACCATGGAGTTAAACGCGGAAGCGAGCTCAGGTGTCAATCGGAGTAGCATAGCAGAATAAATGATGCGATGTAATTAACTTGTCATGTTTCTCATGATGTTGTGAAAAATCTGTGACGCAGCCTTGACAGGTGATCATCAGGAACAAGGCTCGACGATGATGGCTGAGAGTCAAGGGTCGCATATAAACTCAAAAAGTGACATCGATGATATACAATGACGCTGGTTGAATTGGCAGTGGCAGCGGCAGCGGAGCGGAAGACTTTGCTGCCACCAAAGCAACGGTATTGATTTTGAACCCCCTTGTTAAAAGTCTATTACGTGAAGCAAGGCCCCCGTGTTTTATAATCTTGATCAGTGGTTCTACATCCTAGTAAATTTTGACTGTGCAACCGTTCTCGCTCGGCTTTGAGCTCAGGTGTATAGTATACCTGATACTATTACTCGACTTGACAAATCACTATGGACATTGCGGCCCAATCAATTGCTTCAAATATGATCAATTCTTTTAACATTACCATGCAACCCGACGCCTTTTATACCGCTGTCGTATATATCCGTACCCGACAGCTATGATCTAGCCATTGCTATCCATCTAGCTGCTTCTATGCATCTCTTTTAATATCCAGCAACGGTCAACCTATAAAGTCGATTCTTGTATTCTAAGCCTTGACCATGAAAATCTATAAATCGTTAGCAAACTTTGTCGGTAATAGTGAAATTGGGGTAGACAAACCTGGTTAAGTGCCTTGGGATCCAAAAATGCCTGCCTCTTCTGCGCAATAAATCGTGACCGCACAAAGTTTCTGCTTCCGCGAGGTGTAGATGTACCAGATGGTGTTGTCACCCCAGTTCCAGGCACTGAAGCCGCAGGCGTAGAATCCGCTGTGCTGGCAGCTTCCTCCTCCCTCTTGCGCTTCTTCTTTTCCTTCTTCTCCTTTTTGGACTTCTTGTCCTTCACCTTCTCCTCATCTGAACCCTCTGACGACCCATTCTTGTCCTTCTTGGACTTGCGCTTCTTGGAGCGCTCTTCTGTGGCGTCTTCGTCGTCTGAGGCTTCGGTGGAGGACTTCTTGCGAGACTTGTCCTTCTTTTCTTTCTTTTCCTTCTTCTTCTTGGCCTTGGTGTCATCGCCGTCGGCTTCCTTCAGCTTGCGCTCCTCCTTGCGTCGCTTCTTGCTCTTTGAATCGGTATCGCGGCTAGAGGACTCGTCTTCCTCCTCGTCGCTGGCCTTTCTCTTCTTGGACTTCTTCTCCTTCTTGGATTCCTTTGGTGTGGGTGCGGATTCCATGACAACATCCTCGTCGGAACTTGTCTCTGGCTTCTCGGTATTCTTTTCTTCCAACTCCTTCATTTCGTCTCCAATCAAGAGACCTCCGTACACGAATCGCATGGGTCCGTATCGTTGTTCGACGAAGTGGTGTGTCTTGACGGCAAGTCGGGCTTGTTGGTCTTCTACGATGGCATCATCTGTCTTTCCGTTGAGCCGACTGAGCAGATCCTGGAACACATCGAGACCCGTAACCTCGTCCTCCTTAGACTTGCTGAAGCCCAATCCCTTCATGTCATCCTTAAGAACCACACGAATGTAGGAAGCGTTGGCGGCAGTGTGTAGCTCCGAGTGCGGCGCATCCTGGGCTCCGAGGAACTGGCCCGGCTGCCAGCCCTGAGCGCGCAGGATCTTCTGTCCGAAGGTGTTCTCGTCTTTAGTCCATTTCGTGTTGTTAGGATCCTTGTTGATCTTTCGTCGACTGTAGTGAATTAGCGCATGACCGTAAAGATACACAGACACTCTGCAAGTGCGTGGTCTCTTACGTCTTGTTTTCTGCGAGGAGTCCCATGTTTGCGACCTAGAACTTTTGAAAGATACAGCCACCAAACAATTCACAATACGAGAGTTGAACAAGACTAAAGGTACAGAAAAAAAAGGTGGGCGGTGGGGATGTGCGGTCGCGAAAATATCTTATCGCTGCATCTTATTGGACACAGCGAACTATAATTGCCCCGTAGCCCATCCGCTAGCTTATCTTGACCGAACCTCACCGAGGAACAAGTGCAGTAGAGTAGGTACGAAGTTAAATAAGGGACTGGAGCAACTCATTATGGTGGATGTAAACATTCTGTTGATAAACTGCTGGTCCATCCATTGACCGCCTTATAGCAATAATTGTAAGCATATAGTACAAAGAACCTAAGTACGTAGTCCGACCTTCCCTCCTTGAAATCCGGCTTCGATTCTGATTATGTAAGAAAGCAATTAACTCCAGAGCGTCCAAATTGCAATGATTTCGATAAAGAAATGCCTTGACAGTTTAGTAGTTGAGCTCGCCGCTTCCACCACCCGAAGCCTGGTCAAGATCTTCGTAGCTCTTTAGGCTTCTGCCCTGGACAGCTTCTCGAGGACCTCCAGCGGCTCCTCCAGCACCGTCACCCCAGCGCGATCCACCATTTCGGTTGCGAGCGCCGTCGAAACGGTTACCACCACCACGGCGGTCATAAGGACCAGAACGGTACTGGCCTCGGCCACCACCCATACCTCCTCGGCGAATGGGACCTCCACCGGATCGCTCATCGCCCATGGGATGGAATCCTCCGGATGGCATGTTCCCAAACATGGGGTTAAAGTTACCAGGAGCCATGGGGAACCCAGGCATACCCATCATACCATTCATGGAAAAGTTCTGGAGGTTGAAACCACGAGGTGTTCCGCTGCTGGATTGGCCATTGGAAGTTGGGAAGTGGCCATTTGAGTTCGCGTCAGTTCTAGATGGCGCGATATGCGATGGGTCTATCACATAGGCGTTGATGAGTTCAAACTAATTGTCTGGTTAGCCAAAGGTAACAAATTGTCGGAAACATAACGCACCTCTTGTCTAAGGCTATCGACCCAGTCACCGTGACGCTTCTCGACATGCTTACGCCAGAAATGTTCTTCTTTGAACAGCTTGGAGCAGTCGGGAGCCTTGCATCGCCATTTGTGCTCATCCTCTTGCTTTACGTGCTTCATAAGCTCCTCTTCAACAGCCTCATCAGCAGGACGACCACCAAGCTTTCGAAGATCAACTGAGTGAGGGTCCAAGATCTGGGTAAGCTTATCTTCAAAAGTCTTAACCCAGTTAAAAGCCCGAAGGAGTTGTTGCTCAGTCTTGTTGGAGGTATTTCGGAACTTCTTCTCTCCTTCGGTAAGCTCGCCCTCGTCATCATCGCTTCGCTTCTTGCCAGGGAAAGCATCTCCGTTTGCGCTGGCTCTTGCGACGGCCTTAGCTGTAGACGAAAGGGTGCTTCGAGGGCGACGTAAGTGTCCACCAGGGCACTTTCGGGTAAGCTCGTGAATGGAGTCGCTTTCGAAAACACAGAAGAAGCAGAAGTTGAAGACTCGGCGCAAGTACTCAATCAAGAGGTCAAGCTGCTTCTTCTTGACCAGAAGGTCCTCATCATCGACCTCCTCGTCCTCAATGGCGCCCTCCTCTTCCTCTTCCTCGACATCAATGACGCCGTCCTCCTCATCGTCCATGGCTTCATCCATTCCAACCTCTCGGGTCTTCTTAACCTTCTTGACAGGTGCTGGGACAACAGCTGGTTGGAGTTGGCCTGCATTTCTAAGATCTTCGACCTTCTCCTCAATTTTTATAGTAGCCTGGAAATCAGAACCAAAGTCTTCCTCGAACTTGTTGACGATTCGCTGCACAAGCAGAAGGTCCTTATCAATACGCTCAGGAGCAGAGAAGAGATCCCAAAGAGCCTTTTTTCTAGGATGGACGGGTGGGTTATGAACACCAACGTGGCAGACAAAGTCACCTCTAACTTCATCCTTAACGGTCTTTCCGTTGATAGCCTCCAAAGCCTTGTCGGCAGTAGACACTGGCTGGGGAGATCTGATGGCCTCATCGCCATCCTCATCTTTGGGATCAATACGGTCCGCAGGCAGGACTGTTTCGGAAGAAGGGTGAAGCATAACCCATCCAATACGGTGGTAACGTTTGCTGGGGTTGGGATCGGACAAGGAGAGCCACTTGAAGCCACCTTCCTCCTCACCAAGGTGTTCTTTACAGAACGCCTCGAGGTTTTGGCGGCTAACATGGGGCGCAATCGTCTTAATCAAAAGAGTTGGCTGAAACTGGTTGTCATCACGGATGTCTGCACCGTTGGCAGGCACAAGGTCACCAACACCCAGAATCTCATTCGTGGCTGTCGCCTCTCCTTCTTCCTTTTCAACAACACCACCACTGCCGTTACTCTCACTCTTGGGGAGTCCCTCCAAAGAGAAGTCGTCGAAGGTACCAGACTCGAGATCCTGCTCCCACTGACTGTATGCACCGCGTCGATATTCGTTCAGCTTTGTTCTGAAATCGTCTCGAATTTCGGGAACATATCGCTCCTTGAACCACTGCTCCTTCTTGTGCTCGGAAACGAATGAACGAGCCATCTTGGCCTGGAGCTCCTCCTTGTATGCATCATAGGCAGCCTGGATCTTAGCCTTTTCCTTTTCACGATCTTCGGGGACACGGGCCCTCTCTGGCTCGCGACGTCGACCAGTGCGCAATCGTTCTTTCTCCTCCTTCATCTTTTCGTTTATTCTCCACCATTCGCCAAAATAAGAGAAGCCAACCTGGTAAGGAAGCTTGGCCGGGTCGTGGAGAGGGTTCACACTCGGGCTACCTGAGTTGGAATCTTGACCAGGAACATATCGATCGATATTGGCGGGTGGCGACATGCGGCGTCTATCATCACGGTCCCGGTCGTCTCGACGAGGCCGGGGCTCATAGCGGTCAACAGTAGCAGGTGAGCGAGATCGGCGACGGTCGCGACGTTCATGGCCTTTGGACATGTTAGTTAATTTCGATTCGATGCCGAGGCTTGCCGGCGCGAAGCAAAGCTTAAATCCTCGAATACGAACCTGGAGATCTTCCACGGTAGAAAGAGTCGCCGCGGTCGGGGCGTTCATCACGGTTGCGCGAATCGTCACGGTTCCAGCTGCGATCAACCGGCGAACGAGCCGAGGCATCCCGGAAAGATGAATAAGAGTCCATTGTTGGTAGCGTTGCCGGCGACGCGACGCGGCATCAAAGAAAGTTGACTAGCGGGATTCCGGCGCAGGTCTTTCCTGCGTTCTATAGAGTAATTGGCGGTTCGCAAAGGTCGAATCTATTGTGTTGCAACATGTCGATGTTAGAGAAGTCATCTTGAGAAGAGTATGGATAAATGATAGTGTAGCAAACAAGAGAAAGAGGAGGGTTGCCAAAGAGGCGCCATTTAGAAGATGAGCTAAGGACAACGCGCCCTGAGCGAAGAAGAGAAAATGAGGAAAAGGATTGAGAGAAGAGTAGTATTGGAAGGGACAGGAGAAAGATGCCGCGTCTAAGAGGGAGGGCGAGAGAGAACGCGAGGATGCGAGAGTGGCTGGATCGACGGGTTGCAAGAGCTGCAAGAGGGATCAGGGGAAAAGAGAGTAGAGCAGGAGTAGAGAAAGAGTATAGGGAGACAAACTAATTGAACAAGCGCGATCTTCTGAAAGGAAGATGATGAGCTTGAATAAGGTATAGAGAGAGAGGTATAAGCACTCTCACTTCACAAGCAAATTGCAAGACAGTACTGTTCAGAATGAACGGTAATGCGATGCGATGTGATGTTGAAGAGGCTAAGTTGGTTGGTTAACTGGGGGGCCACTCGGAAGTTCAGCTGCCCGTGCCTGTCGCGCCAGGCGAGATGGTGGGCCACTCCACGGAAACTGCAAGGGGCTGGGGGGATTTGTAGCTCTGCTTTAGGATAAGGCACCTAATAAGTTAGGCGTGAGATTTGCAAGTACAATATTGCGATGCTGCGACAGTGTGGATATGAATATCATTTACTTTATAGTAACATGTTAGGTATTGATTTCATTTTCTTCGCTGCTGCTTTCCCATTGACTTTGTGTATTCCCTGGCCGCCAGAGACAAAGGATTCCATGTTTCTGAATAACACACAGTAACAACCTGAGGATAGAAGAAAGCTTGTTTCCCAAACACCAAACTATATCAGTCAGGATGGTTGTTGTTTATTAAGGTAAGGTATAATGGTAAGTTCTCATATGGAGTTCTGATAGTAGTTCGTACTTGCCGATACAGTAGCTACTGAGTACATGAACAATCCATGTCACCAAATCGCTGCCTGCAATTCGTCCCTTCCCATTTTGACCAATCACCACTCAGCTTATGCCTGTCGGCAAACAGCGAACCTCTGCAATGCTGGCTTGAAACAGGAAAGTGGCGATCTCCGCTTGCAACTAACAAAAGAATCTGGGGGACATTCCTCTATGCTCAGTGGTTCACTCACTAACAAGCAGCAAACAACAACCCAGCTGACCATGATAAGACCTCAATACTGTTAACGATATTGTCATACACATGATATCTCACTAACATTTTACATATTTCTCCTAATTTATTCGAGTACCGCTCAGAGAAGCCATAGCCAACTTCCTTCCTCGGCTTGGCTTCCTCATCCACTCTTCACCCCCACTATCCGCCCATGATAGCGGCTTAGACCTCCTCACTGCCATATGATAAGAGTCGGTGCCGCATATAACAACCTGAAATATCCTCGAGACATCTTCAGGATCAGGAACGAAAGATTGGGTAATTTCTCATATTTGATTCGACTTTGTTGTTTTTGAGAGAAAGAGAGAAAAAAACTCATAAGATGGGGGCGTCCATTCGCAGTGGCAACTCGAGCCTCTACCAATACAATGCGGCGGTGGAAGAGTTGCAAGAATCCGAATATCCAATGATCAAAGGTTATATACTCTTTCACTGGTACTTTTCAAATATATTGACCTGTTACAGATTCATTATACTTGGATCATGCTGGCACAACATTATGCTCAAAGTCCTTGATGGACTCTTTCGCCCACGAGATGACCACTGTTCTCTACGGCAATCCTCACTCTGCTTCTCCGTCTTCACAACAATCAACATCACGAGTTGAAGATGCAAGGATGAACTTGTTAACATTCTTCGGGGCTGATCCGACTGAGTACGATGTGGTATTTGTCGCCAATGCCACAGCTGGTGTGAAGATGGTTGTGGATGCGATGCGAACTCAATCACAGGGCTTCAAATATGCATATCACCAGGCGTGTCACACCAGCTTAATTGGAGCTCGAGAAGAAGCAGTCACTAGTATACCCATCGACAGTGACGGTATTCGATCATGGCTAGGTGGTCACTCTCCTTTCCAGGATGCTACCGGTTCATCATCGACAACCCTTTTTGCTTACCCTGCCCAATCTCATATGGACGGCAAGAGGTATCCTCTTAGTTGGACAAAGGACATAAAAACAGTATCACAGACCTCGGACCAGCAAATGCTCACACTGCTGGACGCATCTTCATTCGTCGCCACATCCCGTCTCGATTTGAGCGATCCTATAATTGCACCAGATTTCACAGTTCTGAGCTTATACAAAATCTTTGGGTTCCCTGACCTTGGTGCTTTGTTGGTAAAACGCTCAGCGGAATGGGTATTCGAAAACAGAAGATACTTTGGAGGTGGCACCGTCGATATGGTTGTTTCTGGAAAGGAGAAGTGGCATGCCCCGAAATCGAACTCCCTCCACGAACGATTAGAGGACGGCACGCTACCATTTCACAATATAGTGGCACTTGACATTGCCATGACCATACATCGAAAGTTATTCAAATCGATGGACCAAGTCAGTTCGCATACTTCATACCTCGCTCAACGAATGCTTCAGGAATTAGAAAGCTTGCGTCATGCCAATGGGACGCCAGTCTGCACAATCTATACATCGACATCAACATTCGAGGATGAGCAATATCTAGGAAATGGCCCAATCATTTCTTTCAATCTAAGAAATAGTCATGGTGCTTGGGTAAGTCTGGCCGAGTTTGAGAAACTTACGAATTCAAAGAACATTCACATCCGAACTGGCGGCCTATGCAGTCCAGGAGGTATCTCCTCAGCTCTTAACCTGCAACCTTGGGAGATGAAGAAGAATTTCTCAGCAGGGTTTCGTTGTGGAGCAGATAACGATATCATGTCTGGCAAGCCAACAGGAGTGATTCGAGCCAGCTTGGGCGCGATGAGTACCAAAGCAGATGTTGACAGCTTCGTTGCTTTCATCGATGAGTTTTATCGGGAAAGCGCTATACCAGCCACCCCATCTGATTCACTTCTGCCTGAATCAACTTTTGCGTCTCAATCTCCTGCACTCAGGGTTAAAGACATAACTATTTACCCTATCAAGAGTTGCGCCAGCTTTTCCACCCCATCTGCCACACCTTGGGAAGTTCGTCCAGAGGGTCTGGCTTGGGACCGTGAATGGTGCTTGGTACATCATGGTTCAGGGCATGCCTTGAGCCAAAAGCGTTGTCCGAAAATGGCTCTTCTGCGACCGGTTCTAGACTTTGAGAAGGGCCAACTGGTTGTTACGTATCACGGAAAAGAGTATATTGATCGGCTACAGCAAATATCTATACCATTATCCGCGGACCCGTCACTTATTGATTCCGATTTCGACAAACAATCATCAAGGGTATGTGGTGAAAAGGTGACCACACAAATATACACTTCAGATCGGATCAACTCTTTCTTTTCTACTGTGCTCGGAATCCCTTGTGTCCTGGCACGCTTTCCTCCTGGTGGACTGGGCATGAAAAGCCGCCTTTCGAAAGCTCAGATACAACGATATCAGCAACCAAACAAAACTCATACAATACCAGGCTCTTTCCCAGATGTACCATCGCCTCCCGACTCAGATTCAGAGCAGCAGAAGCCTTCTAAGATACTTCTTTCAAATGAGAGCCCCATCTTGTTGATCCATAGCTCGAGTGTCGAGGCTTTGAATCGGGAGGTTACCAGCCATGGTGGTACCCCTGTGGAAGACAAGGCCTTCCGGGCAAATATCATTGTCGAACAGGCTTCTGGCCACAAATCCCAGCCAGCATTTTCCGAAGATGGTTGGGACTCTATGAGCATTGGAATTCAGAACTTCAAACTCATGGGTGCGTGTCGCAGGTGTCAGATGGTTTGTATAGACCAAGATACTGGTGAAAAGAAGGAAGAGCCATTCGTGACGCTAGCAAAGACGAGACGATTTGACGGAAAGGTCTACTTTGGGGTGCATATGCGTCACGATCCCTTGAACGAAGGGGAGTTTATGAGTAAGGATTCGCAGTATCCTACAATCCAAGTAGGAGATCCTGTCTCGGTGCAGCATCGTGCTTAGGCGTTTTAACGGGACATGAGACATTTGAACTATGTACATGTATGATAGCCAGCGAGACTGCATTGTTTCTGAGAGATATTCACCACTTACGGTTATAACTATGCAGCATGGGATACTATATTATTTGAGGAAACACAATGTGAGACTCATGGTGTCATTGTATTGTATTGATCATGCCATCATTGGTGACCTGAAGGATGCTGTCTACTCCCGGGTAAGTTAACCAAGTGGCCTACGTATTATTTTCATCATATTGGATGAATTTATACGAGAGAAACACACAAGAAGTAGTTCCTTGTCTTTGGAGGCCTTAGTAAAATGTATGTAATCAAAGATCATGGCACATAATACCTACTGCATATCTGTTGTTTAGCTTGGCTGGATAGTGTAAACACCACAGCTGTTGGCCTGCGAAACGATAGGCTTACTTCTGATGACTATCGCGAGAAAGGAATGAGTTACTTTGTCAGCCTCAAAAACGATTCACAGTTCCAAGAGCATCTCTCCTCTTTCGGGCATGGCTGCTCAGGTAATAGCGTAGTCATCCACACCATCGAAGAAGTACGTAGTTACTCATCGTGAAAGCTTATAAGTAGGTACAGTAACCCCGCGCATTTCACCTCACTCTCAGAAGCAATTCCTTGGAATCGATATCTTTTATTTACTACAGTAGAAGTTGAAAGAAGGATCCAATTTTATGCTTCGCCGGGGTATCCGGGGTAGTACGATACTAAGCATTTCCGTCTAAACCACTTACACGATCCATTACATCATTCTTGGGTGTCTATCCTAAGCTCCCGGAGCTATAGCTCTTGACATCTTTCAACTACTATCAACAAATAACATATTTGAGAAATGGAAGGAAGACGTTCTTCAACTCTCCCAGGAGGTTCCCGTCGGGGACAGACTGGGGGATATCTTCCAATTGAGGATTATGGAATGATTGGGAATATGCATACCTGTGCTCTTGTGGGAATTGATGGAAGTATTGATTATATGTGTTGGTGAGTATACCTCAAGTATTACATATGGGATAATACTGACCAGTCAACTACAGGCCTGATTTTGATTCTCCCTCTGTATTCTGTCGCTTGCTTGACAAGAATAAGGGAGGCCATTTCTTCATCTCGCCTCCTCCCAATGTGAACTGCACCACCAAGCAGCAGTATTTGCCTTCTTCATGTATTCTTCAGACGAGATCTATTCATGAAGACGGCGTTGTTGATGTAGTCGACTTTTTCCCTCGTCCAAAGAGCACTCAGATTACGACCAAGGGTGTGAAGCTTAACGCTTACCGAGAAGCTACCAAGGTCCAGGATGAACTCAAGAAGTGGCTTGTTCGTCGAGTGGAATGTATTCGCGGTTCTATGAATCTCGGTAAGTACCTCTGGTTTTGGATATTAGGACTTGAATTGACATGCCCAGACATCGAGATCTTCCCATCATTCAACTATGGTAGAGACGACCATGAGACAACATTATTTCAAGCTCACCACTCAACAACCGACACAGCCAGCAAAGTTGCTACTTTTCGCAGCAAAGATACTCAGCTCCAACTCGACTTCGCAGTAGAAAAGGGAGAAAACGAGACAAGCTGCCCTCTCATAACCTTCAGAAAAGAGAAACGTGACGGTATTCATGGTGAAGGCCTGGTAGCCCAGATCCGCATCGAAGAAGGCCAGACTATTTCCTTCGTGCTTAGGAATGATATTGAGCAGCATATCACGGAGAATATCACGACTGATGTTCTAGATGCGCAGCAGCATGCTACCCAGAGCTTTTGGTATAATTTTATTGCGCAGTCCATGTATAAGGGGCGATGGAGGGAGGTTGTGTCGAGGAGTTTGATGATTCTCAAAATGATGACTTACGGTAGGCTTTCAGACTCTTCTTGATCATGTAACTGTGCTGAAACTTAACAGAACCAACTGGAGCCATCATAGCTGCCCCAACCTTCTCCATCCCCGAAGCCATCGGCGGCGTGAGAAACTGGGACTACCGCTACTCCTGGATCCGCGACTCCAGCTTCACAATCTATATTCTCCTACGTCTCGGCTTCAAAGCTGAAGCAGATGCATACATGGAGTTCATAATGGAACGATTCGTACATTCGCGCGGTCCTGATGGTGGATTGCCTATCATGTTTACCATCCGTGGTGAAACTGACATCCCAGAACTTACACTGGATCATCTTGAAGGATATCGTGGAAGCAGTCCTGTTCGTATTGGTAATGGGGCGGCATTTCACCAGCAATTTGATATCTATGGCGAGCTTATGGATGCGATCTACCTGTACAACAAGTATGGAAAGCCGGTTCCTTGGGATGTGTGGAAGGCTGTGCGTGAGATTCTTAGTAAGTTGGCATATCCTGCTTTGAGGCATCAACTAACGACTGTGAAGACTACCTTTTGACAATCCTCGACGGTAAGTGATACTCATATTTCTTCAAGACTGTGACTGACAATCGCAGATCCTGACATGTCCATCTGGGAAGTCCGCAACAACAAACAGCACTTCACTTACTCCCAAATCATGCTCTGGGTTGCATTTGACCGAGGTCTTCGTCTTGCTGACAAGAGATGCTTCCCCTGCCCTAACCGCAGCAAGTGGATGGAAGCGAGAGACAGCCTCTACGAGCGCGTAATGGAGAAGGGTTACAATGAGGAAATGAAGTGCTTCGTACAGAGTTTCGAGAGCAGAACTATGATCGATTCCTCCATTCTCATTGCTCCTCTCGTCTTCTTCATCTCACCCTGCGATCCGCGCTTCACGAACACTCTCGACCGTATCCTTCTACCCCCTGAGAAGGGCGGCTTGACAAGTACTGGTCTAGTATACCGTTACGACACCACACTCTCCAACGACGGTAAGGAACCCTTATACTCAACTGAAGTACAGTTGCTAATGAGAGAACCGTTATTGTAGGAGTAGGTGGACACGAAGGCGCATTCAGTATGTGTACGTTCTGGCTGGTTGAAGCTATGACCAGAGCAGCTGTGTACGAACCAAAGTATCTCGTTCGAGCTGTCAACTTGTTTGAGAACATGCTTGGTTTCTCTAACCATCTATGCATGTTTTCTGAGGAGATCGCACGAAGTGGTGAGCAGCTTGGAAATACGCCTCAGGCTTTCAGTCATCTCGCTTTGATCAGTGCTGCTTTCAACCTTGATCGTGTCGCGAGGTAAGGTTTATCGACGAGGGAACCCGAAAAAAAAAAAGGTTTGATTTCTATAGGCTTGGAAAGTTGTATCGAATCATCTGTCTTCCAAACGTCCGCATTTGATAGCTTTAATAGCTTGCAAATTTCTATCAACTGTGAAATTTCTCAGTTACACAATATTCAGGATAGCAAGTTATCTCAAACTTGAATGCAGTATTGCTATCTGAAAATCCATATCCAGACATGTTCCTCACTATTGCACAAGGCCATTCCAAACCCACATCTAATAATGGTCAGATATCTGGCAAAAATTGGCACCTGCTATGGAAGAATCCACAGGACATATATCCATTCTCTACTCTTCTCTTCTAATATCCGTCATATACGGAAGCAACAATACCCCTCTTGCGCCGCCTGTTTAACCGTGGTTGTGTTACATTAAGACAAAAGATATGGAGCCATCGTGTTGACCCTCACCCAGTATGACAAAGAAACCGGCCCATAGAGTCGTTATATATAGGCAATGATATTCAAAACACCAAGGAAATTGTGACGCTGAAACAAGTATTTGAACTTAGCGACGCTCGCTGGCTGCCGCTGGCTCATCGATATCGAGACGGTCGATGCTATCGCGCAAAAGACCAGTGTTTTCCGCATCTGGATTGCCATCGCGGTCGATAATTCCACTTGTTTGACTGCCAGGAGAGCCTGGTTCGTCGTCGTCGGCATGTCGACCGTGGACAGATTCTTGGGCGTCCGCGCGCATCTTTGTAATTTTAATGTAGTTGTAAGCAGCGATGGCAGCCATGGTCGTGAGAAGACCAACAAAGTTAATAGGAGTCAGGCGGTCACCAAAGACAAGAGCAGCTGCACTGATAGTGACAACTTCCTTGAAAATGCCGGCAATGGAGAGGGTAACGACGGAAGTACGCTGCAGCAGAGCGAACTCGGATGCTGTCATGCAAAAGGCAATGCATCCGGGGAAAAGTAGGAAAAGAGGTGCCATGAAATAGCCCCATTCATCGGCCAGAACTGTGTATCCCTCAAGCAGGTTGCCGATTCCCTCCACGGGAACGGCGAGGCAGATAAGAACGAGGAACATAACAGGCGTAAGGAAGAAGATGCTAGAAAATGGGTTCGAGGTCGCAGGGTTGCGGAGGAGCAGGATCTGGGTCAATGCCCATCGGAATCCGGAAAAGAAGGCGGCTGAGATAACGAGAGCGAAACCGCCGGCTTTAAATTCGACTTCACCAAAGACCATGAGAACGACACCTAGTGTCATGGTAGCGATAATTGCAACGAGACGTAACGTTGGAGTTTCGAGGCGGAAGGCGAAAGCGAACACAAGGACAAAAGCGAGCGAGGAGGATTTGCACATAGCTACAGTGGGTTAGCAAGTCTCGCAGAAACGCATATCGGAAACAAACATACTGTAAAAAGTAAGGCTGATAAACTTGAGAGAGGTATTGCCAAGGCCAATGTCAAGACCAGTAGCTGCACCACAAGGTCCAATTCTGGTGAGGTAAAACATCTTGGTCATGCCGTAAGTCTTGGGTTCGTCATCATGTCTTGATCTCCCCATATCGGACTGGTGAACTCCAGCCTGACTGACACCGTATCCTGGCCTCAGGGAGGGCATGAAGTACAGAACCAGACCCGATAGCACAAACTGTACTACCATATGCATAGAGGTTGTAAACAAAGGAAACGCAAAGTTCAGACGGTCATGATCGAACATCCATTTGTTGTACTGTAAGCAATGTCAGCAATTGAGTTCTCCCGAAAAGGGGGCGAATTCATGAGAGGACTTACAATCGATATTGATAACGAAAAGAGGTACCACAAGAGAATCAGGACCATGTTAATCATCAGGCTCCTGAAGACGGTCTTATCTGCTTCTTTGCGCTCCTCTTTTGAGATGTCATTCCTATCCCTGGCGACTCGCTGATCTAATTGAGTATTTCTGATGCGCTTCTTCTGCCTCCTTTGCTTGTCTTTACGGGTCAAGCCTGTCTCTTCGTCATCTTGTAAATCTTCATCGGTCAAGCTGTCGTCGCCTGATTCGTCTTTGCCGATCGCAAAACCGTTCGCATCCAAGTTTTCTTCGGATATCTTGGGCTCATGTGTTGAGTTGCCTGGTACAGGGCCACGGCTTGTATCACGAAGCCGGCTTGGTGACCCAGCTGGCCGAGTGACCATGTTGTGGCTACTTCGCCGTCGTCGGTGTCCTGCAATGGGCTCCATCTCTATACTCCAATCGCTTTCGCTCTCTTCCTCGCCGTTGACTGATCTGGCTACCCGGTCGCGAGACGGACCAGCTACTGCTTGACTTCCTCCACTTGCGCCCGGATTTGAGGTGGGAGCTACCCTTGCTGCGCCTGATGATGATCCTGCTGCTGTTTCCAAGGGTCTAGAGTCGGAGTCGTCGATGAGAAGAGGCTCGGAGGATGCGGGGGGATCCGAAGCTGAAGCTGGAGCGCGAGTCGAAGATGAAGGGAGTGGTGGTGGTGAGGAAGAGGGAGAGGAGGAGACAGGATGAGATCCGAGAGGAAGAGGAAGAGCGGTCATGATGGGTACAAAAGAACGGACTAGAGCAGGGGATGGGATGGGGCTTTCATAAGTCAATCAATCAGTTAGTTAGGTGATGGTAATGAATAGTCAGGTTGGGTCTGGTCAGGTCCTGTCGGATGGTCGATCTCTGGCTGGCTTAGGTGGTCGCAAGGACTCCATTCGTACAGTAGTGCATTAGAAAAGGCGGAGGAGCTAATCCCGTTGTGGCAATAGTTTAAGTCGGGGCCGTCACGGTAGGGGACCGTAGTGCCGTGTCTTGGGCTTTTGGGGGGGAGGAAGGCTCCGAGCACAGCTGGAGGAGTCAGTAACCACTAACTACTGACCACTGACCTGAATCTCTTGACGTCGACAGTGCATTTGGTATGGATGGATGGATGGCTCCTCCAAGTCATCATTACAGTTTCATAGACTACCTATTACTGTATCCGCAGCAAGCAATGATTTCCCACAGCTGTTCTTCAGCCTTGATTTTTACTTTCCTCCTATGTTGGATTGTTAACCCAGCAGCACAAAATACGGAGTGGACCTTTCACGGTGTTCGGCCTCTTGGCGGCTACAAGGAACCCCGTGGCGCACCGCATCCAGCTGCACGCGACACAGCATTTAGGCCTCGAAACGGAGTCATGATTGGTCTGAGGACCCTGTTTCAAGGTTGTGAGAGTGTGCAGCACATTGGATATCTTCCATCATAAGCAAAAAGAGCGGTAACTTAAGAACTGAATGACTCTTTGACTACCAAGGTATCAGTCTCAGTAGACGGAGGTTGGCGAGATTTGGCCAAGATTCGACAGCGCAAGCGTTTAGGATCTGAGGCGCAGTCTCGTCTGACAGTTCAGCAATAAATAAACCAGGACTTACCCGAGAAGAACTTGAAGGGCTTATGCGGGGGTTGCATCATAACTCTGCTCTGTCTGCTGGTGGTTCATCATATATTGTACTGCAACCGACCTACCGACTGTCTATTACGGACTAAGCCTTCTCTAGGTACCTTGGTATTTTACTTACTGTAGCGATCTTCAATCGACAGCGGTCCGCTGCTGATCAAGCTCGAGCACGTGTGGGTTGTCCATGTGATGCATCCTCTAGCTTTATGCAACCCTTGAGTCAGATCAACTTACTAATGGTCTATCAATTAATTCATTGAAACTCCAACTCTCATCCTAGAGGTATTCAAGGTGCATGCACTCAAAGAGTCTCAGACAAACTTGCAGTTGAATTGCCGACCCGCTAATCCAGGGGCAACCGAACGGGAGGTCTCCAACTCGTATTGGACTGGACTTTGATCTTGCATAAAGTTCAAGCACTAACTCAACGTTAGTTATCCATCATGACATCGTTATCGTATTCGATAAATTTGGGAGATTTTAATTGTTTATATCAACCCCTTTAAAAAGTCCATCCGAGTTAATCACGTCTGTCTATCCGTACGGGAGACGGCATTCGAAATCTTGGCGAAAGTAACGTTGATCAGGAAGAAATTTACTACTAAATTAGAACCCAGATGCTTGCGGTTGAGTTGTCCTCAAGTGGATTTAACAGGCCCTCGAGAGAGGGTCCTCGCCATCCGAGACATGGGCTTTCCCGTCAAGGCCGGACCCAAGCTCTCGGTCCACCAATGATAACGACCTGAGACATTCGCGTTGCATATGGAACTTCGCTCGAAGCTCTTGTTATCAGATAGTCTAGACTCTCCAAAAGCTTCTGTGGATCAACATGTCACTGAATTTCTTCAGGTTTGATACTCGAGGTACTAGGTCTCAGGTTATCCGAAAATTCAGCTGCCAAGAGTAAAGGATACCAAATTACCAGACTATTTTATGCATATTTATAGAGAAGCTCTTATGCTAGGTAGTCAACCACTTCATGTCTTGAGCACCTCCAACAGCGGCAATGTTGATCTTTCTCAGCCAAGGACGAGTCACTTGCTGGTAGATCGGACATGTAAATAAGACGTTTATAAATCGGCTGCCAGAATACAAGGACGGTTTCGAAATCACAAATCCGGAAACTCTGTACAACGCCTGTCTAATCCCCGGAGGCCGAGGACGCCTCAACCGGCTTGGGTGGTGATGGAGATAGGCACAGCTATAGTGTTTATCACCCTACTAAACGATATGACTGTAGCTACCAAGTTCCGGACACAGCAATAAAGTATATAAAAATTGTGATATTATCCTTCAGTCAAGATCCTCCTCTGCTTCTGTCTACAACTATTTCTACACCACGCAGGCAGCAGTAGTCCAACATACTACAACCAGCCTCGATGATGGAAGCAAAGGACCAAAAACTCTTGCAAAAACTACAAGTCCAGACCCAACCTTTGTCAAAGAAAAGGAAAGATTAAAATAACTCCCGTGGTTACAAAGACGCGCCATTATCCGCCGTCTTGATGATTCGTTTCCCGTCTTTCCTTTCAGCTGTCATCTGCTTCCCCCTTTTCATCAAATTGCTTCCCCTTTTCGTCGTCTCAGGTCAGAGAGGAGAATCCTACATGTCCTGACCTTGAGGAGTTCCAGAAGTGTCAACACCGTGGAAAGCATCACCGAACGCCGAGTCGTCCATGTCCATGCTCAGATCCAGACCTTCACCTAACTCGCCTGCTGAGCCGTCTAGCGTAGGGCCGTCGAAGCCAGCAAGGGCGTCGCCTGCTGTATCGAGATCACCCAACGAGCTGAAATCGTTCTGGTCAAAAGTGACAGAACCTCCTGGTGTTCCAGCCGCCGGTGTAGCACCGGCAGAAGCGGTCTTTGCTACTGACTTGGCGGCATCGGCTCCGGGGGCGACAGGTGTGTTGGCATTGGCAGATGCGGTACCTGATCCGGGTCCCTGGTTGATCTGATCGTTAGACGTACCATCCTTGGGCACGACAACCCAGTCTCCGCTACCGGTTCCTTGATCAGGGGCTGTAGCACTCGAATCCTTAGGTACTTGGGTTCCGCCCATGGTCACATCGCCAGTATTAGCGGGTGCAGCGCTGAGGTTGGAGGGTGTTCCGGCTCCGGACTGGTTGGCTGACAATTGAGGCTGAGGAGTTCCAAAGTTGTTCAGGGGCGTAGAGGTGGTAGTGTGCATCTGGTCTAGCAATCCAGCAACAGTACCGCCCATATCAATATCAGACTCGCCGATCATAATACCGCTGTTTTGGGAACCGGATTGTGAGGGCTGACGGGATAGTTGTGAGTTGCCAGCCTGAACGGGCTCTGGTGCTGGTGGTTGATAACCTCCATCTTGAACACGGGACACCGTCGGCTTTGTCTCCACCTTCTTTCCAGTAGCATTCTCAACCTCAGATACTATCTGTTCGACTGTTTTCGTGGTAACGGGACGAGGGGCAGGATCCTCATCATGGGGGTCAATCTTGCCCTCAACTCGCCAAATTTCTGTGCCTGTGCCCTCGACAATGTTTCGAAGCTCCTTCTCCTTGGTGTTGAGAATGGAGTTCTTCTTGAACTCAGCGAGCGCCTTCGCATGATCGGCCTGCATTCTTTCTATTTCTGACTTGGTGGATTCGATGTGATTATGAACTCGCTTTCGAAATTCTTCGGCCTTGTCGGGGTCTAGGCGGCCGATATAAGGCTTTTCGGGCACAGTTGTGAAGGCCTCAACACCTTGGGCAGGGAATATTCCATCTGTCAGTGGTGACAATTCGCCCTTGAAACCAAGGTTGAGATCGGCTGGTGTGATTTGGCTTATACGATAAGGAGATGAGAGAATCTCCTCCATCCACTCGTGGTTCTGTTGGTATCGGCTCAACGAAATCTCTCTGGGAGTGAGATGATCGAACATATCACCTCTAGAGACATCCTCCTCATCATCAAAAGCAGCATCAGCCTGAGGCATTCCTGGTAGGGGAGCTTGGCCACCTTGGCTCGCGGCGTGTCTCGGTCGCTTGGCAGGAGGACCCGGTGTGGGCTGCGTGGGATAAGCCATCTGCTGAGGGACGCCCCGGGGAGCCATTTGGTGAGGCATTGCCTGCCGTGTAAGGTCCGGCAATTGGGGCCAGTTAACCCGGTCAGACAACATAAACTCTTTACGACGAATCTGACCAGCGCGCATCAAGAAGTGGCGCTGTTGCATAATGTTGCTGACTCGCTCGTCGAAGGGGATCATTGTGACAGGGACTCTATCATTGGGGTCGGATGGTCCGTAGTGCACAATAAACAGACCGATGTCTGGTTGAGGCGGGTTGGGGTGACCGGGGATAGGGACTAATCGGCATCGTCGACGGGCGTGAAGAGTGAGTTGTTCACCAGGGTAGTAACCGGCCTTTTGGTAGTAGATTTCGAGCATCTGGAGAGATTCAGCACTATGTTCCCTTGTTTTATCATTCCATTCGATCTTACCAGTCCGTTACCCAGATCATGCTTGTAGACTTGCTCCGGGGGAGCCCACACATAGCCATCGGTCGCGAAGTTGGTTCCCAAACGCTGAAGAGGCTGCCAGGTCAAGAGCATTGTGCCGTCTGCGGGTTTGTCGAGATATGTCCAGAAGAAAGGCGCTCTGTCTCGCGCGACTTGTGGTGCGCTCATAAGCCACTTAGCAACCTCGTTGAGGTCAAGTCGGGGCATCGCTGGGTATCGAAACGATGAAATGAGATGAACATGGGGCATCTATCAACCTGTCAGAGGGATACTGCGACGAAATTTCCGTCATTGCGCGTGAAAGCTGAACGTACAAGTTCCTGGGGAACGCCCTGGCTAGGATCCGGTTGAGCCATGATGGGCAAGCGTCGCGACGAATAATTGCTGGCGTGTCGTTATTTCTGTTTACGCGAATGATCGTACGTATAGCTGCGCGATACAAGACATTCGCCGTATGGAGGTATCGATGGGGCGATTGAGTGTTAAAAAGATAAGGGAATGTCGTGGCGCAATCAACGATATGATATGCGATGGAGTTGTTAGAAGAGTAATGCCCTTGCGCGGCTCCAAACTTCTCGCGACAAGGCTGGGTGCACCTAGCCAATGAGAGGGGCGTATTTATGGTAGGTAATGGTGGGTCTCTCGATATTCGTGTTAAAGCATTCAATGTCAAGCAAGATATAAATTCAACATAAAAACATCAATGGTCTTTGGATATCATCTTTTAAGAGGATTTAAATGAAGAAAGAGGCATTACCGAGTCTCTGAGCGAGATTGCTATACATTTCCTTGATACCATGCGGATGCAATGTGCCTTACCAGTTCGTCTCGCGTTTAATACTTTTACAGCATACAATTGACTTCGATAGGACTTATAGAACACATTTTAAAGACTACTCATCCTCACTCTTTGAATACGGCCAGAAAATGTTATTTAACTTATTTTTTTAATTCTTCTGTTCAGGTTCTAAAGGTGAACCTGCATGTCATCACAGAGCTTTCTAAATCCATACCAGCCCATTCATCATTATCCTTGCAGCGCCAGCGTTGTTCCTGCGTTCCTAATCACAGATTTTTTATAAGACGCAGCTATCGAGCTTCGTACGGCCCGACAATATTCATTTCTTAACCAATCATAATTCCTCCTCTTACCTCCAGGCCCTTTAAGCCTGGTAGGTGGAGGCGGAGACGTTACCACCACGTCCAGTCCAGTTGACGTGAATGTCCTGGCCGTTGGGATACTTCTCACTGGCGTGCTCGGGCTTGATGCGGAAGGTGTGGGCACCGAAGTAGTCACGCTGAGCCTGGAGAAGGTTGGCGGGGAGGTCCTTGGTGCGGTAACCGTCGAACCAAGACAGAGCGGTAGAGAAGGCGGGAGTAGGGATACCAAGGAGGGCAGCCTTAGAAATAACGTCTCGCCAACCGGGCTGAGCCTTGTGGATGGCCTTGTTGAAGAAGTCGTCGAACAGGAGGTTCTGGAGGTCAGGCTGGGTGCGGTAGGCGTGGGTGATGTCCTTAAGGAAGACGGATCGGATAATGCAGCCACCTCGCCACATGAGGGCAATAGAAGGCTTGTTAAGCTTCCAGCCGTACTCGCGAGCGGCCTCCTGCATAAGCATGAAGCCCTGAGCGTAGGAGATGATCTTGGAGGCGTAGAGGGCCTGCTCGAGGTCCTCGAGGAACTGCTCCTTGTCACCCTCGAACTTGGTGGTTCGGCTGACGAACTCAAGCTTGTTGGAGGCAGTAGCGCGCTCGTCCTTGATGGCGGACAAGCATCGGGAGAGAACAGACTCGGCGATCAGAGTGACGGGCATGCCGAGGTCGAGGGCGTTGACGGCGGTCCACTTGCCGGTACCCTTCTGGCCGGCCTTGTCGAGGATCTTCTCGACGAGGGCAGTGCCATCGTCGTCGTTGAAGTACATGATGTCGCGAGTGATCTCGATCAGGAAAGAGTCCAGAACACCCTTGTTCCACTTGGCGAAGACATCGCCAATCTCCTTGCTGGAGAGGCCGAGACCGCGCTTCATGATGTCGTAAGCCTGCAAGGTAAGACGTTAATTTCATATTCAGACTTGGCCATTTTGGGCAGTTCTCCTTACCTCGCAGATGAGCTGCATGTCACCATACTCAATACCATTGTGGACCATCTTGACGTAGTGACCAGCACCCTCGTCGCCAACCCACTCACAGCAAGCATCGCCATCGCTCTTAGCGGAGATGCTCTGGAAGATGTCCTTGATGTGGGGCCAGGCCTCCTCGTTACCACCGGGCATGATGGAGGGGCCGTATCGGGCACCCTCCTCACCACCGGAGACACCAGAACCGACGAATCGGATCTTCTTCTCGGCAAGGTACTTGGTGCGGCGGTTGGAGTCGGGGTAGTGGGAGTTACCACCGTCGATGATGATGTCGCCCTCGTCAAGGAGAGGGAGGATCTTCTCGATCCAGTCGTCGACAGCCTGGCCAGCCTGGACCAGGAGCATGACACGGCGGGGAGACTTGAGCTTGCTGACGAACTCCTCGACGCTGTGGGCGCCAACAATGGACTTGCCCTTGGCCTCGTTCTCGAGGAATCGGTCGACCTTGGAGACGGTTCGGTTGAAAGCGCAGATGGTGAAGCCGTTGTCAGCCATGTTCAGAATAAGGTTCTGTCCCCTGTAAGACGTGTGAGTACAAGCTATTGTTTCTGGCTAAGCCAGAGATGAATTTGGGGGTTAAACTTACATGACAGCGAGGCCGATGAGGCCCAGATCCGCACTTGGAACATTGTTAGCATTCGTCGTATTTTGAGTCGCATCAGAGTTTGAGGGTGATGTGGAAGCAGTGCGTTGTTGAGGGGCGCCCAGGTTGAGGTGAGCGAGACGAGCTCTACCCCAAAAAGAAGAGCATGAGCGGTGTTCATGATGGAGACAAATTATACCGTCCACGCGACGACTCCATGCGGAACTCTACCATAGCGATTGCTTCATTTTTCTCTTTTTCCCTCAAGCAGCGCCCGGAGCGCGCGGAAATGAGAACATGAGAGCATCACCATGAAGAGGTCGTGGAGGGGTGGTGGGGTAATGTCGAGAGGCAGGAGCGACGAGGGAGCTTGTAACTTACACAGGGCCAGACATGATGGGCTATATTATGTGATCGGGGGGTATAGGTGATGGAATAAAATGAAGTTTGTGAGGATGAATGAAGAAGAGGAGGAAAAGAAAAAGAAGAAGGTGGGAGGAGATGCAAAGTTCAAGTACTGGCACGAATACAGAACCTTGCTCTGGCTTTGGACGGGGACTGGGCCTGGGATGGACTGAAATCTGATGGATGTTGTCACACCCGTACTAAGGCTCGGTCGGTACCTTGTCCGCCAGCAAAGCATGGGAGGGAATAGAGGTCCCTTTTTTTTTCTGCGACCGCTTCGCTCAACGAAGCAACAGCTCAAAACCAATCCAATACAATTGGCATAACGCCAAGAATGGTGGAGAATCCGCCTTGATTGGCGGGGCTTTTGCTAGGTAAGTGCGTATCGTCATCGTCACTCGCCCGTCGTCACTGCGCGGTGCGGCCGAAGTGAAGTGAACAACTGACGATGGGATGGAGGTTTTGATGGATTACAGTATTGTATTTTTCTACATATTATTTTCAATGCGTCTTTTCGCAACTATAGACTCTGAGAGGTCTGTTTTCGGATATCAGTAATATTCATCAGCATTATCCTCAAACTTACTCATAAACATCTACAGCTACAAGATTCAAACTTTTGTTCAATTCCTTCTCAGCCATCATGATGACTGAAGTGATGCCCCTCCACTCCCTGGCCTTGTTTGTACTCCCTCATTGGTTGATACTCTCTAGTAGGGGTCCATCAGCCACCGGACACCAAGTTCCAGAGATTTCCCTCACAATGTTTTTAGCGGTATCACAGGCACTGAGATTTACCCCTCCAGGTCCCGGGCCCCTCTGCGCCCCCTCAGCTCCAACGTTATGACGACTCTGCGGTGCTGCTGCGGTCTTACCCCCAAGTTGAACCCCAAGGCTTACCAAGATTTTTGAAACCGTGACACAAGCAATACAAATCTCGTTACAAACCTCATGCCGCATATCGTGTCAGTTTTTTGGGTTTGCTCTTCCGTAGCTTCCGTTTGACAATCAATCATGCAAAACCATCAACCCTGAACCTTCTCGCCTCCAGAGCTCTTTCGATGCGTTCGGTTGGGATAACTTCCAGCCTCTCTTCCTCCCTCGTTGTTCATGCCATGCTATGCCATGTTGTCCGAGTGTTAGGGTCCACTACCTTCCGGGCCCGTGTAATCACTGCCGTGCCAATTGACTTCTCCATCGGACAATAACCCGAACCCCAACACGCTTTAGCCTTCGCCAATCCGTACCGATGCCCCCGAGAAAGGCGGATACAGACAAATGGAAGCCCAAAGAAAAAAGGCCGCAAATAGTAGACTCAGACTCAACCGTCAGCCAGTACAGGCGTACTCTCAACCCAGGTGCACACTCACCTCAGCCTGACTTCTACTTCTGGACAACACCCCCACCGGACATTAGCCCGGCAACAGGTACCACGGCGCGGTATAAGCGCCGAATCAGATAGACAGCCTCACTGGAGTCCGAAGTCGCTCATGACGAAACATACAAGAAACTCATGGATAACCCAAGGCCCAAGACCCAAGACGAGACGAGACAGCCCCAGGTCAGGTCAGGTCAGCCAAGCGAAACGCGCCTCAGAAGCGGAACCGCCAAAAGCCGTCTTGGGTATAACCAGCAGCCCAGGGCAATCTTTATGCCATGAAGCACGCCTGACAAACTCGACTTCTAATTGACTCGGCTCTGTCAAAAGCAAAACTTCTATCGATATGCGAACCATTGTGAATCACTGCATCTGGATAATAATGTCTCAGGTCCAGTCGCATCGGCTCGGTTCATATTAGCCGCCAGCTTCTGCCGCCCAAGTCGGCTTGATAACGGATCAATTTCACCTTTCCTTTTAACCTCATCCCATGTTCAATGGAAATTACGGATACATGTCCAGAGTCTAGACAGCCACTTAGTCCGGTATCGTAGCTAACAAGAGCGGATGCGCCTTTTTCGACTCGTTTGAAACTTACCAAACTTGGACATGAAGACATCGTGGGCCCCCACTCAAAGGCAAACAAAGCCTTAGTTATCATTGATGGGAAAGTATTCATGAAGCGTATTTTTCAATTTACTCACTTGTCAAGAGTCGACGTATATCCATCCAATAAATTGTATCATAACGAAAATAGTATGTGATATTGCAAGGTAGATTAACCCAGACTTGGTTAGTGATGTTATGTATTATCCTAGTATATGGCTCTACAACTTCTTTCATGGGAAGGACTACGAGGTATCATGAGACATATTCTAGGTTTCGATCTACAATCTTTCTAATGATTTGCATTTAAGAAAGTAGACGAGGCAGCCCGCTATTCGTGGGGGTCAACTCTGAGCTGTAAAGCATAACCTCTTTTACATCAAAGGCCAACGACCAAATTGAGCCAAGGAAGAGTGAGAAGACTACCAAAGAGACTTCGTCGAGTTTAATGTTGTGTTATACAATTCCTCTCCTCCAATTGCAAATATCAACTATCATGAGTACCCCATCGAGAAGTTATGATGGCATTTGCGATGGTTACACGTGACTGGAAAGCGGCCCCACTTAGATCATCAGAGTTCGAGCAAGGCTGAGGCAACCCAAATTTTTGGAGGCAGCCTTATCAAGATCCATTTTCTTCCATTTCCATCCAACCACACCATCGTCACCATCAAAATCGCGTTACCACGTCGCAACGCGCGCCCGGTCGATTCTTTCAGCAACAAACTGCACACGCTGCTAGTAAATCTTGTGAAAGAGGAACTTTGAGCAGAACTTGGCTCAAGGTACGTTTCTGCGCAAAAACTACACCGCCTTCTCTTGTATTCATCATGTCGTACCCTCCCCCTCCAGGCATCAGCAACAGCTCTCTTCCACCGAGACCACCCGCTTCCAAGTCAGGCTTCAAGCCCGCATTTTCCTCCGCGGCACAGACCTCGAAGCCTTCATACTCCAGCGCCCCGCCGACCTACTCCGGTCCTTCGAGTTACCCAGCCGCTAGCGCTCCCGCAACGCAGTATGGCGCCTCGTACTCTTCCTACCCGACCACCGCTCCCGGCGCGGTGAGTTCGGCCGCAGCATACTCATACCCTCAACAACCTCAGAGTTACGGTGCTCAGAGCTATGGCGCGCAAAGCTATGGTCCTCAGAGCTACGAACCGCAAAGCTATGGCGCAGCACCACAGATTAGAAATCCCTTCCCTACGCCAGGCACGGCCGGAGCCGATTACAACCCCGAGATGGCCGCTCAGATAGCGCAATGGCAAAGCGCATACTCGAGTGCCCCGGCAGATAGTAAAGATAAGAGCACTGGTCCTGCAGCACCTCGAACCGATGCCCAATCTTCAGCGGCCGCTGCAGCCACCGCTGCAAACCAAGAGCGCAAGAAGACGGTCGTTCGCGAAGGTGGTGGCAAGAAATGGACAGACGACAGCCTTCTCGAATGGGATCCCTCTCACCTGCGACTCTTCGTTGGTAACCTCGCAGGCGAAACCACCGACGATGCCCTCTTGAAGGCATTCTCGCGCTGGCAGTCCGTTCAAAAGGCCCGTGTCATCCGTGATAAGCGTACATCCAAGTCCAAGGGCTATGGCTTTGTCAGTTTCAGTGACGCCGACGATTTCTTCCAAGCCGCTAAGGAAATGAACGGCAAATACATCCAAAGTCACCCCGTAACCATTCGCAAAGCCAACACCGAAATCAAGGTGGCCAATGTCAAGGACAAGGATAGAAATGGAAAGAAGAACAACAAGAACAAGAAGGGCGGCCACGGTGGTCATGGCGGAGGTGCTAGCTACGAACCCAGCCTGGGACCCCAAGGCGGCAGTGGTGTTGTCAAGCCCGGTCAAAAGACAAAGAACGGTCTTCGACTACTTGGCTAATTCGTGCTTCCAACCAGAGAAAGGCTTTACTCGGTGTTTGGTGTTGGAATTATGCATGGTATTCGGTATAAATATGTTAATTCAAGCCATGCTATTTATAAACAAGTCAATATATTAGGTGATAATCGCACCACATCAGTTTCGCTCAATTATGCAGTTGTTGAAATCCCACAATTTTCATTATGAGTTCTGGAAAGCACTTTTGCAAGACTGCCCATTACCTACTCTAATAAACCTTTATGTTAAGGCTGCTACGTCAGTAACAGAAGAAATATCTTCCAAGGCTTAGACTACTAATGTAAAGCAGCCTAAAAGCTAATCTAAGCTCGTACAAAAAGACCAAATTATTTCATCTCTTATGCTGCGGCTAACTCTTCAACTCTTCTGACACCCTGACGCAGGCCTCGGTATATTATAAGTTTTGCTTGCCAGAGTAAGAAGCAGATGACTGATTATGACAGTCGATTCAGTACTTAAACTACTATTCGAAGGCCGAATTCAGTTTGAGAAAGTTTTCGATTAACGAGTGTATATCATTATCTAACTAGGGCTTTTCTATAATCTACAAGTGACAAGATCCCAATCACATCTCATATAACCAAAGTTGACAAAGGAAAACTGAACCAGAACTCCAAGACCATCCCACATATCCGTACAAGATTAGTTACAAAAGAAATACATCTAGGTCCCCCAAAGCTTCAGGGCATGTTGTTTCGAATATTGTCGTATTTACTCGTGGGGTATTTAAGAAGATTCTGGCTCTTCTCCAAACTGCCAAGGGTACGATGGACACCAGCAACCACACTTGCGGATCCGGTTCTATCGCCACTGGCTTCCCAATAGAAAGCACCACCAAGACCTCGCTGGTTGATGTAACCAGCCTTGGCTTGGCCTGACTTGAGGTCATCCATTGTCACAAGCTCCTTCTTGCTGCTGTCATATGTCCAGCTGGCCATAAGAGAAGAGCTATGGGAAGTCTTGGCTCCGGGACGAGGCAGCTCATTGAGAAGGTAGATTCCTTCCGAGTTACCAGCAGTGCCGGAGTACGATTTGCCAAGACCAGCTGTATTAGAAAAGGAACGGCCATAAAGAGCCATGCCCATGTGGATCTTCTCAGGGGGTATACCAGCAGCGATGTAAGCATTGAGAGTACCATCGGTGCTGAGCTTCGTTGAAAGTGGGTTCTTCTTGTCCAAGAAGACATTCGATTGGTGACCAGTGGTAGAGTCCCAGGGGCCAGCATAATCATAAGCCATCAGATGCCAGGCATCAATATAGCGGTTCATGTTCTTGAGATCCATGGTGTTGTAATGGCTTGAACCTGCTGGTGAGGCAACTGTGAGCAGGAAGTGATAATTGAGCTTATTGTCTGCTGAGTACCTGTCAAGGGCTTTTCGAAGTTCACTCAGTATCAGAACATAGTTTCGAGCCTCCTGAGCATTAGTTGGATACTCCCAGTCCACATCAATGCCGTCAAATCCCCAATCTGTAATGAGTTTGACAGCAGTAGCGATGAAGCGCCTTCGGCCAGCCTGGGTGCTCACACCAGCGGCGAGTGCTGGACTTCCATTGTAGCCGCCTATCGAAAGCAGCATCTGTTCGTACATCTTAGCGTTTTCACTTCCAAAGTCTGGGTCTTAGTGGCAAAGCTACCTTCAAATTGCGGTTCTTTTTCTTGAGAATGTACAGCTGCTTAACACACCCATATGCGTTGTTACCACCCCCAACGTCACCCGAATAGAGTCTCCCGGTGTCTGCCGACTCGTCTGACGATTGTCTGATACTTTGTTAATGGGACTCATCGATGCTCTCGTACTCGACAGGTACTTACACTGTTCCATCTTTGGCGTTTACATTGGCAAATGAGTAGAGCACATGCGTAACATGCTTCACCGGGAGGTCTTGGGGCTGGAAATCCGCCCCGTATGTACCCCTAGTTTCTTCATTATTAGCACCCATTAGTGGTCAGAAAGTACAAAGCAACTCACCAGTTTGTGAAGTAAATCATGTTTCGCTTTGCAACGCCTCGGGCCTCTAGACGAGTAGGGGCATTGCTGGCGTCCTCATCATCGAAGTCACCACCAAAGTAGTTTTTAGCGTCATCTTCATCCTGGACATTGGCCGCCTCTTCGTTCTCGGCCTGCTCTTCAGACATATTGGCAACAGGAATGTTCGCTGAATCCTGGTTATGAGCCTCATCGGTCTCCTCATTCTCAGCCTGTTGCTCAGACATATCGACAGCAGGAAGGTTCTCAGAGTCATTGTTCTCAACGTCGTCGGATTTCTCGTCCTCAGAGTCGCCAAGATTGGGGAAGTCCGAGGGACTGAGCTCATCGTCGTCCTCTTCTTCGAAGTCGACATTAGCTTCATCTTCCTCGTCACGCTTCAGAAGATCGGCTCGAGAAGATCTCTGCTCAGGATCAGGAATGGCAGTCTCTTGAGAAGCAGCTTTGATATCACCGTTTGCTGAGCGTGTGTTGAACTTGGACGGCAACCAAGGATTCTTGGGAGGAATGAATTGGGGCACTGTGTCTCTAGGAACAGATTGAGTAGGTTGGGGCTTCTTGGGGCCTCGGAAAGGTGACCTGGGTGGGATGAAACTGGGCAGTTTATCATCGTCTGCATTGTTCTGGGCCGCAAGCTTCTGAGGACTGGCGTTCTTGGTGCTTGTCTTTGTGTTCTTAGTGTCTTTGGTGTTTTTGGTATCCTTGTTGTCCTTGGCGTTCTTGGTGTCTTTTGAGTTCTTCGAATCCTTCGCGGCAGTTTTCTTGTTGTCGTTGACAGACGCAACTGAGGCAAGCCTTTGAGGGCTAGCCTGTTCATTGGTAGACTTTTGCTGCTGGTACGTCTTTGCAACAAAAGGCATTTTGGGTGGGATGAATCCCGGTACAATATCATCCTTAGAGTCATCTGGCTGGGCTGCAGCGGTAGGCTTAGCTACTTTGGTCTGAGGCTTGAGCGCATAACCTATCTTGGGCGGGATGAATTGCGGTGCGGCAACGGCGGTTTCCTCTGCTTGACGGCGAACAGCAGTCGACATGGTTGTCCTGGAACCGTGTGAGTGCTCCATGTGGCCATGGAGGTGCTGGTGTCTGGGTTCCACTGACGGGACAGCCAAGGCTGCTTGCACCAAAAAGGGCGCGATGATAAAGATCTGGTTGAGCATATCCAGTACTCTAGTAAAACCTTTTTGGTAAAAGAGACCTGTTCGTGGGTGTAATCGTTCTCAGACTTGTGAGAGTCTAGGTGATGGGTTGTGAAAGCAAGTCGATAAGAAATTGATAACTATCAACGCTTCTTATAAGCGACTGACAGTGAGCTGATTTTAAAGGAGTGGCACCTCGCAAAAAGTGAGATGGTGTTCAGAAACTGCTTCAAGGGGTCCAACAGTCTTGTGAGGGAGTTTAAGCTGAGACAAGATGCTGAAGGCAGGCTGGCAGTGAGACAGAAACCAGGTGACGGAAGCGGAGAATGAGAAAGCACTATACTTTATGAAAGCGAGGGAGACGATTTGTAAGGAACGAGTGACGTTGGTTGGATATTGATGGAAAAGGAATGGCTTAAGGGTGAGATCAATGGGAAGAGAAGGGAAGCCAAGAGCGTGAGACACGGGAATCGAGGCAAATTTATGACCTTGGACATGATGAAGGCACGCCACTCTGGCTATCTCGGTTCAGGATAAGAAGAAGATCCTGAAGGAGTATAGCATGTCGACGAAAGCGTATTGTGTACGCGTAGCGGTGGGAAGAGGACGCCCAAGCATGCTACGGAAAGCATCGCTGACCCTCCATCAAGGGGATTCCGTTCTCGACTAAGGGTGTCTCGACGTCGGATGAGACATGAAGACCAAAGTCTGAGAGCTTATCGAGCGCCACAAGCCTCTAAAACGTGGGATTGGTATGTCTTGGGACCCTGACGAGGAATGCGCTTAGTGTCTGGAACCAGTGGATGATGGCACTAGGGACGGGCGGTCGGAGTTTAAGGCACTGGGACATGTTGATGATTTCTTTCAGATCAGATTGTCATTGCGAATGAGCCGAAATAGGGTTGAGTCGGGGTCTTTCTCGGGGTTGGAGAGAAAGTCCGTAGGCTCGATGCTGGTGATCCTAGTGTAAGTGGATGTAGTAGCGTTGGTGATGATGAAAGTATAGAGTTTAAGACCCCGATCGGCGTCGGGACCCGACAAGCTAAAGTTGAAAGTGACAGTCGTTCCTGCGTAAGCCTCCTTCCGTTTAATCGATTTCTGCACCTTCCAATCTTGTGCCTGTTCCTGACCCTGAATTGACCCGTTAATCGTGCCTGCCCAGTTCGACTTTAGGCGGTTGCTGACTGATACATCGAACTCAGAAGAAGGGTTGAATTTGAGATAATCGCCAAGTCATATATATTGTATATATATTAATGTCTGTCAAGGGAGACAACAATCAATTGTCCCCTACTTTTCACAATGAGCCCCTCGTCAGGGTACGTAAGACGCCGCTCCCGCTAATGTCTGAGTCCTTTCCCTTGCGCTCCCGCTACCTCGAGGGTGACTCCCTTGAATGATTCACATTTTGACAGCTCGTCAAGACTACTATCGTTAACTCACACAAGACAATCCCGAGAAACCAAGCAATAACTAATTCCAAGGGTCTAGATCATGATCCAGAAAACAGACGTTAGTAAAGGCGTCGCCGAGACTCATTCTGGACTCATCAACGTTGAACATACAAACTCTGCCTCTCGCAACGTCCAAGCGTTGGTGATTTGGAATAAATAGTTTTCTCTTCCTCTGCTGCCTGTTCCTGATTCAAAGAAGGGTCTGTGGCTAAGCTAGAGACGATGATGACAGATCAGTAATGGTTGGCATTGACACTGACACTAAACTAGTGAAGCCATCACGATGTCCTTAATGGCGCCTGAATCGTCAATCTGCATTCCAGTCGCCCACAATTATCGATTCAGAAACCATCGGGCCGGCCGTTTGCATCGAAATCTCTGCTGTCTATCTCTGATACAAGACATCGGCCATGCCCCCCGATCCCGCGACTTTCAGTTATGGACAGCCTCTGCCATGAATGGATGAGGCACCAGATGTAACTCTCTGACCACAGCATAAGTAAGAATTGGTTCACCTTGAAACCGCCATTTGATGTCACAATTACATGCATATATGTCATCTGATGTTCTACTCGCATTCCCACGGAAAAGGAAGAAAAGAAAGTGGCAGGGCTCGGTGGGTAACAGAAGAAAGGTCCTTTAAGGCTTAGGCTACCAGAATAAAAGTAGCCTAAATGCTAATCTAAATTAGCATAAGATGACTAAACTATTTTATCCCTTATGTTTATAACGGTCAATTCTTCTGATGCCCTGCGGCAGGGCTATCTGGAAGTTCTTTCAGCGTGCGGTGGAAGCACTATCACTAACAGCTACGTGATAAACTCCTGCCAAGGTCCCACGATTGATCGAGAACCAGTTTTGTCCGAAGACGACTCAGAAGGTCGGTTAATGTCTTGAAATATGTGGATATATGAACAATAACTACAGAACCTGAGGACAATCTAGCCAAGTCCCGTATACAAACTCGTAAATGCTGCTACATTGTGCTGGTAAACAAACATTGCACACACAGGAACCTTGATCATACAGCTGTATTTGCCCCCCTTTGAAGTCTCCAACTGCGCGTCTCAAGAATCTCTCTCTGTCTCATACTCGTAGCTCTCGGCAATCCTCCGTTGTATTCATCCTTCGTAGTGGAAGAAACAGTCTCAAGCTCAGCCAAGTCCTCTCTCGTGCGCGGCTTCTCATCCCTCCTCGCAGAAAGATAAAAGAAGTCCCAAAGGAAGCTACGCTCCAGCTGTCGAGGCTTGCCATCAGCGGTCCAGTATCTCTCCTCGCTGAGCTCCTGGGACAAGTGTCTTCGGAAGTAACGGTCCTGGTTAACCCACCAGGCCCGCCATAAGACGAGGATCATTATGGTCAGGGGCACGGCAGTGGCCCAGTAGTACCAAAAATTTTCACCGAAGCGCTTGACTTTCACCCCTTGGATCGTGACTCCTGCAGCATCATCGATGGCATCGTCTTCTGCCTCTGGACCAAGCCAGTCGAACATTGACATGCCGAAGAGGGTACCTAGAAACTCTCCGGGGAGAAAGATGGCGGTTATGACGGCTAAAGCTTTCATGGAGGAACTGTCACGGGAGGATGATACGGCCATTCGAGCGTTGAGGATGTTGTCTTCCTGAGCCATCTTACTGTAGATCTGTGGTATGTAAGCATATGCCGTTCAGTAGGGAGGTCGCGATACTTACCATGTCGATTTGGGCACGGCATCTAGCCTCTGACATACGTCTATCAGTCTCAAGACCCATGCAGAGTCTAAGCAGACCATCGAGGTACTGGCGAATTTCATGCCAATGAGGGCCCAGGGAGTCGCCATCCGTGATCTCTTCAGGGAGCTGAAGTTTAGGAAGATCTCGAGGTGGCAGAACAGGACTGACTGGAGGAAATCCACCTGATGGGTCCAAGTAATTAGGACTTAACATGCTAAGATCCTGACTAAAGCACAAGCTGTTCCCCATTCGTTCATTGAGTTCATCACCAGCTAGAATCAAGACCTTGATAGCTCTTTCCATCCATCGAATAGTATCAAGAAGCTTGATAGTATCTTTGAGAACCTCGTGCGCCCTCTTCATTAGCTTTGTCATAGTCGACGGGCCCCATGTAATTCTCTCGCCATCCTTTCCATTACTAAAGGTTCGGCTCAGACGTCTCCCGAACTCTGCTGCATCGAAACCCGCAATGTTGCTAACATCGTATTCCAGATGAGCTACGTTGGAGTTGTTCTCGCTGACAGCTTCCTCGCACCGCAAGAACTGTACTTGGAGTAACACGACAGGCATGATGAGAGGGTGTGCCCAATGGGTTCTGCATGACTCGAGACGGTGGTCGTACTCGTCGAGATCGTCCATGTTGTGACGTCTTGGCTCCCAAGATTGTCGGACCAGGATGGTTGCAGAGCGATCACGAACATCGTATGTCATGGAGAGGAAGTCGCAGGGCGTCTTTGGCATTTCTGAGAAAGCGAGAATAATGCCTATGTATTTGTTAGAAGTTGATTATTATTGGCTATAAGTAGACCTACTCAGCTGAGACCTATCTTTGGACCAGAATCTAGATTCTGTTGTAGTACGGGTTGAGTATTGCAGAGTGGCAGGGTGAAGGTTCATGGCGGCAAGATCGTCAACTGTCATGCTGAGAATCTCGCGGTTGCCATCGTAGATGCCTGTCTTGCGTTTGAAACAGATGCTGTATCCAGTCAGATAAGTAGGTATACGGTGACAAAGAGAACTTACACTCTGCGAATTCGACCTTCCATGCCAGCTGATGGTGCTTCATCGTCATCTGGCTTTCGAAAAGTACCCTTTCAACTAGTTAGTCAACGTCTTTTGTAGCTGCTGATAAATACTGACTTCACGATCAAGCATATGTCCTTGGCGGAATGCTAGATCAAAGATTGTAGTTCCCGGGGTATCATCGCGGGTAAAATGGTGAGTGATATGTTCATCATGATGTCCCCAAGCATGATTCAAACTCTCAGGTGCAGGTTCAGGCGCAGGCTCAGAACCATCTCGTTTATAAACGACATATTCATCATACTCAATGTTTGACGGAGTGTCATTCCCCGTGATAAGAACTTGCTTGGAACAGACCTTCTGGTCATAGTTGAAGAGATCTAAACCGTGGTGTACAAACCCCATTAGGGCGGTTGTGCTCCACCGCCCGAGACGGACAGCGTAGTCTTGCGGGACTTGAGAAGAGCGGCGACCCTCTTGAACGGGGTCGAGAACTCGTTATTCATGAGAGTCTTTTGACTAGAAGGATTGGAAGTTAAGGTAGGACTATAGTGTCGGTGGGGGGGGGATACGGTATAAGCGAGCGGTAGGTCACTCCTTTTTCTACAGCTGTATGCAATCAAGTGCCATTGATCGTCCAGCGGCGGGTCAAGCTTATTTATGTACGTGAATGATCCTCTGAAGCTGACTGCCAAGAGTTTGTCTAGCCGGGGGGGCTGGTTCATTACGAGCCCGACATCTTGATACCGCTGTTAGGCCACGCACAAAGAGCGTCACGAGGTGTTGACAGACAAGGTTAATATTCCTTCCACGACTCTAGAATGTCTCATGTTCTTCCATCACGGCTTCAAGATCCGTCCAACGGCGAATGAGACGGGACTCCGGGACCTGGGAAGTGGATCCGGCCGGAACGGGGAATCGGAGGATATCGGTCGGTGGTGGCTGAGTTAGATTAGATCCGGGGAAAAGAGAAAAGGACAGTGACATGATGTACATCAATTGGACAGTTATAAGCGAACTGCCATTCTGGGTTTATCTCGGGCGTAAATATGGGTTCTCAACTGAGGCGCAGGTTTTGGTAGAGTGACATTGGCCTTGATATCCATGAACCAACAGACATCACGAGACTTGTTTCTCGCAGAGATGACCAGAAATGGTAAGAGTTGTGATGTAATTTACAGATTATTGCTGCCCAATTTTCAGATTAATTTGATATATTGATAACAACTGTTAGTCACCAAAAGAAGTCTCTGATAAGTCATGTTAGACAAGTAAATGGGATATAGAATCAAATGTTTCCGTTTATTCATTAGACTCGTGTCCATTCTAGCCTATAAGGGTATATCCAAAATCCATCAACCGGGTATTATCTCGACTCGTATCTTCGTATCTATGATGTGCATGAACCACTCGCCCAAGAAGAATCTCCCATCTCAGACTCCTCAGTCTCATCCTCTTCACTAATGACTCCGAGACCAGGATCCAATTCAAAAGCAGATTCAGCTTGACTCTCTTCCATCTTCTTTTTCTCTTCGATTTTCTTCTACTCTTCAATATTTGCCTTCTTCTCCTCGATCCTCCTAAGAGTCTCTTTCACATCCTCAATGCTCCTCCTAGCTTTGCCCAATTTGTTTCCCATCGCGATACATCTGTTGCACTTTTTCTGCAATCTTCGTGATGTAGGCACGTGAGGGTTTTTTACCAAGCAATCTTGGTCGCTCTCCTTGGCGATAAAGGCTTCGCTGGTCGGGCACTTCTTTACACATAAACCCCAGCGCTCGTGGGCGCAGGTGAAAACGACACGGCCGTATAAACACATAGTGACGGTGTAGAGATATAGATGTTGATGGGGTCGATACTGATAATGCTCGTGGGTAGAGGTTTCTTCTGTATCGATATTTGTTGTGGATGAGGGCGGAGTCTATAGATCGGTCGAGCATCTTGTCGTTTTTATATCATTATCTGAACAAGCAAAATAACTAACAAGACAGTGAAGAAGTGTTCTTTTGTTGGTGTTCACAGACTATTAATGTTCTTGGGGCTATGTTCTTTATGTACAATCAGATCCATTGACAGTCAACAAACCTTGTTCTCTTGTACAGGGCGCAACCAGACACAAGATGGGAGGCATTTTCTTTGTTTACATGGGATCTCATTTCACTATTAATGGATTCTTGCACTAGCCACGTCGTTGGCGTGAACAGCGTGCAACATCGCAAGGTTCATCCGTGCCCGAATTCATGCATTTCGTCCATTATTCAATATCGACATTCATGTCAATTAAATTAGAAGCAAACAAGAAAATTCTCTCTCCAAGACTAGAATGTTCCTCAGAAGCAAGAAATCTTTCAGCACTGTTATGCCTGCCCATCCAACAATCCGCTGTCCAATACTTCCCGAAAGTTCCTCGCCCATTTCACTTTACCATCCCCTTCACTCTTCTCACCAACGTGAGGAACATTAACTCTTATCCTCTTCAGTGTTTTCATCAATGTTGATTCTTCATCATCCGATATCACAACTCCCCCTGTGAGCAAACACTCCATATCCGTCGTCGAGTCCCCAAAGTAAATCACTTTTCCGTCCTTCTCTTTCATAAGATGCTTCAAAGCTTCCTTCTTCTCTCGCGCATTCGTCATACGTCCACTAAAGAACTCGGGGCCTGTAATGGTTCCGTCCAGAGCTGGTTCATTCGCAACAACATCAAGAGTGTGTGGGGATAGAGCGCCTCGAATAAAAGCACGGGACCAGTTGACCGATATAACGCTCACGCTCCAATTCCTTTCAGCTGCAAGGTTCATGACGTCTTTGAACCCATCTCTGATCTCTATCCTCCCAGCGGTAACGGCGTCGGCTCCAGCTTGTGATAGCGTCTCAGCATCCAAGCCTGTAAAGATGCGTGACTCGGCAATGCGCTGTAATGATGCCTCCTCCACGTCTTTCATTCCCGACAAAAAGTGAAACTCTTGATCCACGCATGTCCGCGTATCCTCTGGTGACGGATGATTCTCTTTGTAGTGTCTGTAATCGGCAACATAGGCTTGAACCACTTGGTCCCATGAAGCCTGAAGATCGTGGCCATTCCTATTCCGCTGTATCTCGATAGCCGAGCGGGCCAGCTCCCCAATTGTGTCTTCCTGGGTAATCGTTCCGTCAAAGTCGAATACTAGATGCATCTTGTAACAGGAAGAATAATGAAGGCAGTCTTGAGGCGAGGTTGTTGTCATAAGCGAAGTTGCTGGGATGATCAACAAGTGGAGAAGAGCTATAAGCATAAGCATTTGAGCCAAGATCTTGGAAGGTAGCTTCCCGCTCAGAACCAGCAGCTGACTCAATATTCAAATGGCGTTTTATAGAGCGCCTGTGGTTATTCTAGAGTCTACTAAGGTTAAGTTAACTTGGTTATTGCGGGGAAGTTCATTACGTAGTTGTTCTTGTAAAGAGTGAGAGTGAGTGGATCACAATGACCAGGAAATCGTAGTAGTAGCTCGGCCAAGCTTCCTACTTACATACCTACCTAGTAAAGGCCGGGTATAAACAACGATAGATAGGTAGTCAGGTGGGTCAAAGAAAAAAAGCGAGACTTAGTTAAGGGTATCGTAAAAGTTAGGATAGTTTAACCTAAGCTTAGTGCCTAAGCAAGTCTAAGTTATTTTGTCAATAGGCTTCTGTGTCCTGGTTATTTTTTGGACCGCCTGATAGTCGTCTACTGAGACAAGTCAACAAGTTCTAACAAAAACATTTCATTCGCTAAGTTGACTACTTCTTGTAATCTCTGGTGCTAAAGGGTATCATGCTCTAAAAACCCTATCCTTTGTTTGAATTCTTCCTTCCAACGTAGCATTATACGACAGCTATGCTGTAATCAAATCTTCCTGTGATGATGAAATTCTACCTCTTACTGTTATTTGTTGCTCGTAGGACGTGCCAGAATCACGATCGTCCCTAAGAGACTGGTAGCACATCTTCCATCTCTTCGTCGTCGTCGTCATCGTCCATGGGTTCGGCGGCAGCCTCTTGGGCCTCTGCGCCGCCCTTGTCGCGGTAAGCGTCGCTCAAACAGTAGTGGTTGGCGAACCGACCACTCTTGTTGAGGACGGCAATCTTCTCAAGCACTTGCCGCAAGTACTGGTCGGGCTGCTGGAGCTTTTGTCGAAGTGCCTTCATAGACCAATATTGATACTGGCGGAAACACTCGAAAATAAGATCCAGAAGCTGGTTCTCTGGGATACGGGCGGCCTTGAAAACCTCGCCCTTCTTTGGCTTGGCTGTAGCTGCAGCATTTTTCTAGCAGGTTGGTCAGTATTGCTTGGATTGTAACACACATAAAAACAACCAAACTTACGACAAAGCTGCCACCCCAGTTGGCTGCGCTGACACTTCCGGGGTTGACAATGGTTGAAGCTGCGTTTCGACTGATAATTTGAAGCTTGGACTTGTTTGCCTCAGCATCGAGAATCTTCTGCTGAAGCAGTCGCTCTTCTTCCCTAATATCACGAGGTTCCACGCGAACATCATAATGTATCTTACCAAAGATCTTCGTCTTTTCTGATGTGACGAATTAGCCACCCATCCTTTAGTCGCAAACCATACAGTTGTACTTACTGGGAACAGCCTTTCGATAGTAGGGTTGATATCGGCTCCTGCGGTCGTACGTCGGTCGATCTGGCCCGTTGCCGTTGTTGGCTTGCTTCTGCCTTAGCAGCGAGGCAGGGATACCAGCGTTAGCAGCCTCTTGTCGCGCCTTGCTCCGTGCCTTGAAACCGGGCAAATCTTCTTCGCTGAAGATGAAGTGGTTGCTGACATTGGGTTCTAGGACTTCGAGGTCGTATTCGCGAGGCAGCACTTGGTGTTCGGGGCAGTTGTTGGAGAGAAGCATGCGAAGCTTGGTCTATCCTTATGTCAATATGATGCCATCATCATGCCTTGCCTTGCTTCGCTTATGCAGGCGCAGGATAGAATACGCACATCCGAGCTGCCGTCTGGCTTTTGTTCGGTCCATGTTCGCAGAGTGCCAATCTGAATCTCATCGTCGTCGCCCAGTCGCTCGGTGAGCTTGTACCAAGCTTCCCACATGTATCGAGGAACGCGCGCTAGGTAGAGCGTCTCGGAAGTGGGAGCATTCTTGTCGTAAAATTCGAGGTCGCCAGCATCTTCGTATAGATCCTCTTCCTCTGCTGGGGTTTCGGGGTCGGGTTTGATATAAGGATCTTGCTTGATGAATGGTTCGGACATGATGTTGGTTGATGTGGATGGCAGGTTTGTAGGAGAAAGTGACGGCGCGCGCAGTGTCGTAAATATGGATGGAGTTACAGGCTGCAGGAGCTAAGATGTACCAAAGCGGGTCTCCTTCTTTATTCTCGACCTCGACTACCTACGGGTAGAACTATAAGGTAAGGTAATTACTAGAGTAATTTGATTTGGAAACCTATAGTCAGGAAAATAAAAGCAACCGACTAAGATTAATTAGAAGGACTTTAGAATTTGGACTATGTAATGCTCAGTTACCTTGTGTTGAAGCAAGTTAAGTTTGTATTATTTCAGATATAGGGTAGCATCTCTTCTCTCAAGAACAAAGAAAGCCTGGAAACAAGGGTGCACGGGCGTTAAGTCATGTCTTTCAGTGTTTGTTATTTCCAGCTACCAGAATAACTCCCGTCTACTGTCTTTGTAGCGGACACCTAGATGACTGGAAACAAAATACTGCCACACCTTGACACGCCTTAAAGGCTCCATTTTCTTTTTTGACTTGAACCTTATACAGATATCTTACTTGAGCCTGATCAATATTACACACCTAAATAACGCAGTTTTCTAATATCAACACAATAAGCTACTAACCGTAAATTTAACAAAATAAACTCTCTCGATAGAATCACAAGACTTGCAAAATGACTCCCCTGAACCTTCATTTTTGCAGGCTATATAAAGGCTCCATCTTCTTCGTTTTCTTTGTGTCATCTTTCTGTAGATCCCCTTTCTTTTTTAGACCAAAGTCGTTTTGCGCTTGAACCAATAAGGTAAAGACCCATGCTCCCCAAGCTGCATCCCAAACCAAAAAGAGGTCTCACCTATCACATCCCCGACAACTACGTCGTGGCTCAGCCTCTTTAACAACTTCCCTTTGACTTCTGACAACCCTGGGCTCTCTTTAACTCAACATTCTATTTTTTGCAATGTCGCGGTAACACTGATTCACAAGCGGTAGCTATTGCGCTAGCTTATATATACGGCTACCCCCTTTTCCACTATTTTGATATAAGCCAACCTGCCCCGTTGTCACATAGTCGACAGCTCCGATTTCGCCCTTACTTCCACGACAGACCTTCCAACATATAATTCATAATACCACCAGTAGACCGAGCGAATACTTGAACAAAAATCCCTGAACCTAATCTTTTACACATACACGTCAATATGCCAGCCAAGTCTCTCCTGGAGATTGCCACAGCGGCATGCATCAAGAACATTCGCGAACTCGACAGCGTCGGCGACTATCTCCTCTACAAAACCATCCGTCCTCTGCTTCTCAAAATCGATAATCCCAAACAACTACGTACTATCGAGATTAACTCCCCGCAAATCCAAGGCGAGACGGGCGAGATATGGCTCAAGATAATCAAGCACGAATTCCCAATGGAATTCAAGCAGAAGGCATACAAGCCCCCAAACGCGACGAAATGGTACCGCGTCTACGAAAAGTACAAATCAGACCATCAGAAAGCCCTCGATGAAAGTGAGGCTAAGCTCAAGAGCGCCTTTATGGGGATCAAGAAGGATAGAGAGAAGACCATCACCAAGATTGTTGACGACAGGAGGCTGCTCCCGCAGGGAGGGAGAGTCGGACCAAAGAAACCTTGGGGATTCGGAGCGCGAGACCCCAATGGCAGCACACTGGCGTTTACAAGGGGTAGTCGCACAAAGACAAACAACGGCGCAAGCGTAATGCGCAAGGTGCGAAGGGAGACAAAGGAAATTGCCAGCATCCATGGCTCATTGTCGAGACCGACCCAGTCATCCAATGCTATCTCAAAGATTCGAAAGGCACCTCCCGCTATGGTCAATGACTACCAGAGAGCGTCTCAACCAGCGATCCGGCCGCCTCCACCAAAACCAACACCTTCTGAGGTAGTTGAAGCTCACGAGGAACGAGCGCAATACATCACAGACTCAGACTCGGATGGTGGCGGTGGAGACGATTTGTTTGATGACGATCCATCACCTCCTCGACAGACATCTGCTCGCCCTTCATCATCTACTCTCAAGCGGCCATCACCTAGTCCAAGTAAGCCGGTGGCCAAGGCCAAGCGAGGTCTGCTATCCAATAGTTATAAGGGCCCCAAGCCTCAAGCCGCTGCAGCACCTTCACAACCTCGATCTTCGCGGCCAGTCAAGGAGGAAAGAAGATCTCCTATCCCTGAGCGGGAAGTTTTGTCCCCTTCACCTGAGGCTGGCCCATCCTCTTCGCCCCCACCAGCTGCTCGACTGCCTCCTGCTGTCAACCCACGCAAGCGTAAGGGTACTGATATCTTCATGAAGCCCAAAAGAAGAGCCTAAGGCCCCCTGGGACAGTTTTTTGTTTTGTTTTTTTACTATTGCATCTTCGGGTGGTACATCGGAGCGTTTTCATCGAGCAGGAGGCTATTTGTCCCTACTGCATGGCGTACGAGTTATAACGGGTGATTTTGGGAAATGGTACAACACTGCAAATGGGACTAGGAAATACGGTCCATCAATTTGAATTAGACTGGGTATAAAATGGGATGGCTCAAAATGGATTTATCTTTGCTCGTGACTTGTACGACAGCAACAACAGCACCGCCAGCGAAAAGAACTACAAGGCATCGGCAAACATTATAGAATTTGATAACTCTTTGATTGTTTTATGGTATCCTCATCGTGTGTTTGTGTCTTCTAAGTAGTGCTCAATCCCAGCAACAGCCTTCTGCGCATCCTCAGTGTACAGCTGACTCGACATCATGATCCTTTCGGTTCAACAGCTGTTGTATACTGCGCGTGTTGTGTATCCTTCGTGTATATGATCCTGGAACCTGTATCGAGCTCCCTGGGTTGGGAATAAAGTCTACTCCGATAGTTCGAATTGTCATTCGATACTATTTATGCTAGCCATCGTCCACCTCTAAGGGCGAGGACGAGATGCAGAGTGTCTCCAGCGACGAGGTTGTATTCGGAGGCGGTCTTGTCGTCGGTCCTAAGCAAAACAAGTTAGTAACTGGTGCATCCTTGACACGGGCGCGTTGTTAAATGCGACGTACATTTGCTTGCCGCCGTGAATGAGTCGTTGCTGAACAGGCGGGATACCCTCCTTCTCCTCGACCTTCTCCTTGATTTGGGAGACCTACAAGCAGTCAGTATAAGCTCAATATCTCTTCTGCTCCAAATGGAAAGCGTCTATCCAATATTACCTTGTAGTCTGACTCGATGTCGAGCTCGATCTCCTTGCCAGTCAATGTTCGGACCCTGTTGAATCGCAAAGTTAGCTGCGTTTGTACATGACGTCGAAGTTTCGGTGACGTACTTGATCAACATATTTGCGGTTGCGTTAAGGCGTTCGGTTCTGGTGTTATCGCGTGTCCTTTTTTGGAGTTTGTGAAGTAAAAAGAAGGCAAGTCGTGAAGCTTCCGAGTATGCGAGGCTAATGAGAAAGTCAAATGCTGGACGCTGTTGGGCTGACTGAGCCCGGGATCGATGGTGGGGTTGTAGGTTAACATTCACGGAAGGAGGGGCGACCCTGGTACTGAATGGCGGTTGCCTCGCTAGAACCATTCACCTGCCTGCTATTGATGAATCCGATGCTTAAACACGATTCTAACAAGGACTTGTTCAGGCTACCAACTTATAAAGCAAACAAGACAAAACTTAATACAATGTCGTGTCTTTTTCTTATGTACCCAGGTACCTACTGTAGTTAGTTGTGTTCGCATAGATACATGCTCCATCTTCATTATAGATTCACAAGCTGATCGTTTCAATCAATATTGTTTGCAGCAGAGCAGAATAGGCAGTTTTCTTTCACTACCTCATTATTCATAATAATACAACCATTTCGGTAGGTAGACATACAGTGGAGAGTTACATTAAACCCCATAAACACACCTCTTCATCTCTCACCTGATCATCCTTAGTTCTTCTCACCGGTTTCGAAAACATTAAGACCCAGACCCTCAGAGTCGAGCATCAGCCTGTTCTTGGCGCCAGCCTCCTGGAGCTGAGAAGCGATCAATCGAGCGTTCTCGATCTTCTTGAGCTCAAGGTAGGCCTTGTTCTTCTTGATAGCCTCACCAATCAGCTCAGCAGAGCGAGCCTCACCCTGTGCCCTGACAACCATGGCCTGCTTCTCTTGTCGTGCCTTGTCGACGACGAAGGCTGCTCGCTGGGCCTCTTGCTGGGCAACCTGCTTGGCCTCAACGGCGGCTGTGAACTCGGGAGAGAAGGCAAGGTGCTATAGCATGTTAGTTCAATGCACATATTAACTCGCAAGATTTGTACATACAGTTAGGGAGACATCATCGAGAAGAATGTTGAATCGGGCAGCTCGGCGAGAAAGGTTCTCTCGCACCAGTCTAGCGACGTTCTCACGCTGTGTAATGAGCTGACTGGCATTGAACTGGGCAACAACGCTCTTGAGAACCTCGTTGACGATAGAGGGCAGCACACGCTCGTCGTAATCGGTGCCTAGTGTTCGGTAGATTTGGGGAAGAGCATCGATCTGAGGGCGGGAAAGCACACGACAGGTGATGTTAACCATCTGCAAATCCTTGGTACCAGTCAAGGACGCAACGTTGCGCGGCTTCGCTCGGACATCGTACACGATCGGGGTCTCAAACCAAGGGATGTTGATGTGTGTTCCTATAAGTTTCCCAAGTCAGCCTCTAGGCCGGATCCGAATCGTCCGAGATATTGGTCCTCGTACCTTCGTTGTAGATTTCCTTGCTCACACCAGTTAATCTCTGGTACTTGATGGCTCGGTGACCACCATCAACGTTGAAAAGCGAGTTTGACAGGAACAGAGCACCACCAGCAAGCAAAAGACCACCAGCGAGAGCGCCACCGGCTGCTCGAGGCATCTGAGGGCCACCTCCTCCAACACCACCACGAGCCTGCTGCATCTGTCGGAGACGGCGCATGGCCTCCTCTTGCCAGTTGTTGTTCGACATTGTGAAGCTTGCGTTTTCGGAGCGAGTGTGGACGAATCGAACCGAAGTGGGATGTCGACGTGGGTGGTGATGCTTTTTTCCTAGGCGTCCGTGTAGTCGTCAATGATGGTGATGGGATGGGTCATGGAGCTGCGATTGAAGCTGTCGGGTGTGGGTCCCCTCTTTTTGCCCGCCCGCCCGACCTTTCCCGTTTAAGAAGCAGCATTCGTCCAATTGCCTCTTGCCTTTACACCAAGACATGAGATAATCGTGTTACTCAGTCACAGTCACATTCACTCTTCCAAAACATGCACCATAGGTAATTGAATAAATATTTCATACAAAGGAAATGTTTGTCCCGTCAAGGGGCATTCAGAACACCATGTTCTGCACTATATGGTATCTGTACGTACACAACATGGACAAACCCCATTCGCCAAACACATGCAACCAACCTAACCTGATACCCATTATACGTGAAATCGGCATCCACGCATCCCGTCATCCCTTCATACTTAATTCCTATATACCTTTTCATATATATCCATATTTCAAAAGCAAAATTCATCTATGTATTGCAAATATTTCGAGCGCGTATTGACAAAGGAAAATGAATACTTTATATGTCACAGATTACTCGCGGAGAGCAATCTTGATTGTCTCAGTGCCAGCCTTGGGCTTCTGAGCATAACCACTGAGCATTCGGAAGCCGGCCTTGCAGTTTCGGCCTTCCTCGAATACAGCGGCGACACCGTCCAGACACTTGCCAGCCTCTTCCATGGCAATTCCAGTAGTGGTGGTGTCGGCCAGTCGCAGCTCGCCAGCAACCTTCTCCATCTCACAGCGAAGGAGCCATCGCTCCCAGTTCCAGCCGCCAGCGATGCTGCAAGCGCTCGCGATATCGTCACTGCTTCCCATAACCATGGCGTCCATCTGACAGGTCTTGACGTCCTGTCCATCAGGGCTGTCCTTCATGGGAGGAGTTGGAGGCTTGTACATGCTTCGCCTGGCACCCATGGGAAGACACATCCAGATACGGCGGGTGTCTTGGAAGCCGGCACGAGCCAGACGGCTAAGCCAGAGCTTGGTGGGGTTGGGGTCATAGCCCAGAGTCTTAAGGGCAAAGCCAAACTCAACACTCTTGGCCAATCCGACGGGACCAGCGTTGATGATGTCTGAGTCAAGAAGAGAGAAGTCGAGGTAGCCACCAGGCTTGAGGACACGCATGCACTCCTTAAGGCAAGTGTCCCACTCATCTTCGCCGTTCTCACCAAAAAGCTTGAGGATGCTGTGAAGCTCTCGGGCAGAAATGAGATCGAACTGGTTGTCCGCAAAGGGAAGACGAGAGAACTTCTCAACGGCAACTTGACGGTGGTTGGGAGGACCGCGGACGTTGCAGTTGGAAAGTTGACGAATAGACTTGGTGGTGACGGTGTAAACCTTGGTGTTGGGGAACTGGAGCGCGCAGTGCCACGCCCAGTCGCAGGTAGTCTGTCCACCAAGATCAAGAACTCTGGCGCGCTCACGGACAATACCGCTCTTGTTGGGAGCAGCGCGGGACAGACGAGCAAGTCTCTTGGTCACGGGAGCAGAGATCAGACGGCCACCGTTAAGCATCTTCATGGCGGCAACGTGCCAGGCAGCAACGGTCATCTGGTTCATGGCCTCAACCTCCTTCTCATGTCGGAGCTTCTCAGGGTCGTCGATGATGTTGTCATCTCCACGAGCAACGTTGGCGCTGAGTCGCTTCTTGGCGGACTGTGGAACGACACTGAGCTGATACTTGCCGAGAAGCTGGTTGCGGTGAGAGTCACGGAGAGAAACACGCTGAGCCTGAATAGCTTCAAAACGAGCAAGCTGGTGAACAAAGACATCTTGGCGCTGGATGCGGACGATGTAGTCTTGGAATGCTCGGTAGTAGGCAGACTCGCGGCGGATGAGCATGGATGGCAGGCGCTTGGGGTGGTCGGATGTCGAGACAAGGTTGGAAAAACGAACACTCTTCTTGAGGGGAGCAATAGACTGCTCATGCTGAGCCTTCAGGGGAGGGAGCTCGTTCTGAACCATGGAAGTTCCGATTTCCTCCTCGGCCTCCTCAGTAATAGTGTTGAGACCACCATCGTCCTCAGAAGTGTCATCCTGGACACCGCGAAGGTAAGATCGCTGAGCCGAGAGCCAGAGCTCAGTACGGTCAAAGTGGGAGAGGGCCTCCTTCTGTTGCTTGCGAGCATAGTCGGGGTCGTAATCGACGACAATCTCGGTAGGAGCATCCTCGACCTGAGGAGAAACAGGAGCATCGGCGGATTCGACAGTGGAAGGAGCGGTTTTGTGCTCAAACACGGGGCGAGCAGTGGGCATATCATCAGAGAAATCATCCTCCTCCTTAAGCTCAACCACCTGTTCAACGATGGGCTCCGTGGGAGCGGGTGTAAACCTGACATTGCGATAAAAGTCCTCGACGATATCCTTTCGCTTGGGAACAGGAGGAGCAGAAGCATCCGCGTTCCAGGGGCATCGGTAAAACTGCTCGGCGGTGGTCGACGTAGGTGGGGGCATATCCTCAGGAGACTTGGAGGGCATGTGCCATGTGTTGCGGGTTCGTGGAGACAGGCCAGAGAAGAAGCCTCCTGGAGAGGGAATGTCGAGCTTGGTCAAGTCGGCGAGAGACTGGCGGTTGGTGTTGGGAGAGAAAGCCCTGTTGATAGCAGACTGCGGGTGGAAGGTGGTGATGAGTCGCAGTGGTTGTTGTCGCATCTCAACTGCTGGCTGTGTTGGCTGTTGCTCAGGAACCTCGATAACCTGGGATGGCTGTTCATGAAGGTTCTCGCCGCTTGCAAGAGCATGAAGAGTAGCCAGAGCACCAGGCTGGAGTTGAACGCCGGCCCAAGCATCATCTGTGGCTGATTCCTCGTTACCAATGATGGGTGTGGGTGGAGCACTCATGGCCGCGAGTTGCTCAGATGTCAAGCTACCATCTAAGGAGGGAGGTGCTGACATTGTTGGTGTTTGGGCAGCATGTTGTTCGTGCATAAACTCCATCTGAGCAGGTGACATAGTAAGTTTCACGGAAGGAGTCAGAGGAACTGGAGAAGTCAGTGACTTCTTCATGTTGTCCACAGCAGACCACGTCTCGACAGAGTTGTCGCGTGTTGCTGGGATGACAAGCGGAGTGGGCTGCCTTGTCGGGGCCTGCCTCGACTTAGCAGACGCCTTTCTCCTGAGCATGTCTTCCTCATCATCTGTTACATCGTAGAGGTCCTCAAACTCGGTGGCCTCGGTAGCAACACTCTGGCGGTTCCAGGGGTTACTGGAAGTTGTAGGTGAAGTGTCAGTAGCCGAGTCAGCTGAGGGTGACGATGGTAGAACTGGGGCGGAGAGGTAGTGAATTCCTCTTGGTGTCGGAAAATGATCGCTCATCGGTGTCAACCAAGCCTCGATCTTGAGTTGAGTATTGCCAGTTCGTCTTAGCCTGCGACCTCCATTCTGGGCCATACCATCGTCGCTATCCTCCTCGATTATAGGATTAAGTCTCCCCCTGTGCTTCCGAGCCAGCGAAGAGTCCAGGGGGTAGTATCGGTTTTGTGTATCGGCCATATTGCGTTTTTATATCAGCTATTCCCGATATCTGACTATGGCCCGAGGGCTCGACGCAATAAACAGGCTGATTAAATTAGTCGTGGTAGTTGGGGACTGGTGACGGCCTGCGTCGATATTAAGTGGTGTAAAACGACAGGATGCCTCGATCAACGAAGCTCTATGCGGATCTGCGAAGTGACACAGCACGGAAGGCTGAAGATGGTAAGAAGAGAATGTAGAACAAGAGGCCAGGCTTCTGGCCGGGGGATTATCATAGTCTTAAAGCCCGAAGGCTAGACTAGTCTTGTCCAGGATCATCAAGACTCGCTGGAGCGGCTATCCGAAGAGTGGGCTCAGAACGAGTCGAGGTTGGGCGGCACATACTGCACTTGCAGTAGCACCTCGTCCACCGTACCGTAGCTCAGGTGGGCCGATGCATCGACAGACATCCATTGACATGGTATGTGGCGCATGCGGGGGCACTAAGAGCGCCAATATGGTGTTGAAGAAGCTGACTGGCACATAAGGCTGCGAAAGCAATGTGAAGTCTGTGTTGGCGGTAGACAAGACGAGGAAGAGGTTGCATCAAGGTGGCATCGATTCCTGGTCTCTAAGTCGGTTGACCCCCACTAGCGAGCAACTAATTAGCTCAAAGAACCAATAAGATGAAAGATCGTGGATTTCTATTTTTGGTTGACAGCGGTTGACAGGGGTAGAACTTGTTGCGCGCGCGAAAGCTGTGATGACGGTAACGAGCGTGAGAGACCATTGGTCGACTGACGGCCCTATAGAGCCAATAAGCGAAAACATTTGTTTCTCGGGCGGCTAACTGCCTCTTGGCCAATTCTGTACATCGTCGAATGCGGTATCGTTTTTGTGATAGCACTGCCTGAACGCATGAAGACAGAGACCATGAGGTCGCTCAATTGAGACAAGTCATGCAACAGAGCCGGCCCAAAGGGGAGGTTTCCGAACCTTCTAAATGTCGTATATCCAAGCGTATGCTAGACCTCACTACTTCACTGGTCGTTAATTCTTCATGCTGAAATGGTCCCGGCCGCTTTAAGAGACCATGGTTTGATCGATCAAACGTTGGAAGATGTGGAAGGCGCCGAGGACGATTCAAGGTTGCCCGATATTGGTAATCCGAGCCCAAGCATCAAGCATTGCAATGGCCACGATTATCGGTGAGAAGTGTGACGTAGTTCATTGTGGATTAACGTGAGTCGTGAATGGGGAGGTTGACGATGCTCGATTAAAGCCACGAGGCCTTGTCTCTAGTCCAGGGTCTAGAAGAAGAAACAATTAACCCGTCAGGTTGCAAGCGCGCACATCATTCCAATGTAACCCAAGATAGCGTCACTAATCTGTCGTTGGTCATTTTCGTCACGTCGTCTTGCATAGGCAAATCTCCAGATGCTGCAGAACCTGGAGAATAAGCGCGGGTAAACTCCAGGACTGTTCTCAGGTAAGTTTTCGGAGAATAAAAGAATCCCAGTCTGAGTCTAGATTTTGGCTCGTTATCGACACATATCTTCAGTTGATGAGGGTGGATGTGAAAACAGTATTAACGACCAGATACAGGCCATAGAGGATTGGACTTTTTGTTCGTTGCTGTAATATCTAATCTGGCTATATCAACTCATAAAAAGAATCGAAAAAATCGCTATTGTTTAAGGGGTACTCGAATGATGATGTAGATGAACAAATGTCGTATTTTCGTTCAAGTCTAGGGTGACCACAAAATTGTTAGTGCAACCTGCCTCAGGCTTGAAGCTCCGTCATGTCCCCACTGATGGTCCCGGCCTTGCCTCTAAGGTTACGATTTGGAGGACAAGGCTCAAGCCCAGCACCTAGACTTAGGTGCAGTGCCCCTCCATGAAATTTACCCCGCCATAGATTCGCATCCCCGATTGTCGACAGAGTAACGCGTATCTTCATATCAAACGAATTTTTGACTACAATTCCTTTTCAATAGCGTTCAAACAATACCCCAGAGCTTCTAATCTCCATGGCCGACGTGGAACAGCCCGAGGGCGAGCCTCAGAGCCGTCGTGTCACCTACTGCGGTGGTAAGTTATCTATCATTATGAAGCTCTGATATAAAAACGAGAATCAAAACATATCTAACCGCGTCTACGCACAGTCTGCACTCTACCCCCAGAGGTAACGACCTACCTTTTACGAGACCCCCTTGAGAGAACCATTCCAACTGAATAATTGTCCAAGTAGTACTGCGAGTATGGCGGAACAGCTAAGAAATGCCGGGAGTGGCTCGAGAAGAACGAACCAGAGCTGTACAGCCGTATCTGGTCACCAGGTATGCAATCACAAATAATTTTGAATGAGTTAGAACATGCGATAACAACCAACGCTACCTATAGAGGCCCTTGAAGCTGCTACAGCATCGCTATCTGTCGAAGCCCAGAAACGAGCCGAGAAGGATGCCCAGAAGAAGACAGCAAAGGCGGAGGCTGCCGAAGCTAAGCATGCCGACATGCTGGCCAAGAGCACGGTCACTATCAAGCGCATCGAGCGAAACAAGAAGAAGTTTGTCACCGCCGTGATAGGACTGGAGGCGTTTGACCTGGAGCTCAAGAAGGTGAGTTTACTACTTCACTCTCTTTCGAGGCTGGAGAACGACAGTACTTAACATCACCACAGGTCGCCAAGGATCTTGGCAAGAAGTTTGCTACTGGAGCTTCAGTCACAAAGCTTCCCGGTGGCGGAGACGAGATTGTTGTGCAGGGTGATGTCAGCATTGAGCTGGAGGAGTTTCTACTCGAGAAGTACAAGCAGATACCTAAGGACCACATCGAACTTGTCGAGGACAAGAAGAAGAAGAAGGCCGCTCCGGCGCCATAGAGTGTATAGGGATATATACCATAAGTCATTCCGTATTAAAAAAATGGCACAGGGGAGTTTGTTCATGAAACCTTGCGCTTTTCTTTTCTAGGCTTATGCAGTTTCAAAACAACATCGTAAAATAACCTGGAGCTTGCTTTCCTATGCATAACGACTCGCCTATGTCCTTAAACGCCATATCATGTACCAAGATAAAAATGACCAATACACCAATCAAGTCTCATTGCTTCATCACGGAGCATGCTATGCCCGTTTCCGCAAAACTCGTCCTGTACCTGTGCTCGCGGTAGAAGTGTTGGCCTTTGCCGCTGTTGTCTTGCGTACTCCACCTGTTGCAGCCCCCTTACGCGAAGCTGTGGCCCCCTTCTTTGCTGGGGCTCCCTTAGCCGCAGAGGCCTTTCTTATCACTGTTCCGTTGCTGGTCTCGCTCGATTCACTGTTGGCGATTGATCTACGTCCTGTTCGCGTGGCTGGTCGCGAGACAGGGGGTCGAGAGGTGCTATTCGCTAGCACTTTCTTGTTTTTCGCCACAGCAGCGCTGTTGGAATTTGTGCTAATAGCTGAGGATGTGGTGACCTTACGTGCAACGCCGCCTCGTGAGGCCTTTGCCTTTTCCACCATGCTTGTGAGCATATTCGCAGCCGCAGCAGAGCGAGATTGTGAGGGGTTCTTCAATGGAGAGGCGGGTCGTGCAATGCCGGATTTGATAGGGGATACTGGTCGATTCGCCATTCGCGAGTTTGACGAAGTTGGTGACAAAACTTGCGCAGGTCGCATAAGAGACACGTCTCCATTTGGTATCCCTCTGACCTTCTTCTTCGCATTTTCGTTATGCTCAATTTCGTTCTCCTTATCTCCCGAGATAGCATCACTGTAGTTTGTTAGCCCATGAAATCGACAAGACAAGGGGAATCATGTACCTCATGCGTTTTGTACGCGCCGAAGACTTGAAGTTGTGCGCGCTGGGTTGGGAGTGTTTGACTGGGCTTGTAATTCGTGCTGTTGTGGGAGGCTTCCTTGTGACTGCTGATCGTGCAGCTCGCTGCTTTTCTTGTTCCATGTACTTTTGCAGCAAGTCTCCCATCTTGACGTTTCTCATTGACATGGGAATTCTGTTGAGTCGCATTTCGATACGTGAGCGCACTGTTGTGGCCATGTAGTTATATTGAGCCCTTAGTCGTCGAGCGCGTTCAGTGACTGAAGCATGGTTAGTCGCGTGTCATTCTACCTATTCAATGTTTCATACTCTCAAGCTGCATGTTGTCGATCATGGCTTGCTTTTGCTGCATCGTGATGGTACCGGGTGTTCGTTTCTTGATGGGACTTCGTGGGTGCGCCGTAGGGCTTCCAGAACGTAGAGGGACTGCTTCGGCCATGGCGTTCTTGGAAGGGGATGAAGATCCCACTGAAGATCTTGTTCTTGGTCGTGTAGGAGCCATTTTTTGTGTATGTGTGTATGTATTTGGGCGTTGTTTATTTAGTGACAATAATCAAAAAGTGCGGAATGTCTGGAGTTGCAATTGATTGTCTACCCCAGGCGCGTTGGTTTAGAGGTGGAGCTGCGGGAAGTAAACAAAGTGTGTGGGTCACAGGATTAGGTAATACGTCTTAGCTTCCCTGACGCAAGCATTTGGTAGCGGCTACACAGAAGGTAGAGCTACTTCGGTGTTGCACCCATGTTCCCGCAGCAACAAAGTAGCTCTACCTTGGACCTCTACAGCTGCACTCCGCCAGGCTGAACTGCCTTACGACACTGGGAGCTTCAATCGCTTCTAGCCTTCTCACCTCCAACTGAAGCTCAACATCAACACCTGAACACTTTCTACGCATCTCTTCTCCTCACATCTCCACAGCTGCAAACGAAACCAGATTTAATTGCAGAACACAACAACGCTCAACATGGTTCTCGAGGCGGTAATGGTTGTCGTTGACAACAGCGAAAGCAGCAGAAATGGCGACTACCAACCAACCCGATTCGATTCGCAAGTAGATGCCGTCAACATCACTTTCCAGTCTATCACACAAGGAAACCCCGAATCATCTGTTGGATTGATGAGCATGGGAGGCAAGGGACCTGAGGTGTTGGTGACTCTCACCACGGAGCAGGGCAAGATCCTCGAGGGTCTGCACCGAACGAAGAAGAAGATTGGAGGCTCTTCTCATTTGAAGACGGGCATTCAGGTGGCTACTGTAAGTCGCATACACTGTTGATGAGCCCACACAAGTCCTGACCTTTTCTTAGCTCGCCTTGAAGCATCGCCAGAACCGATCCCAGCGTCAACGAATAATAGTCTTCGTCTGTTCTCCCGTCGAAGAATCAGAGAAGGAGCTCACCACACTCGCCAAGAAGATGAAGAAGGCCAACATCTCGGTCGACTTTGTTCTGTTCGGCGACCTCGACGACGACAGCACCAAGAACAAGCTGCAATTGTTCATCGATACGGTCAAGACGAACGAGGGCTGTCACTTGGTAGTCATTCCTGCTAGCAGCAAGCTGCTTAGCGACCAACTCGTCTCGTCCCCCATTCTTCTGGGTGAAAACGCTGGCGGATCTAGCGGAGCTGGAGGTGCAGGTGGTGGTAACGATGAGTTCGAGTTCGGTTTCGACCCCGCAATGGAGCCCGAGCTTGCTCTTGCTCTGCGCATGAGTATGGAGGAGGAAAAGGCCCGACAGGAAAAGGCGGCTCGCGAAGAGGAAGAGGCAGCTAAGAAGGCTTCTCTAGGCGACGTCAAGGAGGAGGACGAGGGCCGCGGATCAAGCAGCAAGGACCAAGATAAGGACAAGAAGGGTGACGATAAGATGGACATCTCATAATAGATTACGGTCCCGCTTTGAACATCATAGCAACTGTACAATAGACACAGGGCAGGGCAGGGTTTAGATGACGAAGATTAAAGCCATTACGATACATGCAAATGTCCCCCGATACTCCGTGAATCTATGGGCCACCCACCCATCTATCGATTATTTATCTCCCTAATGTATGATAGTAGTTTCCTGTCAAAGATGTCGCAGCGAACAGGCATCTCAAGTGAATAGAAAGGGTTCTTCATGACATAGTCTGAGTAGAGATCGTAGATCTTGCGGATGGTGACATCCACGTTTGCTTGTGTTGTGTCGGTGAAGAGGAGGAACTTAACGCCTGTCAAGGTGTTGAAGCACTGCATGCGGAAGTTTTCTGTCTCGAGAACCTCTAGGCCTGATGATGGCTCTGGTCTGTTGCCCGGTAGTGTTGCGCCCGGTAAGTTCTTTACTGGATTGAGACGTGAGGTGATTGCATGAACACTGGGTATTGGCGTGAGCTTTGGCACATCTGTGTAGAGGAAGGTGAAGGCACATACCCGTGAAAGGTTCCAGCAAGGACTAGATAGTCATTTGTGCTGATTTGTTGGAGGCCTTCGTGGAAGTTTTTGTTGTAGACTAAACCACCAGCCTTGTTGATGATGATGAGAGCAAAGATAGTCCTAGTATGTGATTAATGGAGTGCCCCCTGGGATCTCGGTAATAAACACTCGTACATGATGCCTTGTCTGTTTTATATATCATGAGTGTTCTGGTGTTGTTGTTTGTATGCCCCTGAGCCTCATTCGTCATTTATATCCATATGAAAAGGGACCAGAACAAGGGTGAGAGGGATGAGGGTGAGATGAGCCTGTGAGTATATAGTTAGCATCTTTGTTTTATACAGGAATCAGATACACACAAGATCGAGCGGTTAATTATATGCGTTGATATGGATCGGTGGATTATAAAGCTGTGAAGCTAAATCTTGTCGGTTCTCTAGGGCGGAGTATCAATGAGGGTTGACAGATTGACAATGGAAGACAGAGCTGCGCCCAGAGGCTGGAAGAGACCGCCACGCGACTCTATCACCGAAACCAAACAGCGGACAGCCACTGGAAGGTCAGGTTTCATCTTCCTCAGGGAGGTACCTGGCCTAAAGTAGACCGAAGCCCCACTAATTAAGCTGGGGTACGTACTGAACATTACCTGCCTCTGATCTCTCAGGTCGACTCTTCCACTTTCAATATCCATCGCATTCTATAACAAAGACTCGTTCGCATACCGACTATCTTCACAACCCGCGCATCAATTAAGATATACGAACCGCACGCGAATACATCTCGACTCTCATATCTAGCGCAATCTTCACATCTACAATGGAGGATCAACAAACACCAGCCATTCCCCAACCGCCTAAGAAGGTTAGCCACCCTCGAACCTCGCGACCCAAGCCTGCTGCTCCTGGAAACGAAGAGGCTTCTGCAGTCCTCAACCTTGGCGAGTTCCAAGATGTCGATACTCTCACGCTATCCGAAGCTGCCCTGGTTCTCAACGCCCTTCACGCCAAGCGAAAGAACGACCGCCGAAATGTCAACAACACCGAGTAAATGATACTTGTGGCTCTTGGATCGTGAACAGAGAGACTGACTATGGATAGAATGTTGAACTCGACTCTTACCTACCTGGATAACTTTGCGCGATTCACGCAGAAGGAGAACGTAGAAGCTGTCGAGCGTCTTCTGAGCGCACACAAGAACCTTGCCAAGTTTGAGCGCGCACAGTTGGGTAAGGCAGCTAGGAAGAGCTTGATAAACTTTCCGAAAAACTGACACCTGATTTCTAGGGTCCCTATGCTGCGAAGGAGCCGACGAAGCGAAGACACTCATCCCATCACTGGCCGACAAGATCTCAGACCAGGACCTCCAGGATCTTCTTGACGAGATTTCCAAGCTCCAGACCAGGTGAAGCGCTTGCTACAACTGCAAGGCGAGACTCGATTCAGACTTAACACCAACCGGACGGCGTCCTTTTGCAGATTGGTTTCTTTTCGTGGTGGTTGATGCGTGCATATTTATCCAAGCTCGAAGAATGAAAAAAGAAAAATTGGGAAACGAAAGTCGCAACTTTAGGGATGGCGACACATTTACTCTTGCATTTGAGGCGCATAGCGGGAAAAAGGGGACACCGCATATTGTATTCTGGAAACGCACGATGACCCTAGTCCATGCATGTTTTAAAGTATGGCAGTCAATGTGTATTGTTCCTTGTTGGACGGGCTAGGGGCACTTCGTGGTTCTTGTACTACTGATACTTTTATGACAAAATACTAATAATTAGATTTGCTTCTTGGTGAGTAGAAATAAGTTGACCGACCATCCGCTGTTTATATCGCAGGATTCATGTTCTAAGAGTATATAACAACAGCCAGTGCATGGTGCACAAAGAATACAATAGCCATATAGATTCAGGCTGATATTCTACAGGCTCGGACAGATTATATCAGTGGAAAATGAGCGTCATATACAGACCTCTCAGTGATCCAACTAAAACAAGATGTTGCTGAGTTCAACTTCAGGGACACTCAGTTGGAACTCGGTGATAGATGGGAAAACGAGAGATTGCTAAACTTGACTAATTACAAACTGCCCTCAAACCACAACAGTATCAATCGACTTGATGAAGTCAGTCGCATAGCGATCCTGCTGAGCAACATGTCTTGAGAACGCATCTCCAGTCTTGATCACAAACTCGGGAATCTGCACATTACCCTTCTTCCACACATAACCATTTCCACCATCAGCAGCCCTCTCAAACCCACGCAGAGCCTTGGGCTTGTAGTTGGGCACCTTGCTCATGCGGTACTTGACACACGGATGGATCATCTCGTACGTCTCGCCCAGCTCTCGACCCTTGTTGTCTTTGGTATAGTTACCAGGCGCTCTGTCGACTGATCCACCAGCGACCATGGCACCTGTGAAGCTATCGACGATGGGACCAGTTGCCCAGCCGCTGACAGTCTCTTCTGGGATCTTGCGCACATCTGCTTTCCTGATACCTGTGCGATCCAGGGAGGCTGCGATGCGACTTGTCAGTAGACCACCGCCGAAATCCTTCTCCTCGCCGTTCTGGATATCGGTTAGGAGAGGCTTGAGGAGGTTGTAGCGGTCTTGGACTGCTGATTTGCCCAGGTCGCCCAAGCTGCCATCTTGAACGAATTGCAGGTATGGAGCGACCTGCTCGCACATCCAGGCGAACGAGATAAGCGCAATTTCTATCTCGGTCAGCACATACTTGAGAGCCAAAGCTGACTGGTAAACTCACGTTCGAAATCACTCTTCTTGTCAGTAAGAAGATCGTCATTTCCACCACCAATGTTGATATGCACACCAGGAAACCAGACCTGGAGAAGCTCAGACTTGTTGTCGCGCAACTGTTCATGCATCTCGCCGTCAACGACGGCACCCCAGGCTTCTTGCAGCTCTTTCTTGCTGGAACTGGGATTGCAGTGCACCTTTTCCCAGTTGGACCAGAGCTGCTCTAGATCCTTTTCAGGCTCTGGCGACTGGTCTTTGCTGGTTGGGAAGTGCCAAAGACTGGGCGAGAAGGGAGCTCGATGTTCATCAAGAGCCAGTGCGTGGTATGCATGTTGAATATCTGTGTAAAGTCAGTATTGGGAACCAATGCTTGTTGTTTGAGGACTCACAAGGGCTGAGGTGAATGTTGTGGAAGCCGGGCTCGGAGATACCAACAGCCTTTTCGAGGAACTTCAAGTTGAAGCGAGTCCAGGGCAAATCTGGAATACCCAGACTACCAACTGTGTCAAAGACACCCACGACCTTGACAAACCTCGAAGATTCAGGCGCATCATGATGAGGAGGGCTATCCCACTCAGAGGGAATTCCAGATCCTCCGTTGGCCTGCTTCTTAGAATGCACTCCGTTAACCCACTCCAGATAAGCCTGTGACTTGCGGAAGTGCAAACCGTCAGGATTCTGCTGGTACAGGGCGTACAGGTCTGGGAAATCCTGAAGGTCTTGGGGACAGACAATGCCAATGTCAGTGACGAGGCCGGCTACCGCACGAGCAGTGTACGCTCCACGTGAGAAGCCAAAGCAGAAGATCTCATCGCCAAGGTTGTAGTTAAGAACAATGAAGTTGTAAGCTTCAATGACATTACCTACAAACCCAATGCCTGTGCCTCCCTGTCGGTTGGCTTCTGCTTGGCCTAGATCTCCGGTGCCAATGCCGGCATCGTAGTAAACTATCTGCTGCCAGACCTTTCCGTCCTTATCCTTGCCGCTGCGAGCAATGGAACGGGCAAGTCTTGTCACGTTGGACGGGATGTTCTTGAGGCCTGATACAGAAGACTGCCAAGTGCCGTCACAGCAGATGACGATTCGCTTGGGAGCGGCATGGGCATCTTCTGCTGCTTCATGATGAGAGCCGTCATTCAGAGGAATGAAGGCTTTGGAGTTATGAGGATGAGATGGCATTTGAATAAGTGATGTTTGACAAGATATAGAGGGAGTCCTTGAACTGGGAGTTGATCACGGTCGATTGATTTTCTCTTCTGGGCTCTTTATATCCTTCTCATGACGGTGATTTGGAGGGCACAGCCTGGTTTCTTTCAAGTTCCCGTCTCTTTCCTCCCTGCAATACCAGGACTCAGCTGAAGCCACAATGCTGCCGTGTCTTGGTCGGCAGTCCCGAATAGGTTTGCTGCACCACTCGCCCCTCACTTTGGTAGATCATTGTGCTGGAAACTAGAGTCGTGATAGGCTCTTGTCGAGGACGAGGCAATTGCGGTGAAACTACACAATGATTCGGCAAGTGCTTCGTAAAAGTGTCAGACGTCAGCATGAATTGGTCAATCAGCGTGTCATGCAGGGTATCGGCGGGGAGAATACCCAGTACAGACATTTTCGGCATATAGTAAGCTCGAATCGAATGGTTCCCAGTATCTACAGTACAGAGTAAGACGGTCAGCTCTCCACTTTCAACATAAGCACCATCTACGTGATACAGCACAAACGGAAACTCACCCGATTCAACCCCGGGGAGCGGGCCGCAAAGGGGAAGAATGAACTGCCGCCTGGTTGTCAGATTTGCTCCAATAGCAGGGAATGCGTATCACTGTCATGATGAGAGAGGCTTGGGCAGGGCTTTGATCTGCAAGCCACATTCGGGCTGTTTCAACCTATAGATCTTGTATTCGAGCTTCAGGTAGCGAATCATATCTTACAACACAAAAGGGAGAAGACAAAAACGTATTCTCCGCACAACACCATCAAATGCTTGTCAGTCAGTACTGTATGTGTTCACCTTCCCTGTTAAACCACAACTGACTTAGTCCCCCACACTGTTCGTAACGACACCCTTTCATCCTGGTTGCTGTTGATTCATGTTTTCACCGAGAGTTCGATATTGGTTCCAGTGATTGACAAATTGCTTTTGCTGGCGGTCCTCCAACGTAGCGTTGAGATTGGCACGGGGATCTATGCAGCTCCCATTTGCTGTAGGATATGCAGTCTGAGCAGAATATCCAGAAACGGCAGCTGCACCATGATCTGGCTGAGACTCCTTTTCTCTGGCGTCGCTGAAAGTGACTGCAGGAAGCTCATGCACAACATTGTCAGCGCCATCCATCTCAAAAGTGCCACTGGGGGGCCGGAGGTGGTTGTCTACTCTGTCGATACGGCCTGCAGAGTAGCTTTAGTATTCGTTTCGATAGCGAGTCGTCGTCCGATGAAGAGTCCGATGATGAATCTGGTAACATACCTCCAAATGGTGCAAATGGATCTTCACTTCTACGAGTGCTCTTGCGTGACAGCATCCTGCTGAGTAGGCTCTTATCCGCCTTTTCTTCCAGGTAGTAAGGGGTATTGGGGAACTCCATCTGTTTGGCCTTTCGACGGCGTATGCAAACCACTGCACCGATGATGAGGGCCAAGAAAGCAATGCCGCCTATTGCTGCACCGACAACAAGACCAATCGAGGGCGATCCTGCATTGTTGTTATCATCGAGAGAAGTACCTGATGTGCTCGTCTCAGTAGGCAATGAGGTAGCTGTGCCATCAAAGGATCCAGTTGGAAATGGAAATTGATCTGTGCCAGCTGAGGTCACGGAAGTCATGAAGCCGGTCGGTGTTGAAGGTGCCTGGCTGATAAAGGTAGTCCTCCTGTTGGTAATTGTGACCTTATTGGGGTTTGAAACCGTATGGGTGATCCCTGAGTCGGTCTTAGTAGTGGAAGGTGCTGTGTGCCTATCAGGCGAAGAAGTTTCCTCGTCGTCGGACATGGTGAGTGAAGCACTGAACTTTCTTCGACTAAATGATGTTTCGGGAACTTCACTGACAACTCCGTCAGCTAGCGAAACAATGTTTCCAGTGGGAATGTCCTCGAACGAATTAGTTTCGGTATCAGACATGTCGCTAGTTGGCCAAGAGCTCAGGTCTGAGGTGACGGGATCGTCGCGCCAGCCACGAGGTTTGATACATGGATTGTGGGAACAGCAGCCGACGAATTTGAAGTCGGAGTCTCTGCAATCGTAGTGTTTCCTGTCAGTGCCGCATTCTTCCTTATCGTCCACCCGTAAAACCTTGGTCATAGTAGGCAAACGGTATGGCAATGGGGGACACAAACGCTCAGTCAGTTAAGCAGCAAGACAGAGATACTTGTTTGCTTTAATCGTACTTCGTTTGACTTGGAAGGTAGCTGCGTTTTGTGTTCGTGGAGGTGAAGCCGCTTTTGATATAGCTATCGTATCGATCGTGAATCTACGAAGAAGTGTTTGAGCAACTGAGAGTGTTATTCTGCCCCCTCGAGAGGGCGGATAATATGGTCGCTGATTCGGAAGAAGGCAAGTAAAAGGGAAGACAAAAACGAAGAGGGGAAAAAGATGAATAGAGCAATATTGCAAGAGTTGCTTTGGTTGGGACTTTTCCGTTTGTGCAGGTGACGTCGAGGAAAAGAAAAAGGAGGAACGATGGAGGAGGAAAAGGAAGTTTGGCAGCTGCCATTCAGCAGTTGCAACTCCCTAGCTGCCAGTTGCCAACAGCTGCCGGCCAAACTTGCCCCCTTCACCGCACACCGAAGTAACGATCGAAAGAGAAACTGCTAAAGAACTGCACTGCAATGCTGCAATGAACTTACCAATAGCGTAACAAGTGACGATAATTGAGTTACAGTTCTGGAACTGTAGAGAAGACAGGTGCAACGAGATCGAGAGTCATATAATCACGAGCAAGGCACGAGAAAAGAGGAGAGGAGAGACGGTGATGAGAATATATCATAATTCAAGTATGAGAACAGTACCATAAATAGCCACTTGGGCAACAAAAAGGAAAGAAGTATTGAGAGTAGATTGACAGGTTATCAATAACAGACTTGGCACAATAATTGCACCCGAGAAGCGGCAGGCCAGCTATTCTTCATCTCTCCTTGGATATCTGCACTGACAGCATGTGCCCAGATTCTTCTCCTAGAGAACGTAACATGGAACGTTTTATTGAAGTAACACATCCAACTGCCATGGCAAGATACAGTCGCGCAAAGTATCTCACAGTGGCCCATATCCATCTTGTGTCCATCTTGTACTCCCCCATTTGTGCAACATGAGTAATACACACATTTATGAAACGAGTAGTCTAGAACGAACGTAAACAAGCCACTTCATTTGGCTCATATCAATGCGTATGAGGCGTTACTATCTAATTGAGCCTCAATGTTGAATCCAGCCTCAGAAGAAACCATATTACCCGTCCCAATATCTCTATACTCCAGGAGCCGGATTTGCAAGAGATCAAGCACACCGAAACAGCGCCGAGCAAACAGTTCACTGCCATGTGTGACTCTGACGGCTCGATACCGTATCCCTAATCGTGGCACATATTGCACTGACAGGAAAGAAAACAAGGATTCAGGAGGCCTATAAGGAAAAAGACATGCAACAACTCATTGTTTCCTTGTGGCGTCTTATTACTTCGGTATTACTAAGTGACATTCAGATTAGGGAACATGTTCAATATAGGCAAGCAGGGAGTATATCATAGTCCGTGATATCATTGTCAAAAACACCCTAGTTTTATACGCCTGATATATGATAATTAAAACACCACATCTCTATCCATAGCCCAATCTCTTTAGCTTTCCATTTACAACTTCTCCAACAAAAGCTTGCTACCGGCATTACCAACAGGCTTGTCACCCTTCTTCTTGCCCTTCTTGGCTGCCTTGGGCGCAGCCTCGTGAGCCTCACGAGCAGCCTTCTGTTCAGCGGTCTCCTCGGTGGCAGCCTTCTCAAGAGTCTTCTTGTTCTTCTTGAGTGTCTTCTTAAGCGCATCAGTCTCACTGAAGTCGCCAGCCTCAAGGAGACCGACGACGACAAATGAGCTGGGTCCAGTAGCCCAGTCCATAATGTATTCCTTAATAACGGGGTAGAGAATGTTGGAGAACTCCAGAGGAGGGTCGACGGGAATAATCTTGCCAGCAGCCTTGTCGTACTTTCCGCCTTGGATCAGAGACTTCAGCATACGGCCACCGTGGGGTGTTTTTGAGATATGAACTTGGGGTTGGAGATCATCCTCTGCAGGCTCCTCGCTGGGGTTGCCACTAGCTGATTGGGCAACGGCCTCCAGAGCAGCCTGCTTGTCGCCAACTCCTGAGAGAAGAACGTCTGTGATGTATTGGCAGCCGAAGGGACTGGCCATAAACTCGGAAGGAACCTCAGCGATAACGGAGATGAGCTGAGGGGAAATGGCAGTAATGAGTTCGTTACGTCGAATGTCCTCGTCCTTCTTACTTGTTGTCTTGCGGATCTCGTGGACCTCCTGGAGAAGCTCAACATCGAATGACTGATTAGGAGGGAAGAGAGACTTGGCAAGTCCCTCGAAGAGATAAAGAATTGTTGTTCTGGCAAAGGGGTTGTTGGCAGCAGCGACAACATTCTGAGCAACGTTCTCACCCTCGCCGAAAATCTCAGGGAAGATGGACTTGGCAGTCAGCTTAGTATCGTCAATAACGTCGTAGGCAGTAAGGATGATAAGATGCGCCCAGATGTCGCCGGACATCAGCAGGAAGGTATCCTTGTAAGTCTTGAGGATCTGCTTTCGGTCCTTTGAAGATCCATGAGCGAGGAGCAAGCATGTAAGCTTGGCACCGTTGCGAGTGAAGGCCATGTTCTTGAGCAAATCTCCGCCCTCGTCACCCTTGACCATCTCGAAGAACTCGCTGAACTCTTCAGTGCCGGGCTGAGTGGCAGAGAAGTACTGGAACATAGCGTCGTGGAGCATAGTGAATCCGGTCATCTTCTTGTTGACAAGAGAGCTGATCATGTCAACCAGACTCTTCATGATGGGGCCTCGCTTGCTGGGCTCGGCCTCGAGAATGGCCTTGAGATCGGATGTGGGCTTGGTATCCTTGTTGAGTTCTTTGAGAGAGAACTCGGGACCGTACCACTCGCGGAGAAGGATGGCCTTCTGTTCCTTTGTCGCAACACCTCGGTAGACATCGTCGAGAATCCATGAAGCCTCTGGGTGGTTGATCATCTTTCGAACACGGCCGTAAAACTCGGGAATAATGATATCTCGGATCTCCTCGTCGTTCTGGACCAGAAGCTTTCCGATCAAGAACTTGGCATATCGACTCTCGGCAAGCTGAGCGTATGTGCCAGTCAACTCGCGAGCGATCTGCTTCCTCTGGTCGGGCGTGGCGTACTTGATAGCGGTCTGTACGGCGCGGACGGCGTCGTGCTTCAACACGAAGTCCTTGATGCGACCAGTGATGATAGTGAACAGCTCGTCGACCAATGTCTGTCGCTCCTCCTTGGGAACGTGAGACTTTCGTCGCAATCTCTCCCACAGCTTCTTTGTGCGTTGAACTTCGTCAGCAAGAGGCTTTGCGGCCTTGCGCTCCAGGGCGAGCTGCTTCTGCTTGGCATGGGATTCGCGCGAAGTTTGACCTGAAACTGAAGGGAAGTTAGTATCGACTGGTTGCGTAAGGAATTGAACCAATATATCATACCTCGCTCAAATGTCTTTCCTTCTGACTTCTTGGGAGCTTCCTCGCTCAGATCGGCGCCGCCCTCGGAATCGTCGTCGGACTCTGGTTCGGGCTTCTTCTTCTTGGACACCTTCTCTTCAAGTCTGGGCTTCTTGGGAAGCTTAGAGAAAGTCTGGTACTTTCCACCAGGGGCGGACTTTCGCTTCTCGCCAGTAGCTGTGGATTTGGTAGCCATTGTTGCGAATTTGATCGTGTATGGATATGGCTATGGGTGGATGCAGAGTCGCAGAGTTGAGACTTCAACTTTTTTTTCTGGCGATAAGCTAAACTTCCGCCGCTAAGCTAACTGATAAGAGAAGTCCCGCTTTTCTGCTAGTTCCAGGGTCGAGGACATCACGTGCACCTTGCGCGTCTGACTTATATAGGTTTGATTAATTGCAATTATCATCTCTATCGTATTCAATTTAGCGAGGATATCCATCTAAGTTAACTTAGACCCAAGTACAGTCAGGAGGTTTGACAACAGAGGTCTAAAAGAAGCAGCCCCACAACCATAAGGCTTCAATGCAAGTGCATTTCCTGTCTCTTAATGGACTTGCAGGGAAATTCTGATCGTTACTCTTATATCTGATCTTGCTGGAAACCATCCCATCGTCGAAATCTATCCACAACGACAGCTTGACCCACGCAACTTACGTTAAGCTTCAGTCTAAGCGTGTACGTGAGCTCGCTTAATGTCACTATTCGCTCATTCCAACGATCTTCGTTATGTTGGTCTTGCATATTGCCACTTGGGTTGACGCCTTATGCACGTGAGGAACCAGCATAAGTGAGACAATGTATACTCAGCTTCGGGTAGAAGGAATTAGGACATGAGCTAATATCCAAGACGAGAAATAATTGATACTCGTGAATTGGTATTTTTTTATATTCTTATCAAATTAATCATGGATGACATGGACCCCCCTTCAATCTCCCTGGTTGCCCCAAACCTGTATGTTGGGAATGTTGCAAGCTCCATGAATCGCAATGTTCTCCGGCAGCACAACATAACAGCAATCGTTTCGCTCCTCGACGGTCCGTATCCAAAATGGGACAAGACGAAAAACAGAGAGATAGTACCTCAGGACTGTCACATGTTTGTCCCGTGTCTCGACAATTCTACAATGGATATCCTCTGTTTATTGGACAATATCTGCAACTTCGTCGACTTACAGCTGGGTCGCCGACATCCGGAAAGTCTACCCTCGTCTGCCTGTGGAGAGGAGTCTGAGCTTGAGTCACTTTCAACTACACCAAGTAGCGACTCGACCCGGGAGCCAAACGTGCTGATTCACTGCCGCATGGGGATGTCGAGATCGGCTGCCGTTGCAGTAGCATATCTCATGCGCCAAAAACAGGAGAGCCTGGATGTCATCCTTCCCCAAGTCAAGACAAAGCGACATGTGAGGCCACGGGAGAACTTTATCGACCAACTCGATATCTGGCAAGCTGTCGACTACCAACCCTGGGAAGACAACGAGAAAAAGAGGCCCAAGCCACCATATCAAAAGTACCTCGATAAGCGAGCTGTGAAACTCGCTGCAAAGGGCCTGACAGGAAATGAGCCCATCGTTCCTGTATGGAACTAATACGAATGAATATTCGTATGCATACGTTAAAGCCAGACGCGATAGAGCTTTGGAGTTATTGGTTAAGGGTACATTGCTTTCGGTCTCATTGGTACATGAACGCATGGAGCATAGCATGGATTAGGATTGCTTTTTGTACGGAGAATGATGGCGATTATATACCAAGATCGAAATAAATCTCTTGAAATATTACCACAGCAATCATGAACTCCATACAATAATATCGACATTGTCGCATTGTTGTTGTCTTGGAAGGAAACTTCAAAGAAGTTGAGCTTGAGATAGAGACAAACTGCCGGGCGGTCAGCTAGTCACTAAGCCTCTTTGGTCCTCCACCCCGCGGCCTCTAAACCTCCCCACTGTCATGAGGACTCTCGTCATTTCGAGACTCTATCAAAAGCAATATTTTGCAATTTAGAGGCTTCCGGTTAAATCGTCAAAATGGGACGAGAAGATCAAGTTGAAGAGCGCGAGGTGCTCGAGTCAATTTTCCCAGAAGAAATTACAGGTACGAAAAATCAATTAAAAAAAGCTACTTGTAAGATCTGTGCCTAACCATTTTGTAGATATTTCTGAAACCGAGTTTAGAGTATCAGTCGCACTAGATATTCCCGATGAAGAAGACCAAGATCCTCCTACTATGCTTCTCCAAGTGAAGTATCCAGAAGAATACCCCGAAAAGCCGCCTCATCTCGATATTCTCGCTCCTCCCAATGCCACCCCTCACGAACATTTCAGCGTTTCCGACGATCGCGACCAGCTTCTCGCCAGTCTAGATGAGACTATCCAAGAAAACCTCGGCATGGCTATGGTCTTTGCGATTGTTTCCACACTAAAGGATAATGCCGAGCAGCTCGTCCAGGAGCGCAAAGATGCCATTACAAAGGCTCACGAAGAGGCTGCTCTCGCCGCAGAGGCTGAGGAAAATAAGAAGTTCCACGGTACTCGGGTGACTCCCGAGACTTTCCTCAAGTGGCGCGAGGGTTTCATAAAGGAGATGGAGGAGAAGAGACAGCAGGAGGAAGATGACCGTTTGGCTGAGCTGAAGAAGGCAAAGGTCAAGGAGCCTACTCGCTTGTCAGGCAGACAGCTTTGGGAGAGGGGTCTTGCTGGTAAGGGCGATGACGATGAGGAGGATGACATGCCTGTGGAGGGTGTTGAGAAGCTCAAGGTCGAGGCCGCATAGGGGCTTGAATAGGAAAGGTGCATTACTTGGAGTTTCTTGGGTACAAATACAAATACAAAGCAATGGCAAATAGCCTGCCATGAGACGAGATGATGGATGATATCACAGAGAAGAAAACGGAAGAGACTCAGAGCTCATTGCTGCCATTGGTGCATGGATCAGGTTCTGATATAGACCCAGGGGTGAAATATATTCAGTTTTAACAAAATACGAAAGGTGACAACATTTCCTCTAGTCAGGCCCATTTTTTGTTCCTAAACGCCATACCAAATGCCTTTTAATTCATTCCGTCTTTATCCTCCAGTACAAAATTTATCAGCCCTGCATCTCAGCATCATCACCCTCGCCATCGCTGGGGTCTTCCCAGTCCTCGAGCTCGCCCTCAGCTGGCTCACCGATCTCGTTGTTGATGTTTGCCAACAATTCCTTGGCGTGTTCTCCTAGTCGCTCGTCCTCGTACTCTTGCATATCGAACAGCTTCATGCACTGGGTGAGCCATTGTCTCGAGGACTTCCATAGTCCCTTCCACTCATCGCTATCCTTAACGCCTTCGTTCCAAGGCTTAGAAGCAGTGGTCTTCTGCTTCTCGCCGGTGATGTAGAGACACCAACCGCCAAGGTACCAAGCCTCAACACTAGTATCATCATCTGTAACAAGACGCTCCAGCACGCTCAAAGCCTCGTCCTCCAGCTCAGTCTCCATCAACAAGCGGGCAAGAGCGATTCTGGTAGGAAACTCGGGAACGTCAGGGTGGTTGGGAGGAAGCTTCTGCCACAGCTCAAGACTCCTTCGTAGAGCAGTCTGGGCCTCATTGGCACGGTTCTGTGAAATTCGGACGTTGGCGACAGTTTGCCAGGTCTCTGGAGCCGCAGGGGCGAGGAGCATAGCTTCGGTAATAAGGGTCTCGCAGCGAGACTCGGCATCAGGCTCCCAAGACAAGTCGGTCATGTACACCTCGGTAACAGCGCAGAGAACTCCAGCCAGCTTGTGTTGCCTCTCCTGAAGAGCGGCCTTTTGCTCGGGGGTGGGTGATCGAATTTCGGTCAGTGATGCGATCAGCTTTCGAAGCGCAGTAGCACCACGCTCATACCATTGAACGGTGTCAAGACCACCCTCCTCGCTGAGCTGAGCCAGAAGAAGGAACTTCTCAGGGCCACCTCCAATCTTCTCGTCTACAGTACCATCCTCATCGAGGTGGACTGCACGCTCGAAAGCGGCTCGGGCCTCATCCAAATCACCAGACTCGATAAAGATAGTACCAAGAAGGTTGGCAGCGCTGAGCTCAAAGTCACCACCCTGACCGGTGGTGTCAAGGGCCTGCTGGGCGAGTGTAGCAGCCTCTTCTAACCTTCCGACCTCGAGCTGAGTCTGTGCATCGACGAGAAGCTTTGCGATGTCAGGATTCGTCTTTTTGCCGTCAGGTCTTGAGGGTGCCATGATGTCGCAAAAGCCGGGAGTTGCTATGAGAATTGGCGAGATCAAATGTGGATAAGTTGACGCTTATGAAAGAAATAGAATGACTGATGATAAGTCACTATTTATTTTCGGGTGCAAGATCAAGTAGGAGCACGATGGTTGAAAGAAGTGAAAATGAGATAATGTGCAATGAGCAGGCTTGTTCTGTCAGAAGCTTGCTTTGGTGTTGAGTGGGAAACTGAAAAATTTAGGCGGGTCTTATCGATAAAGACCCATGACAGGCCAACTCATCTCATCCGTGTGAGTTGGTAGTTCATGTTTCTTTCAGTTTAAATATAGTGTTGAGATCCTTTAATAGGATTCAATATGGTAAGATTATCTTAACTTGCATTCTAATCAAGTCTCACAATTGATGTTGAGGCTTTGGCTGGATTGCTAATATTTTTATCTGAAATGTCCAGACTGGGCAATTTGAATGTCTGGGTGTCCATTGACTGAGGGGCAAAAGTTGACAAAATTGCCCCATTAATGATCTTCACGTCACTTCACGTGGAAGCGCATCTGAAGAAATCGTATATGACAATGGAGTTTTAACCGAAAATAATGCACATGTAAACATTCCATTAATACTAAAAAGTGTCTGTGAGCCTCGGTATTCTATTAAATAATCTTATTCACCATATAAAATGCTCAAGACCTAAAGCTGAAGAATAAAGCTTGTCCCAGTATTTCTTTCACCTCTATGCGGGGCACTCGCGGGGCAGAGTGGAATATATCATCAGCATTCAGTCCGACTTATTAGAGCATTTGTCATCGCCTCTTAGACTTTAAGACTATTGTCAATATCAACAATTAATCTTCAACATCAATTCAACCATATAGAAAGCCATCATGTTTACTGGAATCGTAGAAGAAGTAGGAGGTTAGTTCTTCAACTCATTGTCAATGGATAAGACTAACTCAACCCTTAGTTGTCTCCAAGCTCGACAACAATGACTCTACTGGCGGTACTTCTATGACCATCGCCATTTCTTCTGGTTCTCAGCTCCTCTCTGACTGCCATGATGGAGACTCCATCTCTGTCAACGGTGTCTGTCTCACTGTCACCTCTTTCACACCCGAGTCTTTCACTATCGGTGTAGCCCCCGAGACTCTGCGAATCACCAACCTGGGCGACCTCAAGGAGAACAGCAACGTCAACCTTGAGCGCGCTGTCCGTGCTGATACCCGCATGGGTGGCCATTTTGTCCAGGGCCACGTCGATACCACCGCCAAGATCCTCTCTGTTACCAAGGATGGCAATGCCCTGACCTTCCGTTTCCAGCCTGCCCGCAAGGATATGCTGCGGTACGTTGTCTACAAGGGCTACGTTGCCATTGACGGTACTAGCTTGACAGTCACCAAGGTCAACGACCAGGAGGGCTGGTGGGAGGTGATGCTGATCGCCTACACTCAGGAGAGGGTTGTTGTGGCGGCGAAGAAGGAGGGCGACACAGTCAACATTGAGGTTGACATGATGGCCAAGTATGCTGAGAAGTCGCTGGGCGGAGTTGTCGGCTCGGAACCCGGATCCGAGTCCTCGTTCCCTTTCATTGAGAAGATCGTCGAGAGAATTGTGGCACAAAGACTTGGCGAGAAGCAATAGACGATTTGATAGATTTTAATTGTTAATAACTTGGGTATCATGTTACTCATCATCCTGAATACCCGGATGTTCTTGACAGTGAAGTGTTGTCTATTCAACACCATAAACGCCCTAAACCAATATCCCCATCATACAAGCTTTCCATGTTGTTCAATTCAATTCCACGTACCAAGATATATAGTATCCTTTTGCAACCTGCCGTCAAAATACTTATACAAATACGCATACACAAAGCTTCAGGCATCACCCCACACTTCAGCAATCTTGGTGCTCAAGGGTTTGGTAAACTTCTTTCGCCCAACAAGATGGCTGGTGTGGCTGAAGATCAACTCGCGCTTGCGCTTCAAGCCCTGTTCGCCAGGGCCACATGCCTCAAAAGCCTTGACAAAATCGTAGGGTGTTTTCCAACGCTTTTGGATTTCAAGTGCCTTTTCTCCTGTGACACCTTTGATAGTCATGAGCATTTTCAAAAATACGTCGCGCAAAGTGATCGACTCGGACTTGGAGGCAAGCGAGGAAAAGGCCGGGTAGGTGATGTACCAGTCTGGAGATATAGACTCCCTGAGGTGTTTTAGCAGTGGGAGATAATTCTGAGATGTAAGGACCTTGGTAGGTATAACGTGTAGGGCTCTGCTTTCGTACGTCCGTTTTAACATCTTCGTCATCTGAGTAAGATATCGGATTGTCTCGTCCATCTTGTTGGTTCTCTTTACGAAGTAGCCGTTCACTACTTGTGTTGAGGCGATAGCGGATCGGACCGCTTCAGCATATCTCGTGACTACCTCTGGGTCCATGCCAATGTCTTCGATGATGTAAATCACTTTCTTTACACCAGATCGTTGCAAGCGAAACTTTTGCTCGTGAAATCTGCCATCCTTGATACTTCCGATCAAATCATCAAGGCGCTTTCTTTCAACAATCCAGTCCAGCACTACCTCGTCGCCCTCAGCACCTTGTGATGAGAGCAGATTAGGGTCATTGCATTTCGCAACCCATTGAGCATCACCGAGCTCCATACTGCGCATGATGGGTTTTGCACCCTGTTTTGCAAGTTCCTCTTGCATATAATCTCGATCTGTTTTGGCTCTTACTTCGCGAACGTCCAGAACTAACTGGACAGTAAAGGATCCCGGAGGTAGTAGTATTGGAGTAAAGTTCGGCAAAGAGGAATCTTCTGATATCGGCCCATCAGACACGACATTTTGGTACTCTGATGGGGCTTGTGCTGGTTCAGATATTTCTACAGACAGCGATTTTTGCCTTGAGACAGCTTCGGGCTGAAAGTTTGGGACTGGCTGTGCTGAGGTTGGGTCTTTAGCCTTCCCCTTTTCAGCCTTCCAGTGGTCCGTTTCTTTGATGCGCTTGGCAACTTCCCATCCTTCGTCGGTCAAGGCATACCTCCTTAATGGTCGCCCTCTTTCGTAGACTAGTTCCTTCTGCACCAAGGTTTTCATCGAATTCCAGGCAGTGTAGAACTTAGTTGGGTCGCTAGGAGCTGAGAAAGATGAGTCGCAGTACGGCTGTGCAACTTCGATGAGCTCCGCCTTGGTCATTCCATTAACAGAATCCTCATCCAGAGTTGCAAGACCAACTACCAAGGCAAACGCTCCAGATCGAAAAGCTGGGACGTATGCTTTAGGTTTGCGTGCCTTTTTCGCAGGTTTTGAAGATCCTTCTCCATTTTCATCTCCAGTAGTTGGTGCCGCCTTACGGGACCTAGGATGTGGGGGCATAGGAAGGCCATTTTGCTCGCAATGTTTCTTTAATTGTTGTTCAAGCCGGTCGCAGAGCTTGGGTCCAAAACCTTTGAGTTGCTGCAGCTGCGCAGGGTGTTCAAAGGTGATCGGGCAGGCTTTCAATGAGTTATACGCTGTTCTGTACGTGGTAACGCCTTTGGAATTGCGTTCACGGGCCAAATCCAACCAATCTTTCACCCAAGCCAGGAGCTGGGGGTTGGCTGAGTCTGCGTCGGCCATGTTGCCACCCCAATTCGTGTGATGACAAAATAGAAGCGAGTCTTTTTATAAATATCGATGATTGTGACTTGAGATGAGATGAGCGGCCTGCCCGACCCAGTCTCATTCGAATCCAAAACTGGTCGCCAGTTGGTGAAGTAAGACGCGACGACTATCTCGCGTTCAGAATGACAGGGGTGAAGAACCTGACACGAGGTCACGTGCGTGCTTCGACCCAAGAAATCGGGCGGTGAGGAGAAAGTGTGAACCCTGAATCGAAAAAGTTCTTGGCTGTCGTTAGGCTGACGTGAGGCCCTGAGCCTGAGCCTGCCCTGCAGACAGTGGATGGAACTGATTCTCTGCGGGTAGAGCGCTGTAAGAATGGAATGGATGGAACCCACCCAATTAAAGCGGCTAAAGCTCCCACCTGCACTACAACAAATTTAGCTCTTTGAAGCGGGGCATTTCTGAGTGAAAGTTATGCTGTAACTGTTTATAGCACATCCAAGAATCCACTTCATTGAGGCGGTATGTATCATAAACAGTATTTTTGACCGCCAAAGGATTCCTCCATAGCCCCGTTGAACCGTTAGCTTAGGTTAGGTACGGTATTGAAGGTGTGTAACCAAGCCAACCGCCCACAGTACCGTAGCTAAGCTCAGCTCAGCTCTCAGCATGAATTTGCAAGTGGCTGGACTGTATGGCTCATGGACCTGAGCGAGGTACTGGACCTGGACTGTAGTATGAACTGTTGGCCCCTGTAGTAAGCACTGCTAGGTGGTGGCTTTGATGCCCCTCGTATCAACGAAGTACCTAACCACCCCGCCTCGTCACTGCGGAGGCTTCGATCGTTTCAAATAGAATCCATTTCAAGCTCCATCTTTCTTTCTTATTCTCCTCTCGCCTGCGTCCGCGTCTTGTCTTATCTTGTCCCTTCTTCTTCTTTCATCCCATCTTCTTTAGTCTATTTCGCACACAAGAATACGTAGAATGTCTGACGAAAAGTTCCTCGCCGCTTCGGCCAAGCACCCTATCGTGCCCAACCATGTCTACAAGTATGGCACTGCGGGGTTCCGTATGAAGGCTGACCTTCTCGATGGTGTTTCCTTCCGTGTTGGTCTTCTGTCCGGTCTGCGAAGCCGTAAGCTCAATGGCCAGGCCATTGGTGTCATGATCACTGCCAGTCACAACCCAGCTATCGACAATGGTGTCAAGATCGTTGACCCCATGGGTGAGATGCTCGAGCAGGAGTGGGAGGCTTTTGCTACCAAGCTCGTCAACTCTCCTTCTGATCAGGAGCTTCTCGACAACTACAAGGCTCTGGCCACCCAGCTCAAGATCGACCTTTCTTCTCCCGGTCGAGTTGTCTACGGTCGTGATACTCGTCCCTCCGGCCACTCCCTCGTTGCTGCTCTCGCCGATGCTTTCGAGGCCACAAACACCGAGTACACCGACTACAAGATCCTTACCACCCCCCAGCTTCACTACCTGACCCGTTGCGTCAACACCGAAGGTACTCCCAAGGCCTACGGCAAGGTCAGCGAGCAGGGTTACTATGAGAAGATGTCTGAGGCCTTTACTCGTGCTCTGCGGGGCCGAAAGCCTCAGGGTCAGCTTATCGTGGATTGCGCCAACGGTGTTGGTGGTCCTAAGCTCTCCGAGTTCCTCAAGGTTGTGCCCGAGGGCACTATCGACGTCAAGGTCGTCAATGACGACGTCCTTCGTCCTGAGGTTCTCAACCTTGATGTAAGTTTACTTCATATCATCCTGGCTCAGGCGCAATCGCTAACATCATTACTAGTCCGGTGCCGACTTCGTCAAGACCAAGCAGCGAGCTCCTCCCAGCCCTAAGCCCGTTCCCGGCGCCCGATGCTGCTCTCTCGACGGTGACGCTGACCGTCTGATCTACTACTGGATCGACCCCGATACTGGCTTCTTCATGCTCGACGGCGATCGCATCTCCTCGCTCAATGCTTCTTTCATTGGCGATCTTGTTCGCTCCGCTGGCCTTGACAAGGACCTTCGCATCGGCGTTGTTCAGACCGCTTATGCCAACGGTGCTAGCACCAACTACATCGAGAAGCACCTTGGTCTTCCCGTTGTCTTCACTCCTACTGGTGTGAAGCACTTGCACCACGCTGCTTGCCAATTCGATGTTGGTGTTTACTTCGAGGCCAACGGTCACGGTACCGTTGTCTTCTCTCAAGAGGCTATCCGAGCTTTCCGTGAGACTGAGCCCCAGTCTCCTGCTCAGAAGGATGCTCTCGATACTCTCGCTGCCGTCAGCGACCTTATCAACCAGACTGTCGGTGATGCTATCTCCGACATGCTCATGGTCGAGGTTATTCTTGCTCACAAGGGCTGGACTCTTAAGGATTGGGCCATGACCTACAATGACCTTCCTAACCGACTGGTCCGTGTCGAGGTTGGCAACAAGGACCTCTTCCAAACAACTGACGCTGAGCGTCGCCTTAGCCACCCTGTGGGTGCTCAGGACGAGATCGACCAGTGTGTTAAGAAGTACACCAGCGCTCGCTCCTTTGCTCGTGCCAGTGGAACTGAGAATGCATGCCGTGTCTACGCTGAGGCTGCCACTCGCTCCGAGGCAGATGAGCTTGCCAACAAGGTTGCTCAAATCGTCAAGCAGTTCGGTTCTTAGGAATTTCCCATACATCGACCAGACTTGAGTGAACGAGTTGGTTTTTTTCTACAATAAAAGTGCAAATTAAAGGGCGAGAAACGTCTAATACAGGGCTTGTGGGGATGCGAGTATGAAAGAAGGAGAAAAGGAAACAAAAAGAGGTTTCCAAAGAATAGGTTATCAAGCTCAGCTCAAATGAGCCTTGGAATAAAGAGCCATATGCTCAGCCCGCTTTAACGATGAATGAAAACTTTCTATTCTGATCATGCAGACCTGTCTCAAAAATTTTACTTCAAAAGTGACAGGACTTGAAAAGAGTTCCAATCAACATAACACAGTAGTATAACATAACACAGTAGTATATCATAACATAACAAGCAAAAGATCTATTGACTAGGTAACTCCGGAGTGCTCTTCTTTGTGGTATCACTCATAACGGGTCGTCAATCAACCAAACCATTCCCCGCGCTCATGTTTTTCTTTTCCCCTTTTCGTGTTATCTAACAGCAATATCACCCGTTTCAAGATGCAAGAAGACGCCGTCCGCCTGGAACACATTCCTCAAGTGCAAGAGTATCTAATCCCTCCTGACTCGAGTCATTCTATATCCTCAATTTTGATTTTTCGTGTCGTCATTACAACAAGCAAATTAGCATGAGCTTAGCAAAAAAGCCGCTTAGCACATGCGGTACTCGAGAGCACCCTTGGAACCGCGGTTAGCGTCCTTGGTGTCGAGCTCGTAAGCAATCTTGATGTCAAGGTCACGTCTGTTCTTGTCGTTGGGTCGGACATCAAGGTTAAGTGTGATCTCCTCGCCCTCCTGGACGGTGAGGACGTCTTCAAAGTAGAAAACGGTCTGCTTCCAGTGGGTGTACTTGGTGTGGGGACCGGTCGAGAAGCGAATAGGCTTGTGGCAGGCGGTGAAGTCGATATCGAACCACGACACAAGGGCGTGGATGAAGTCGTCACGCTTGGCGGTAAGCTTGAAGGGCACTTGGAAAGCCAGGTCGGCGACGGTGCAGGTGTAAAGGTCGAGAGTAAGGACAGAAGCGGGGTCGGTGACAGCAGCCTTGACCTCAACGGTGTCGACGAGGGGCTCAGAAAGGGCAGTAGCCTTGAGAGGGGTGTAGTCGAAACCGTAGACGTCGTTCCAGACTATAAAAGCATTAGCAATTTGTTTCAGAGTCAATTCAGTTCCAACAAGACTACTCACACTCAATCTTGTCCTCCTTGTAGTCGCCATCCTCAATACCAGCGAAGAAGATGGTGGCCTTGTCAGGGAAGATCAAACCATCCTTGTTAAGGTAGGTATCACGAGCGTAGAGAACGGTGTCAAGCATGGACTCGTAGAGAAGGAAGTAGCCCATCCATTCGGAGATGATGATGTCAACCTTGGGGAAGGGAAGCTCGACCTCCTCCATCTTGCCCTGGAGAAGGGTGATCTTGTCTGAAAGGCCGTTGAGCTTGACGATCTCACGGGCCTTGAAGATGATGGTAGACATATCGACACCAATAACATGCTTGGCGCCAGCCTTGGCGGCGAACCTGTAAAATCATGTTAATTCGAGTTCCATCGGATGCATTTGCTTTTATGTGTTGAATGGCGCGTGTTGCGACAGAGTCGTGGTTTTGCAAACGCGGGGCACATCGAGGGGCAGTTTTTGCAGGGTCTTGCTGCACACGTACATGGAAAGAATGGCGGTACCGCAGCCAACATCGAGAACGACCTTGTCCTTAAAAATGTGCTTATTTTGCATAATGGCGTTCATGTACGATCGTGTTCGGACCTCATCTTTCTGTAGTAGAGAAAACAACCTGGTCAGCGGAAGCTCTGTGAAGCAGCCCAAGGGAAGGGGAGCTCATACCAACATCTCCTCGTGGATACCTATTGCAGAGCAACAAATATTCTGTTAGCAAGGTATTCTTGGACATAATTGTATAGCTTCAAAATAAAAAAGGACGTTGTCTGTTCGTACCATGGTGATCGTAACTGTATCGCAAAGCGCGGTTAGTATACAAACATTTTCTCTTATATCTGAGATTAGGTTTTCCAAGCTCACCTCTTGAAGTAGTGCTGCTCACTGTGCTCCATGGAGTTCATCTTCTGTTCCGCAATCTCGACGTCCATCTTGTCTCCGCTCATCTTGAAGGATTATTGAGGATTTCTGAAGAGTTTATAATGAAAGAGAGAAATGGTTGTTGGAATGATATGAAGGTTGAGGGAGGAAGAAAACTAGAGAAGAAAAAAAGAACGAGTCGCAAAACGGAGTATACAGTTTCGGCGGGCGAGATGGGGAACCACAGACGGATGCGATTTTGCTAGCTCGGGCAGAAAATAATTTATCGGCGTCACCGCCCGAATTTTAGAAGAGGCGGCGAAGGACCCTGTTTTCAGCACCAGCTCCTTTTTGGGTTAGTCTAGAAAACTAGGTACTGTACAAGACTCTGTCGCATCAGATAACAGAAAATTTCCGAAGATCAGGAGTTAGAGTCAAAGTAACTTGTCAAGGAAGGTTTATTCATAGGATGAGAGTAGATATCTTCACTCTGTGTCACCATTCTTATGCTACTTGGTGATATAAAGGGAAGGAAACAATAACCCTTGGGCAAGTGCTTAGCCACCTGCAGATCTTAAGAGACAACTATCAGAGTATATATGAAAACGTCGCTTCTACGATTCAGGTCGCTAATAGAATATAATATGATGCAAATTGAATCAGGTGAGCATTTGTAGCACAACCAATGGTCAATGCCACTCAAAGCACCCTCTAGATCTTTTATTTGTCTATCTATGGCCATATGTCAAGTTCTGCTAACAGCAGAGCGTGGCCTATAACTCGAGTGAGTCTTCTTCATCACAACTGGGAATCTTCAGTCGACAATCAACCCGTTTACCAACCATCTACCATCACGGCCTGTTTTCTTTTTCGTGCGGTAACCAAAAACGCCCTGGCGCCAATACATGCATTCGAACTTCATCAAACGAACCCCCTCAACATTATTCGCGGACGCTGTTGAGCATATTATACCAGAAGGACACTGTTGATGCAGCCCTCGTTCTCCGGGTTGTTGGTGACCTGAGCGTAACGACCCCAGACAACCTTTCCACCAGCAGTGACAAGACCAAGTTCGCTGACGTTGACCTCGATAACGGTACCCTTGGTCAAAACACCCAGCTGAGTGTAAAGAGGGTTCTGGGGGTTCTTCTTGACGCTGATGATAGGCAGCTGAACGGTAACGCCAAGCTCGGGATGTGTGACGTTGGCCTTCTTGTAACGGAGACCCATGGGTCGGATGAAGCGCTCGTGCTTGGGGTTGCGTCGAGTGAAGTCGGGTCCGACAAAGGTAGGCTTGGTGACCATGCGCTTCCAGGCCTTCTTCTGGATCTTCTTTCCGGTCTTGACAACCTTGAACATCTCCTCTTCGCTGATACCTCGGACCTTGGGCAGGGGCACGGCAAACTTGGCAGCCTTTTCGGCTCGCTTGTTCTTGATAGCGCTGCTGAGAGCCTTGGCAGTCGAAGGGTTGGTACGGTCCAAAAGGTAAGAGGGCATGGGTGTCGTAGGCTCCTTCTCGTCGGCGGTCTTGACGTTGCGCTCCTCGTGAGCCTTGATCTGCTTCTTCATCTGAATCTTCTCCTTGTGTCGCTTCTGCTGGTAAAGCTTAGCCCGGAGACCACGCAGGTTCTGAGCATCCTGCGAGGCCTTGTGACCCTCACGGGCGGTACGCTTGCGAACTCGTTCCTCATGATCAAGACGACGACCGTGCAGCTTGCGCCATCTTTCCATATACTCGTTCTGAGGCTTTTGGGGAGTCAGCGATCAATTCCAACATTGTGCAGGCTTTAATACATACCATGTTGTTGGTATCGCCCAGGCAGGGACTTGATTATATCTGGTTGGAGTGATGCTGAAATTTCCCCAGCGATAAAAAAAAAGTGGCGGTTTATCGGAGGCGGCTGGTATCAAAGCTAGAGTGGCCGGCGCTCGGTGTTACGCTTTTCCGGGTCGACCCATGAACGGGCACCTTGAACTTTTTTGAGATACAATCCAACGATTTCGAGGCCGACAGCTCAATTCCCCGTCCAATTGACCAGCGATAGTGCCAAATTTCGAAAGGCACTGCGGTCCAAAATGAGCAGGACATTTTTCCGCTCCATGCTGGAGCTTCGAGCTCCCAGCGCTCGACTCTCGGCCCCCTCATCTCTACTGCCGATTCGAACCCGGGCATTCAACACCACGGCGCCCATCATCGAACAATCGTTCCCTGAGCGTCACCCAAAGAATGCCACCAACCCTACAGCAAATGAGCCTCGACCTCTGGCTTTCAAAGTCAGCCATCCTACTCCGCCTCCAAAGGCCATGGACGACTCCGTCAAGACCCTTCTACCATTTCTGGCCGCTCAACCGGATCATTATATCACCGTCCATGTCCACGGATTCCCTTACCTGGTCCGAGAGGGCGATCAGGTCCGCCTGCCTTTCCGTATGCCTGGCGTTCAGCCCGGCGATGTGCTACGACTCAACCGTGCCAGTGTTCTCGGTAGCAGAGATTACACCATGAAGGGCGCTCCCCACATCGATGAGCGAGTGTTTGAGTGCAGGGCCACTGTTATCGGAACAGAATCTGAACCTCTACGTATCAAGATCAAGAAGAAGAGAAGGCAGCGAAGAAAGAGACAAGCCAAGAGCAAGCACCGATACACAATTCTAAGGATTTCGGAGCTGAACATCAACAACGGAGAGGATATCGAATGAAGATGAGAATGAGGAATGAAAGTTTCATATGGAGGACGTTGGTGTATACGTATAAAACAGGAAACGCCATGAAACGATGTACCATTACCAGCTCAAAGCTGGCTGTACAATAATACAGCAAATTTTGCAAAGACCATTTAAATGTTCCAAGTTTGAAGACGCTGAAAAATGTTTTATTCAGGAACCTGCTCATTCGCGGTTCGAGCCATAAACGCCATTGACTATTGTAAGCCTTTCCGTATTACCAATGAATAAAAACCTCCTATGCCTGAAATAAAAAAGTAGGTATTTAGCTGTGCAGCGAAAGACAAGAATAATACTCCTCAACACCCAGCTATAAAATGCTTTCTTCTAGTCCGTTCAAATTGATCATAAAACTCATTCATCCAGAAGCAATTGCGCCTCGGCAACTCGAACATTACGCATATTTCTCCTTTCACATCCTGCCGGCCATGGCTTTCTTAACACTGGCCCAATAAGCCTGTGGCCAGACGCTCAAACTCTCGGCCTCCGTGGGCATACGCTCACGGCATCTCGTCACCACACTTTGAATGATTCTACCAAGCAGCTCCTCATCGATGGGAAGAGCCTTGTCGGTAAGCTCAGCGGGATAAAGGAAGGGATCGGACTCGTGCAGTAGCTCCTCGCAAGTTGGGCGCATGTGATGGTCGCGGTTGAGGCAACGTCTCATAGTGCGGATAAGCGAAGGAGGAACAGACATGCCTCCCATGCCGCGCGAGGGAAACTCAATCTCATGATCCCAGTTGATAATGGCCTGGCACCTTGACATCTGATTGGCGATGTGACCAAACGGCGGTAGGCCGTAGACCATCTGGTACAGGATGCAGCCGAGAGACCAGATATCACTGGGCTTACCCAGCTTCATCAACTTGGGTCGGCCAGCGACTCGGCCACCTCGGGGATTGTTGGAGTCCATTAGAGATTCAGGAGACATGTAGTTGGGTGTTCCTACTTGAGTCTCACGATGAACGTTGACAGTTTCATCCGTTTGAATAGCATTGGCAATGCCGAAATCGATGAGCTTGAGTTGACCCTTGACAAGAACGAAGTTGGCCGGCTTGAGATCGGAGTGGACAATATCGCACTGATGGACAGCTTGCAAACACTCAAGCATCTCCTTCCAATAGAATCGCACAAAAACTGGATCAAACTTCGCTGCCTCGGGGTTGTATCGCTTCCTCAAGAAGGTGTTGAAATCCAGCTCTCCAATCTCCATAAGCTGTTCAAAAGTCAGTAATCAATTCACAAGAATGCTTAGTTTGAACATACCAAAGTAAGAACCTGCTTCTCAGTGTTCATCTCACAATCAAACAACTTGATAACTCTCTCCACTTCACCCAATTTCTTCAGAAGGTCAATCTCGCCGAGATAACCCTTGATAGTTGAGTCGTCCGCGTTTTCTAGGGAAACACGCTTGAGAGCGAACATCTTGCCGTTTTCAGCAGCAACTCGATACACCTTTCCACTACCACCTCGGCCAAGACAATCAAGACGGGTATAAGCAACACCGTTCACTCGCAGAATGTTTCTACGCTGCTTTGCTTGTGTGGTTGTAGCGGCACCAGCAGTGGCGGTGGCAGCCTCAAGGACAGACATCTTGGGAGGTGGTGGGGGAGCTTGTCGTAAAGGGGTATTTCGTGCCATTGAAGCAAGCGGTTTCCTATCGGGAGAGACGGCTCTCACAGGAGCTGGATCGGCGCTCATTGGTCGTTTCGGCATCTTGTCCAAAATAGCATCCATAGAAGGTTTCGTTCTCTTGAGGCTCGCCTGGACATCATTTTCTTGATCACGGCCCGAGGGCAGCTCTGGTCGATGGGCTGGAAGCTTGTAATGAATCTCCTCCTCTTGTTCAGGCTCAGGTTTTGGTTGAGAAACTTGCACCTCTGGTGTGGATTCTCGTGGGGATGTCTCCCTAGAAGATTGCCTTGCGGCACCAAGTCTTAGGTCTATGTTGGAAGCATTGCGACGGTGAATTGCTCTGGCAGCGGCTTGTCCACTAACAGGGCTTCCCGAGTTAAAGTCACGGATACTGTCTCCATAATATGATGCAGCATGGTGGTCGTCGGCGGGTTGGCTCTCAGCTTCTTGGCTGGACAAGATCATATCTCCATCTGCGTTTGCTTCGCCTTCTTCTTCACTCTGTCTTCGGCGACCCCTTCGAGCTGGGCCACTCAAAAAGCTACCCGCAACTTTGCTGACGCGCTTGACACGCATTGAGCTTTGCAGATTAGCGTTATCTTCGGGCCTTGTCCGTGTAGTCGTTGAAGGATATCTCGAAACACTGCCATGGTGGAAGGGGGGAGGATTCCTTGCGACTGTGGCAGGCTCCTCGGGTTGGTCGTTGTCCTCGATTACAGATCTGTCCACCAAAGATCGATCCATAGATCTCCCTGAAGAAGGGCCAGTGGAGCCAAGGCGACTCCTGTTGCTGGGAGAACCAGCGTTAATTCGCACAACGCGTCCACCCTGCGCTGGGGTATTCACGTCCAATTGAGAATCTTGCTTGGAATCCTTCGAATCCTGTTTAGAATCGTAGCGTTCATCTGAAGACATATCGCGGCTCTCAGGACGGCTAAGGGGACGAGATTGTCGAGTTGAGCGAGATAAAGAAGTTGAGCGTCGCTTAGTAGGCTTCATCTGGTTAAGACTTTGAGGAGTGTTGCTCAATCTGACAACTCGTTTTCTGACTGGGCTGATCTCTCGACTTTGTACTTGTGCCGGGCTGGTTGGTCTTGAAGACCTATCGTGTGGTTGTACGCTTCCGGATCTTCGATGTCGGCGGGTCTCACTGGTGGAAGAAGTCGACGCGTTCAGAGCGCTCGTGCGTCGTCGCGTTCGGGGAGGTGAAACAGGACGCTCGGTGGATGCGGGAGCACCATCATTGAGAAGCGCCTTGGTGAGAGCACTGAGCTTCATAGGTACCGGGATCTCGTCCTCGGAGCTATCATCGTGGAATTGTTGTGGTTTTGGGTGATAGCCATTGGGAAGCGGTTGACTCGTAGGAGCGTAGGAGCTCTCATTGTGATTCACAGTTGAGCGGGAAGGCAACCTTCGAAGGGCTTGCCTTTGCGATGTTCTTCGTATAAGGCCATTGCCTATAGGCGTGGGCGAGGCAGTCGCCATATTAATGATGTTTTGCAGAGGTACTGTAGAGCGCGTCCGTGGCGTGTAATAAATCGAAATGGTAAAGGATTGGTGAAGGTTCGGTTTGGCGAAGAGTTGATATTTGCTACAATTCGATTATTATTGCCATTGCTCGACTTGCAAGACAAGTTTCCAAAACTTGAGACTATCGCGTCTGGGGCAGGGAAGAGAGATATGAGAAGCGAGGCGTGTTGTCCCACGAGAAAATATGGTCCAATCACTGAGTTGCCGGTTGCCTAGCAACGACATCCGCCTTAATCTTAGCGGCCGAGTATAGGGTTGCAATCTCATGCATTATACCTTGCTGGACAAACAAATATCATGTAGTTGGTTACCGCTAGCTTGTCATATCGTCGATCAAATAGAAGATGTCGTCTTAAGTCTTGTAGCGTTAGGCAGTTGGGTTGAAGTTGAGGACGGTTTTTTCGGTTACTATGCAGGACAACTGGCGGCTCCATAACCTAGCCACCTGAATTTAATTCATGCTTCAGTCTGCATATGCACGTAATACATCCAGTTTAACTGTAAGATAATCGAGGGGAAAATGAAGAATTTGAGATTGTTTTATTTTCACCACCTTTGAGAGAACAGCATGGTTCACGATCAAGTCGAACATCATTGCTGTCCAACAATATACAGACCCCAGTCTTAGTCGGACCTCGAATGTCAATCCCATATAAACTATCTGTACTCGGTACAACGTCCTCAACGGCTAACTCGTATCGTCCTCAACTAAATGGAATGACATCCAATTCTCCTGAGAGGATTGTAGAGTATATCTCTCTGTATAAGCACCTTTATATACAATGCGACTCTCCGGCTTCTACGGATACTCCAGAGGCTGTCGGCAGGCTGGTAATGGATCCCCAGACAGCAAACAATGATGCTCTTCCCCACAAAAAGCTAACTGCAGGTTAACAGCCAATCAAGGTTCTGAAACGCCAACGTTACGTCCGGGTTCTTGCCAGTGAGCCACATCGTCAACTGGAGCAAGGTACCTTATTTAGGTACCGTACATAGAGAGTCTCTTCCCCCTCTCTCATGCAGATTTACATTTAATTGTTCCTACTTCTTTCCCCTCGCCGTAAATACGTCGATGCGCTCGCAATGACAACTCAAAGGGGGCGGCCATGGGCGTGGATTATATCCTTGACCGTCCTCGTTCTTGCTTTTGCAGTTACAGTTAGTGCTTCAAAAGGCGACAGGTTGCCAGAATTCAAGGACTGTCTCAAGGTAAGGATACCTTAGGTAGCCACAGCGCAAAGCGACCAGCGACTAACAGCATGATAGGTCTGCAATGCCGAAAACTGCGCTTCAGATAAACCGCACACTCCGATCCGTACGTGTCCTCGATTCCACCATTGCAGCATATTAGCTAATGTGTCTTCCTGTCAACAGCTGTTCTACATCGTCTCCTATTATGGAATTGCGCCAGCGAATGCGACTATGCCTGCCAGCATATAGTGACGGGTCAACGGATGGCCGCCGGTCTCTCGGTCGAACAATTCTACGGGAAGTGGCCTTTCTACCGATTTCTCGGCATGCAGGAACCCTTTAGTGTCCTCTTTTCGCTGGGCAATCTCTGGGCGCACTGGGATGGCTTGAAGAAGGTCCAAGCCAGGATACCAACTTCATACTCTATGCGGGTATTCTACGATTGGCTGGCATATGTTGGCATTGCTTCTTGGACATTCAGCTCTATCTTCCATACCCGCGACTTCCGCGTCACCGAGGAGCTCGACTACTTTGCTGCTGGCGCCAGTGTCCTGTATGGCCTATACTATACAGTAGTGAGGGTTTTCAGGCTTGATAAGCGTACACCTCGAAGGCGTACCGCACTCCGAGTCTGGTCACTCCTTTGTGCCTCCATGTTTCTTGGCCATATCTCGTTCTTGAAGTTCGTTCGTTGGGACTATACCTACAACATGGCTGCGAATGTGGCGGCAGGTATTGTACAAAATGCTCTCTGGACATGGTTCAGTTTCAAGAGATATAGAGAATCAAGACGCATGTGGGCAGTTTGGCCTGGTTTTGTGGTTGCTTGGGTCATCTTTGCCATGAGCATGGAGCTTTTTGACTTCCCACCTTGGCTGGGGTGTGTCGATGCTCACAGTCTTTGGCATTTTATGACTATCGGACCAACAGTCTTGTGGTACAAGTAAGTGGCCGCATGGCTCGACTCTTTCACTGCATTGCTAACGATAAACAGTTTCCTCGTCAAGGACGCTCGAGACGATATGGCTAACAGCCAGAGGCTCAAGCTTTAGTAGCCATTATACTTGTACCACCACCAGAGCAATAACAGCTTATAGAACTAATTTAATGGTTGATATTAGTCATAACTATCTCTTTGTGACTTGAGGACTCGTTACTCACGTCGGTATTTGTCCCGGTCAGTCTATCAAGATACCCGATCTTTACCTTCACTTCACAATTTCACAATAGAGACGGCAGTGTAGTTTCTGTACTAAGTATTGTGTTGTGTCTTGTTTATTTAAGCTCGCCTCTAGTAAATACTTGTAAGAAGGAAAGACTTTTGCATCTCAGAGGTGCATTATCCAAGAACAAGCGCCAGTCGTGATAAAGTAGAAGGAACGACATCAACCAAGAACCCCACCCTCTTTCCATTAAATTAATGCGAAGTACCCATCCATTTTTTTAACGTTTCCCTTTCCCAACACCAATGTCCAAAAGTAAACCCACCATTCACATACCTTGGCCGTTAAATTCTCTTCTCTCGGACCAGTACAAGTACCGGGCGAACTATGCTTCCCTTGAAGCCAATGACAGTGTCGATTTTAACCGTTCAACGTCTTTCTTGATGAGGCTCATGTGCTGAGGAGGTCACGCACCGATAACCCACGGCCTTTAGAGTCCCGGCGATCGTTGTTCAACATCAGGAGTGCCGCCATGGCCTCTTGATCCAACTCGCTTTGGGGATTAAGTGCTGGACTTGTCAAGGCCGACCCTGGCGCTGAGGCATCGCTCCGAGCATAATGTGGTGCTCCATATATCTGCGGGCCAAAGGCGGGCGAGGTACCGGCAGAAACGCTATAACTGTATCGACGATGATCTGTTGAAGCTGAAGAGTAAGACTGCGCTCGATGGCGAGAGTCTTGAGGTGGAAGAGCGGGAGACACGGATGGATGGCGGGCACTTTGATCAGGCATCGCATTCAGTGCAGGTGACGTGGCGTCGGAATCCTCCATCTCAATATCATCATCACCAGCTGGATCGCCTTGAAAAGTTGGGTGGAATTCACGAATAGACGGCAACCGCTCTCGACCCGTAGGCGTTTGGCGACCGGACTCTGTCTGGCCGTTGTCTTCATCCTGTTGTGCTTTTAATTTGGAGACGCAATCCTCCAAGTACCGGATGTATTCAATCGAGGCCTAAACATACAAGCTGATCAGCAATCATCTTCAGCATAAATATCGGACAACATACCTGAAGAATGGATAGCTTATGCATATCTCCTGTACAAGCCGGGATCATGCCCTTAAGTACAGCAAACTCCTCGTTCATTTTACTTCGCCGCCGACGTTCGATCAGACTGTGTGCAGTTTTTCTTGCAATTTTCCGTCCTGCTGCACTTGTGGCACTGGGCTGCTTCTTCTTCGACTTGTCATCTGTGACCGCTTCTCCTGTAGGTACTGCAGCAGCTTTTGAGTTCGCCGCCGCCGTTGTGGTTTTCGCAGCTGCGTTGCTTTTACCTGTCGTCTTCGCCTTTTCTTTGTTGGAACTATCACCGCTTCCCTCCTGTCGAGGTTTCATCTGGATAATCTTCCGAGATCGAGTTGGCGGAGGCGGCAGGGCAAATGAGTTATCTTTGGCATCTCTGGCAGCCGATGAACGACGTCGAGCCTTTACAGCCTCGGCTGGCTGCATTGGATATGTCGTGCCTGGTGAAGTAGTACCGATTTGGCGCGACTTTGTATCTGTTGGCGAAACCTGGGATGGTATCGTGGGCGATGTGCGAGATGCGTCATGGATCGCTGGAGGCGGCAGCTCGAAAGAGAGCTGGAAAGAAGCGAGTTGTTGAGTTCCGTCCTTTCCCTGGATATCAGATGAGGAGCTAGGAGTGAGTGGGAGGCCTGGTCGGGGCATGTTGAGGATGGTGGGAGGAGTCCTATATTACAACACAGTTGAAAAGATGGGTGATGTTGGTGCCAAGACGAACATATGAGAGCCTGAGGAAGAATAATGGCGGAGGTTTCGTCAAGGGGCCAATGAACACAAATCAGGACAGCAATTGGAACCGTTGCTGCTCTGAAACCAAGCCAAGAATGGATCAAGATGTTCGTTCAGGCCGCTTGTGAGAGAGTGACAACGACAACACTCTTGTCGAGAGGTAGGGCATAGAGATATGGAGTGATTGGAGAGCAGGGTATGTTTGTGCGATATTCTAAAGGATAAGCAAGTTCCAGTCTCTCTTCAGTGACAGCATACGGGTATGGGGCAAAAGATATTAAATTGATTACTGGAAACACACTGCTAAGCATGCTCCAGCGATACAGAGACGGAGCCGACACATGCAGACACGAACACGCAGCGCTACAACGCCTCCCCAGTCCCAAAAGCGCAAGAGTTGCACGACCGAGCCCGCTGTTCACTCCGGTTCAGCGCAAAGAGATGCAAACTACATCGCAGGCTTTGTCTAACTTGAACCTAGAACGACCGGGTTGAAGGGATGTAAGTTCATGGACCAAGCATCATCGAGGAAATGGTCGCGTGCTCTATTTGGTGATGAGCGAATCAGCGTGGGGGATTGACCAACGTGGTCCAAGTAGGCTTTTCGGTGGGCAGGGGTCCAGTCTCAGAAACACAGAACGAGGCTTAGATTGGCGTCCATGCTTGATGGAGAAAGACGGAAAGTTACTAGGATTTCGTACAGGAGGGCACGAGGGGCGGTAGCTTGTGCTACATTGGCAGCTATTGACTCGGGTTTGAAGGTGAAGGTACCATGATGGCTTATCATGATGGTGTAAGTCAAGGCTAAAGGTAAGTCAGCACAGTTCCTGACACATGAAAACGATCATTTTCGGCGACACAATTGGAATTGAAGTTGAGAACTACAGGGGTTCAAGATGCCAAACAATTGCAAGACAAATTGTCATTCGTCTTGGGTTGGGCTCAAACAAATGTTTGGGTCAGAACATGAGCCTGCCAGTCTGTGAGCTGGGGGAGGGGAGGGGGGGCTTTGAGATCTCCAATCTGTCTCCAATCTTCAACTCCACCTCCGCCATTCCACAACATCAACTCCACAAGCCTATTGAAGCCAGGACTCATGCTTCACTCGGTTTCCAATTAGGCAAAGATAAACAGCCAGTGCAGGAGGGCACGTGTCTCATGCGAACTCTACGAGCTTCCAGACTCAAGACTCGATTCTAAAGCGATAAGACCCGGGATTTCACGACATTCAATTAACCAGAATAAGAGAGGAGAAGGTTGCAACTAAAAAATTGGCTTTGTTATTCGTCCTTGGACTTAAATGAGCACGTGCGCGTCTTTGAGACGTCGATGACTTTTCTATCATACAGCAACACACTCGGCCACTTTCCCCAATTCCACATATAGGAATCCCACCCATCACCATCTTGTGTGAGCCAACGTGGGGAGAGACCCTGGAGCGGCTCTTAGCCAAGAACCTACCCCTGACACGCCGCAGACCCACGAACAAGGCTTGGCCACCTAAATAGGCAGTGAGTCAAGATCCTTGAACTGGTTCCTCAGCTTATCAACAAATTGACTTGATCGACATGCGGCCTGTTCTGTTGTCCGGTGTGCTTTCTTTCCTTTTATATCGTGGGCGATAGCCCTGATAGAGTATGTATATATGCATTTCCACCTAGGTCATTCATGTCGTATCATATCATCCGAACTCCACTCTATCCTTAAAATTTTGGGTATATGTTCGGCACTTAGACCTCGTTGCTGGGGTAGGTGACCTTGGTGGTAGGAGTGAACTCCTCCTTGATGGCGCGAACATTGACGAAGCGAGTCAGGAGGTTCTGGCTACCAGCCTTGTCGTTGGTACCGGAGGCACGAGAGCCACCGAAGGGCTGCTGGCCGACAACGGCACCAGTACTCTTGCAGTTGACGTAGAAGTTACCAGCGGCGTTGCGGAGGTGCTCCTCAGCGAAGCGAGAAGCCTCACGGTCAGCAGCGAAGACAGCACCAGTCAGACCGTAATCAGAGGTGGTCTCGATGAGCTTGCAAACATCGGCAATGGCGTTAGGGGCGGCGTCATCGTAAATGTAGGTGGTGAGGATAGGACCGAAGAACTCGGTAGAGAAGAACTTGTGGTTGGGGTTGGTGGTGGCGTAGATGGTAGGGTGGACATAGTAACCTTTAGAAGAGTCGTACTTGCCACCAACAACGAGCTCAAGGTCCTTGTCGTTCTTGGCCTCGTCGATAGCACCAGAGAGCTTCTTGAAGGAAGCCTCGTGGATGACGGGACCCATGAAGTTATGGTGCTCAGTAGGGTTGCCGATCTTGATGGCCTCAACCTCAGCAATCAGCTTCTCCTTGAACTCGGGCCACATGGACTTGGGGACATAGCAGCGAGAGGTGGCACTGCACTTCTGGCCCTGGAACTCGAAAGCACCACGGACAGTCTGCTTAACAGCGTTGTCAATCTCAGCAGTAGGGTCGATCAAGTGGAAGTTCTTGCCACCAGTCTCACCAACGACACGGGGGTAGCCGCGGTATCGGCCCTCAGCAATACCCTGGCCGATGGTGCCGTAGAGCTGACGGAAGACGCTGGTGCTGCCAGTGTAGTGGAGGGCAGCGAACTCCCGGTGCTCGAGAACAACCTTGGTGATGTCGACGGGGTTACCAGGGACGAACTGGATAACGTCCTTGGGGAGACCAGCCTCGATCAGGATTTGGTAGACGAGCCAGTTAGAGGCAATGGCGAAGTCACTGGGCTTCCAGACAACGACGTTACCGAGAAGAGCAGGGGCACCGGGCAGGTTACCGGCGATGGCAGTGAAGTTGAAGGGGCTGACAGCGTAGACGAAACCCTCAAGGGCACGGTACTCGAGACGGTTCCAGACACCGGGAGAGTGGTGCTCAGGCTGGATGCTGTAGAGCTGCTCAGCGTAGTGGACGTTGAAGCGGAGAAAGTCAGCCAGCTCAGCGGCAGCATCGATCTCAGCTTGCCAAGCGTTCTTGCCCTGGCCGAGCATGGTAGCGGCCATGATGTCGTAGCGGTACTTGGTGGAGATCAGGTCAGCAGCCTTGAGGAAGACAGCAGCTCGGTCGGCGAAGGGAAGGGCCTCCCAAGCGGGCTTGGCAGCCAGAGCAGCGTCAATGGCGGCCGAGACATCGGCAGTGGTGGCAGTGTGGTAAGAGGCGACGGTGGTGGCATGGTCGGCAGGGTTCTGCTGCTTAGAGAGGGCAGAAGCCTTGATCTACGAGATTTCGTGTTAGATATGGTTATTATGATAGTGGCTGAGTGGGCGTCTGTAGCCAACTTACCTGCTTGCCGCCAACAACGACGGGAACCTCGATGGGAAGCTGCTTCTGGAGCTTCTCAATGGCGGCGGTCAGACCCTGTCGCTGCTCACTGCCCTTGGCGTAGTGCTGGTTGGGCTCGTTGAAGACCTTGGGGGTCTTGAAAGAAGCCAGAGTCGCAGCAGTTCGCAGCTGCTGGGTTCGAGCAGCGGTGCGAAGACCCTGGGCACCAGCCCGGTTAAGGAACATCATGGAAGACATTATGTGATGTTTTGTGTTTGTTCTTCGTTATCGGAGGAGTCGTCGAGGAGGGGTATCACAAAAAGCAGAATCAAAGGTTCGACGACGATCGAAGATGGAAGATGAAGAGAAAGGAAAAGAAAAAAGAGGAGGGGAAAGAAGACGATGGGGAAAAGGAAGTAGGTATAAGAAGAAATCCAGTTGCGTTGCTGTACTGTATTGACTGTACTGACTAACAGAAATTCCGAATTCAGATGCAATATCACGACTCAAGACCCAGACCTCGCGTAGCAAATCCTCCTCGATCCGTCAAAAAAGTGAACTACCGCCGCTCGCCACGCGAGCTAAGCTAAACAAGCTACTCTTCGTCCTATCAATGCCTCTGCTTTGTTAGACGCTCTATCTTTCTTCTCCAGTTAGAGCTAAAGATCGCGGCTTATCACGGCCTAAAAAGATTCTGTGTGGGGAATGGGCACATGACGTCGCCTGTATTCCCCCAGCTACGGTCAGCCCGGGGATCGATATTGATTGGTCAATGGCCGTTTTCTATGCTGGGGCCGATCTCGGCAGATGGGGCATGGCTCGTTATCTTTTGTTGCCCGCGAAGAGCCGCACCCGCAGGCATCGTATTTGTATCACCGAAACAGGGCCTTTTTTTTTAATTCTAGAATTTCCAAGTACTAACGCAAACAGGTGTCACTAGATTAGTAGACCGCGAGTTCTCATATATGAAATTTTCACCCAAACATGAGAGATACCCAGCTCACCTATCTTCCATGACTCAACAAGGTATTCAACTAAAGTCAGTTATTTCCAGCATGTATCTCCATCTCCAGGAAAGCCAAGGATGTGAGCTCTAGTTTAGTTAACTGGGGGTCTCTGATAAACCTACATATGGCCGCGCTTTTCCGAACGTGGGGTACTTTGACGGTCATGTGCTAGGTACAGTATCTCGTCTTGGTACAGGTAGCGGCGGTATCAGAAGCATCTCGCATCAAACACTTTACCTCTTTTGACTTGGCGAGCCTGGGGAAGAAAATTTCCTTATCTGCTACGATAGAATACATGCAAGACATGATTTGGTTTTGGTTTTGCATGATATCTCGATACATCATAATGTGAGAATAGAATGGATTAGGTATAGACTATAAACAATGAATACTTTAATACTTGTCTCATCAAACCGCCGCATGTCCCGACTAAACTCAGTCAGGCAGACAGCAATGTCAAGACTCCAACCACTCACATCTTCCAACCGCTATTTCGTGTACTTTCAATGCCAAAGGCAATTGCCTTCAACGGGTATAAACAAACAGAAACTACCCCATGGGAACACTGCCTCTCTCGCTGGTTGGCTGGGTACCTTTTATCCCTGCCCAGGCTCTCTCTCATCCCTCTCGTCAAGCCACTTTCGTCCTTTTCGTTTCGCCCTTCGCAAGCCGTCGCCGGCCCGGCCCCGCATACGTCGGACCCACCCCGTCATTGCTTTCCAGCCGGTTGCACCGGCCCGAGTATTGGGTTTGTCAACGGCATGGCTATCATATTCATCCCGTTCAGAAGCCTTCAAGTCCTCCTAATGCTGGCTTCCTGACGTGACTGACGTTCTGGGTGTGTTTGGCTCATCTCTCTGTCGGTAGTTGAGTAACGGCACCGTCAATCCGTACATCTCTGTTCGACCCTCCTTGTCGTGCTGGTCGATCTCCACGTTGATACACACATCAAGTGTTCCGTCGTTGGCCTTGCCATGGGTTTCTCGCGATGCTGCTCTGTGTGCTGTTCCGGCTTGGACTTCTCCTTTGTGAAGGACTTTATGACCGTTGTTGCCCAAAAAAGTCTGATCCGAGGTCTCTGTTCCGTTCTCATTTACACTGCCGTTAGGAACCCCTGGGTTGTTTGGTGAGTTCTCGGTGATGGTTGCAAAGTTACGGCTGGGCATTGTGCAGCTGTTGTGGTTGGCGGTCTTGTTGGAGTTGCCAGGGTCCTTGTCAAACAGATCCAGCAGAGTTTCGTCTGTCTTGGCGTTCAAGTGATGGATCTTGTTTCTTCTGGCGAGAAGATTTGCAACGGCCTGCGGCGGTGGCTTGTTGACAATGGCCGAAGAAACTACATTCACCATGTAGCGGTGATCCTCCTCCACGGGAATCTTGAGGTCAGGGTTGGAGTAGAAACGTCCAAGCGCGGCCAGATGCACATCGCCTCCAAGGATTGTCACGCGAGCGTTGAATTCGGCAGCAACTTTTTGAAGTGCAACCATCAGCTCACGCCTCTCCTTCTTGTGCGTTCTCGCAGTGTAGTGGTCATCCAGATCGTCCAACAGATCGATACTACCGTCAAATTGGTTAAACAAACTTCCTCCAAGTCCGAATCGTCGGTTGAGGATCTTGATAGGGCCCATAACTGGACTGCGGAAGATGTTCTCCAGCCAAGTTAAGCGCTAAAACATGTCAGTCTGACAGCTGGTAATTGAATGTTCTATATCAAGACACATACCGGATACGCAATGGGAATACCAAGGAGCAGAATTACGTGCTTGATTGGCTGTCCTGCCGCTGCTGCCGCTTCGAGCTCCGAACGGAGTCTTGCCCAGATCTTCTTGTACGTCTCAGGGTAATTGACTTGATGACGTGTGCGCTGTGCTTCGGGTTAGCTACTGTTTGTGTTGGAACGCGATATACTGACCTCTACACGTGCATCGATACCGACAAGAGCAACACGGGCTCCAAGACGGGTATAGATGTTGTAAGAACGTTCAGCGACATATGGACCGGGATGGTCACCGACAATGTACTCGGGCGACTCGATCGTTGGCGCAACGTAGGTATCAATGAGCTGATTAGGATCAGGTCCTTGGCTGGCTGCTTCGAGAGCGGCATGGTCTGTCGCATATTAGTATAATAATGCCAAGGGCGAATGAAGCTATCCTACCGGTAGTGTATGTTGATGCAGGAGGTGGCAAATGATGCTGGAAGAGCATGTAGTATTTGTGAGCAGTACCGCCAATGCCGCGGAACACGTCGCATTGCATGAAATCGTCGACATACGAGCCAAATCCGTCAATAATCTGAAGATTGTCAGCAATGTGCTACTCTCGTCGCTCACGCAATCGCGTTCGAAGCTTACATCATGGTCATCCCAGATGTTGATCTGGGGAATTTGACCGTTGACACCAGCAAAGGGGTCGAGGTTGTACCAACGGATATAGTTCTTCAGGTAGTAGTCATCGCATTCAGCGCGCAGTGTCTCGGGGAAGGGATAGTGTCTTCGCTTCTTGGGGTTACTGATGTCAGTCCATTGACGTAGAGGGCCATCGACTCGGATTCCATCGTTGTAGATCTGATCGCCACCACCAATCATGACATGAAAAGGAATCTCGCGATGCTTTCGTGTAACATCATTCCATAGACACGGGCCGCTCCAAGCTTCCTCGTCGGTTCCTACACTGAAACCGTTGCACGAGTGGAACATCATGCGAAAAGACTCGGTTGCGGCAGGTACAAAGAATCGGTTTACTCGAGGCTTGTGCTCGCTGGAGAAGCGCATTTCGGGCAGAGAATAGTCGTAGCCACATTCGGTGTCCTGGATCGGAACACTGATATTGAAAGCCCAGAAGGTATTGCGTGGGTCAGAGTAGAGACAATGTCCGTCTACACGCACCTCCTCGCGCGCTCCATTGGTTACGTTGTTGCCCTCTGGGAGAGTAACGGCTAGGTTGAGCGTCAAGTAGGGCTGATGCAGAGGAATCTTGCCTCCACCCTCGACGACAACCAGTACACTGCCGTGCCAGCGTCCCTCCTTCATATGGCGATAGTTCAGGAGCGGACCGCAAACAATTGTCTTTCCATCGGGGGCATTCTCTCCTTGGGGACCTTGACCAGCATGGCTTTGGCCTACATTATCGCCCACAACGGATCCATTGGCATCGCCAGCGGCAGCAGTGATGGGTCTGTATTTTCCAGTTTCGCGGTTCTCGTCTTCTGGCTCGATGCGCGACTGGTTGAGGAAGTCTACAAGGTCGCCCGTAGCTGTAGTCTCTTGGTGAGGATCTCGAGGCGGACCTTGGCCAGAGAGCTGCGAGGCATGCGCAGCATAAGCAGAGGATTCCTGGTGTCGCCAGCGACTAGACGACGCATATGGATTGCGCTGCGACTCGGTGGTCGTGGGTCTTTCTCCAACGTCTACCATCTTGTGATTCTGATCGCAAGAAGCAGCTGTATGCTGGTTTTCGGGAGCTTATATATGGAGGCCTCCGGATGTGGTGGGTGTGGTACACGATAGATCGTCGCAAGTTTTATGGATTAATATCGGGTGGGAAAATCGACGACGCGGGTTGTCACCAAACGCGACAAGGACAATAGTCCAAGGTAATGCGCAGTCTTCAATACAGAACGTGCACCTGCTATGGAAAGCCCAAAACAAGACTCTGCAATGGATGCTACAAGAAAGAAAATGACAATGTCCGGGAGAAAAACTCGACTCGAGGGTAAGACCGACGAGAGGATTTTAGTCTAATGGTAAGACACCAAGACACAAAAGCACAGACTGGATGATGACGCAGGTGCAACCAGACACATCCCGCCAGTTGGTGCAGGGGTCATGGGGCAGTTGCGATAAGACTTTGTAAACACCATGAGGAAGGTACTTTCCTCTGTTCCATGCATGCAACGTGTACCAATTGCTGCTAGATCCATTGTCACCACTGGCTCCTCCATCAGCTGTTCAGCGACACAAACATAACTCGATCAAGTAACAAGACTCGACAAAACCCCATTGAGGCACAGAATAAAATTATACACTATACGGACACAGCAATGAGGATCAGGGAATTGAATGGGATGAGATGGCGCCAAGCACATCGTCGAGTCCCTCATTGGTCAGCCGGTTACAGTGGAAGCGATCCCTGGGAGAATCCAGGGAAACCAAGACACCGACTTGTTATCAAGGTCCTAGGGACCTGAGTTGGCCAGGATATGAACCCTTACTCGACGGTTGACGGGGTAATGAGTGTAACATCTAATCTTCCAGCATGAATTCGGACTTGGCTAATGGGAGAGCTCAGTGGCATCTTATCTGACCTGATTCTACGGTTGAAGAACTTTGATCTTTGCTGGTGATGGTTATCGAGAGACCAACATGAAACAGGGACAATCCACACATCGACGCCATCTAATTTCGAACCCCGCCAAGATCTACATACCGATTCATTACATGAGGGTCATGGATAAATGCTCTTTCATTTGTCAATGAATCTGACCTACCCGGGAGGGTTTATTTGAGATCTTCTGGTAATTCATTCTGGCTTCCATCATCATTTATCATCACGGGCAATCAATTGTCTTCAGTGCAGCCACCCCAGACACACTCAGTATTAAGCTAGAAGTTAAGCATGAATATATGGGTGACGTCATTTAATTGTTCTCTTTCTTGTATCTGCTATCAGTACCTTCCAAGTTCGGTAGGCTTGTTCTTCAGTATTTGGAGTTTTTTTATGTGATATTTTATCTAACTAATTGAAATTAGGTAGCTGTGGTCAACTGCCTACTCGATTAGAATGACTGGTACAAAAATGCACACAGAGTTAGCATCGAAAGCCTGAGTGAACAGACATTGTACGCACCAACTGGCAAAAGATGTTGAGCTCCTGCCAGCTCCAGTTCTCGAAATGTCCCCACAAATCATTACATAAGCAGACAGCCATCTTATCAAGCTCAAAATTTCGTGGAAAATTTTAATTCTTCCACAACTCTCACAATGTATTGTTCTTGAGCAACGCCGAATTATCGGCTACCATTGAACTACAGCACAAGATCCCTCGCGATCAAACCTGGGCCATCTCAGGATCACAGCATCAGGTCCGACAAAGAGTACGCACACGAGCATGCGGTTGCGATTGACCGACTCGTACGTGGTTCAACCTATCGACCCGATGGCACAAGATCTCAAATACGAGTGACCCAGGCAAGGTTATCCAAGGTAGGTGATTGCTCGGTGAAACAGTGAAGTGCAGTGAAAACTGCACAAACGGCATTAGTGTGTACAGCAAATGGGCTCTTTCTATGCTCGCCTTGCTGAAGGAATTTTCTTCGTGCCAAGATTGATATCCCCCTACTATTACCAAACACCTCTGTTCTTGTAATCCCACAGACACTGGTGCATGAAGCTAGGGGTACATGCCATTACAATGGACATGTTACTTTTGCCAACAAATACAATTCTCCAACGTGAAGCACGCCCCGATGGCTCCAAGAATGGTGATACTGTCACTGGAGATGCCCTCTCGCATATGCCAGCCCGGCCGTGTTGCTTTCCAACATGGGAACCCCGGGAAGCTTGTAGAGAAAGTAGTCGACTGCCAAGTTCGACGTTGTGAACCCCTAATCGGCCAAACGTCTTAGGTTGCATGTAAGGATGGAAAATACAGCATGCAGCCCGCATATTGGACGATTCTCCAGAGGCCAAGCAAGACAAGCCTTGTTGGGTGGTTGTCGAATTGCTGAGAAGCCCACATCACCGCACGCTTGCGGGCTTGGTATCAGACAAAAAAAGATGCGGTGGGCAAAAAGACAACAAGAGCCACATTAGGGGTCGCGTTGGACCAACAGACAGGCTGGTCAGTGCATACAGGTCCATCAAGTTGGAACTCTGACTACCTCGGATTCAGCCGACCAGGGATCCAGAACAGCATCTGTGGTTATTCGCTGGGTCGTAGCCAAGGTCCTATCGTTTCCCATCTCTTCGGTTCAATTACCCAGCCCGGACATGGTAGCCCTACGATTGATCGAAGATGCACATACATACATACGCACGGCAACACGATACAGCTGAGGGAATGGGGCTACAGAAAAGGGCCTCAACCGTATTCCAAAGCTGAACAGCGTGATGCGATGCATGCATGCAAGGGAAACCAAAAGTGAAATCGGTCGCGAAGTTGTGCCTCCAGCTTATATGGGCTGTACCCTGCTCTGCAGTTCGGTGTACTGATAGTCAGATACTTTGCCTGCACTACTGCACCAGGCGCAGGCGCAGGCGCAACCGTAGCCCCATTATGGTACAGTAAGCAAAAAGAAAAGATAAAGCTGGGGAAATCTGATTGCTAGTTCTGTAGAACATGGCATGGATGACATGACACAACATGACGGAACAGACAACATGGAGAGTCTTCCTGTCACCGCCAAGTTCCCAACGGAACAGACGGCCAATAGGCCTTGCACGTGTATCCGTAGTTCTACAAAGGCGCATGGCATGAATAAGCATCGTCACAAGTTTACGGTCGTGAAACCGAGAATGCCATGTTGACAAGCAGAATTCCGGATTACCAATTCGAGACTGAATACCTTGTACGGACAAGAAACATTTCTCCCAAGAACAGACAGTACCATACCAGACCACTGAGACATATAGTCGGAACAAAGACGCGTGCGGAACAGGCGCCTCTTTCTTCAAGTATAAAATTGCATTACCATATAGTAGCTAGGTCGGATAAGGATGGTGATGTAGCATTCAGTCTCCAGATTCTAGGCTTGATCAGGTAAATGCATTCGGAAGAGTCAATGAACGTCATCAACACGTTGTATTAACAATGAATATAGTATATACTATGTAGAGGGTACTTTTGGGTGGGGGCTAGTGAGATGGAAATGAGCTGGCTGCTACGCTGCTCTAAGAAACATCATCCCATCCCATCCCATCCATAGGCCGTCACTCAAAGGACCCCTTTCTCGGAGTCTGAGCTGCCCGAATCCTAGTATTTCGTACTAAGGTACCTTCATGTACTTTATGACATGTTATCCAATTAACTGCCACTTGCTTCTGTGTTCAGATACAGATACCAGCGCAGTAATTGCTGCATTGCAGTTGCATGCGTAAGGAACTTGTTTACAAAAACCAAAACAATCCAATGAGCGGTATTAAAAAAAAAAAGAATTTGATATGTCCGGCCACGGAGAAAAAGCTACGCTTTTAGGTCCCTTTTTCTGGTCGGGCGGGTACAGAACTTCAGCTACAGCACGGCATGACGATGGCCCAGCGATTGGCTTCACAGCCGACTTTCAACGGCGGCTCTAGTTTTTTAACTTAGTGAGGACCGGCTCCATGCACAATTTAGAACGACCCGAGCCTTTTCCAGTCAGAGTTAATAGGATAGAATCAAATCAGCTAAAAAAAATTAAAAATTTACCTCGTTTTCTTTTTTTCTTCTTTATCAGCTACGTTCCAACTAGTTTAAGGGGTAACTTTTTGGGCCATGTTTCGCTCGTTAGGTACCTTTTTTGCAGTGTGCAGTGACTCTATCGGCCCTCAATCTCGGACTACTCCATTAAATAGTTCCACTTTAGAATGAACCATACTCCTTGTTGAGCCAACAATCGTCGATTTCCAATCATATGAAAATTGATACATTTCGTCTGTTGTCAAGCCCGGGTAACACAATGTCAATGGGTTCTTGGCTTATCAACTGTACATACCGATCAGGTATGTACCCGTTGAACCATCAGCCCGTCCCGTAGATCTTCTTCAACCGTAGAGATGAAGCCCCCGTTGCTACGCCCATCACATCCAGTCAGAATAAGACTAGAGACGACAAGAGTCAGCCTCAACGGCAAGATCCACCAGCGGTTGTCATGGGCCTGGACTGGGCTTTTGCTCTGGTCGGTTGAATCCACTAACGAAATCTCAGCCGGACAGGCAACCGGGTGGTTGAAGGAATAATTGAGACACGGGACATGTATGTCAGAATAACAAAGACATGGGCATAGACTAAGACTACTCTAATATGCACATGTTATTGTTTCACCCTCTTGCTATTATCACTCAAAGTGACTTGCATGTCTCTTAATGGGTCACCTAACCATGGACCAAACTCATGATCTCCATCTAACAAGGCCGAGTTGCTTCATGATTAGCCAACCAGACGAGAACCGTCTCGATCCTCGGGGCTAAGAGTCAGGGGGCTTATAGTGCTGTAGATATACAATCGACGATCCAACTTTATCGCTCTTTTGGTGGTGTACAAGAGAAAGCTTGAATGTATTTGCAATCTCACCGGGGAAAAACCTGGAAGTTAAGGTTTCCGAAACACTTGTTTCACAGATTTAGGGTTGAGAAATACTATGATACTCGCCCTTCTTTTCGCTATAACGAGGCTATTCTATGCTTGAACAGACAGGTAATATTCTCCGAATTTTGTCAGTGTTGATTCGTAATGAATGAATTCAGAGTACATGAGAGAGGACAGTCAAATTTACTCTGCGCCTCGTCCACCGCCACCAAAGCTTCGCTTCGATATACACATCACCATCTATGCACTGTCAGATACATATAAGGTTAGCTACCTATTGCTAGGTTTCTGAAATATCAGAATCAGTGTCAGACGAAAATCATGGCACAGATCGGAACAAAACCTTGATCAAGAAGATTGAATGATTGCCCCCCCCCGACCTCGTCTCAGTGCGTCTCACTCTGCTTCGTTGTCAATACCGTTAAGAGATAGCGCGCAATAATGTGATGACTTTCCATGGGTGTTGCATTCGGCTCCGTCCAATCTTTCTGTAATCTGTGCCTCTTCAGCTCCTTGTACCGCCAGGCTTCGACCCCTGGAGAAGAAGAGTGCCGTGGCCTTTAACGAATAGTATCTCGTCGACATGAAGGTCGTGCACTAGGTTGCTTTCTTCCTACCAGGAGTGTGCCTTGATTTTCAAGTGTACTGCTAAGCATCTCGAGGTTTCTATCCGTACGATACACAACACAAGATTCAATGCAATGCAATGTAATGCAACAGCGGGCGCATCCCCTCTTGTTGTCTAATGTTTCACCGGGGAATATGTAAGTTTGTGCGATCATGATCTTGTGTGATTCAATCAATCAATTATTGTTCTAGGCTGCTGAACTAAACAATAAGCGACTTCCCGAAAGAATGTCACAAGAAGCGCTCAGACTTGACGTCTCGTCAATGACGTTCTTGTTCATTTCAGAGGCGTTGATCGAAATTGGATGGATCCCGCCTCGCTCATAGGTAATTAAATTTAGGTATAGTACGGAGTATTGACAGCGGTTCATCTGCTGAAGCTGCAATCAATTACAGCGCTCCACCACGCCAATGCTTCCACCCTGTCCTGACTTTCTTATATGGAGTCTTGGGTTCCTTTCTCTCTAGAAACAACACAGACCAGGACCAGGAAAGGAACCCAACATCTAATTATTCCATCTCTTAATCCGTGCGTCGCCCCATTCTGACAAGACAAACAGCCCGCAGCCCCTTCTGGGCATAGCCTCATTTCGTTTTGGGGGCTCCCCTTGTATGGATGTACTGACCTGACTGCTTCTTCAGTACCTACAGTACAGTCTGGTACAACGCCAGCTGGACGGATACTTCGGCCTCCCTACGGGTTCCCTGTCAATCAGCTCCTCCGTCTTGCCGCTACACCCCCGGCTAGTCTGCGGCGATCCTGTATGTGGAGGTTGCAGGTTGCAGCTGCAGGTCGCACTAGTGAGAGAAAGGTACTCTCGAGTCCACACTTTATACCAGGCTAGGCCTGCGCTGCGCTGCGCTGCACTGCAGTTCAGTTGTATTCTGCCTATTGAATCGAAACCCTGAGAAGCCTCGTCTTTCTTTCTTTCAAACCACTTCGAATCTTTCACATCCAATTGCAGTCCCCCCGACATATACTCATACCTCTGCCGGACAGAGAAGCATCGAATAATGGTGAACTGAGATACATTTATTTGCTTTTTTAATTCTTCTTATACGGTCGGCTTTCCAGCAAGAGAAGCATCAACCTGCGGGACGCTTCTCTCGTTGAAGCCTACCTGGTACTCAACCGTTCTGTCATGAGATGAGTGGTCCTACCATGATAATGGCTCCGGCCGTCGAATCCTCCTCTCCCTTCTCCAGGTCTCAATCCAGCCCAGACCTGGGGCTTCTCTCACTATCTTCTCTCGAAAAACCTTCTTCCTCAACATCAACATCAACGACGCCGACACCGCAGCGCGAGAAGATTCCCGATTCCAAATCATTACCCAACTTTGACCTTCCCACCTTCAATGTTGATTTCGATCTCGATACCAGCCTTGATACGACCGTTTTCCAGCCCGAGGAGCAACAGGCTGAGACGAAAGCGCCACCACCACCAACAATCGTTGAAACAAAAGAGGCGCCTGAAGAACTTTCGCGATTCAGACACGCCAGAAAAAGAACAAGCTCGCTCATCGATACTCGAGGCTGGCTCCAAAGCTCTAAAAGCACGTCGGATCTTCACAACCTTCGCGAAGACCCTCCTCGACCGACAACATCGGCAGGAGACAAGAAATTTGGCGATGGATCGATTGGAAATCTGAAACCAACAGACAAGCCCCTGACGAAATCCGAGTCTTTTGTCAACTTCGCCAAACGCTCATGGAGACCTTCTCGCTCCCCTTCGCCTATGAAGAATGCCGACTCTACCAAAGAAGATGAGGAGTCTGGGCGCAGCCGATCCGAGAGCACAACATCAATGAAGTTGACAAAGACTCGCAAACGCCCTGGTTTGACCGTCGATCAAGTGGATAAGAATAAGTCGAGCGACTCGCTTAAATCTGGTGCCCCTAAAGCCTTCTCCCGAGCGAGCAGCTACTTTTCGAAGCTCAAACAGAAACAAGCGGGCTTGTCCAAGCTCAATACGAACACCGACTCCGACAACAGCTGTGCTTCTTCGGCCACAAGCCTCGCGCCACCAGCTTCGACAACCGCAGAAGACCACACACCGCAATCTTCAGCCTACGATACCACATCCGCTACGACTGTTACTGATGAGTCTTCTGTTGAGATGCCGCCTCAGCAGAGAGACGTGCTGTGGTCGTCTTTCAAAGCGATCGACGAGGATTTTAAGGGGTTCCTTGCCAAGAGCACCGCCCAGCGAATGTCGCAGGTTCAGACACAACTCTTGCCGTTCCTCCGGAGTACCATGAACCACGAATCAACAAAGAAGCTTTGCGCTGAAGATGTTGACCGAAGAGCAACAATTCTGAATAAGTGGTGGATTTCGATCTTGGAGATGCTGGATGGTCAAGCTCCCCAACCTGTCCCCGGTGTCGACCGCCCGGTATTGTTCGACGCGGCAACGCTCCTTATGATGCGCCTCGAATGGCGACAAGCTACTTCCTATTTCTTACCACTTTCCAACCGATCGCCAGCTGAGCGAGTTCGAGCCCGATCCATGACTAACTCGTCCAACTCGTCTATTACGTCTAGTCAAGCAGCATTCCTCGAAGAGTCGGCCGAGCATAACGTTAGAACTATGTTTGTTACCAACCTGGTAAAACAGATGGGTTTTATAGTCGATAAGCTCTCGCTTCGTCATACACCCGCCAGCCTGGTCAACTTCGCAGGAAAGGCCTGCGCATACGCCTTCTTCTTTGCGCCTGGTGTTGCCGACATTCTGATTAGGCTATGGGGTCTTTCTCCTGAGTTGATTAGACGCGTTGCCGATGAGCTTGGTTTGCCACGGAAAAACAAGGGTGAGAGCGATGATATTGCAGCTTTGTTTCCTCCAACCATTGGCGTATTTGCCTGGACCTCACCAAAGGGTATGTGGGATAGCCTTAAGAAGGTTCCCAGACTGCCTATGCTGGTGTCTCGAATCCCGTGGACAGGTCCCTGGGCGGCTCGCTGGAAAGGTCGCGATACGGATGTCTTTTTCATTTTCCTCAAGTATTTCCACATCCTGTCGGAACAGTTCATGCCCCCCGGGCTGCCTCTCCTAGAAAAATCAAGGTCTCCCGGGTTCGCTCTTGTTCAGGCACAGCTTCTGTACGTGCTGGACACAACCATCCACCGCCAAGCCCCCACGGATGGTGGATTCAACCCCGCTGCCATGGATGGCATGTCAGGTGCCGATGCCGCAATGGCTCTTCCTCTTCCTATGAGCAATGTTATGAGGGGCATGGCCGAGAACCGATGCATCATGTTGCTGAAAGACTATCTCTCGGACGACTCCCTTGACATCGCTGGCGCTCGACACACGTTTGCGGAAACCTTCGCCACCATGATGAAGGCAGCAACCCGAAAAGTTTCAATGTACAACCATCCTGCCTGTTTCACCCTGTGCGACTTTTTGGAGGAAGTTCTCGTACTCTACAGCGAATTCGAGGACCCAGATAGTTCTGACAGCTATCTCGACTGGCCATTTTGGTTTGATGTTTGCCAAAAGGTCATGGGCTCTTTCAACACCATGTCGGAAATTCGAATGTTGGCCCTGATTTATTCGATATGGGACGCCATCTCAAGAGACCCTGTGCGCAAGTTGGCAATCTGTAAGGATTGGCTGCTTACTGAAGAAACTTTCAATGAGTTCTTCAACCACTGGTGCCCCATGGTTCGGGCTTACTACCAGCGTTTGCTGTGTTGGCGAATGTGCCGAGACTCAGGAACGTTGGATGAGGTTGATGGGTAAGCATATCGAGTATTCCGCATCTTGCGTTCTTACTAATTAGACATAGTCAAATCTTCGTTCTTGTAGCTGAGCGACTCCAGACAACATGGTCTCACTATCTGCATATCAAGCACGCTGCCGAACAAGAAGAACGGATTGCACCCTCGACTGCCCCGGTAAACCCAGCACCTGGAAAACGCTTCATGATTATTCGCCAGGAAATCAATGTACCTCAGCCTGGCTTGTATATGGGCAGTTTTGACTCTTTCGCCAAGCTTCCTAATAGCGAGAATAGCGTTCTCAACGGCCTGCCGCCTGACTCGTCAAGGCAGGACGGTAGAAAACGATGGTCGCTACTGGGCAAAGTACTTTCTCTCGGTGGCAACGCAAACTCTGGGTGGGACGATGACTTCCAAACCGTTCGTCGTGAGACGGCAGAGTCTCGTGCCTCAACATCGAACAGACCTACCACCAACAACCACAAGCCCCGCGCGTCTGAGGATGACTCCTTGTACTCCCAGCCCACCTACGAGGAGCCGAAGTATATTTTCAAGTTTGTTCTTGCTTGGCAACAACAGGCAGGGCCCCTCCGAGAGCGCTTTCTGACTCGCCCTCGACTTCCTGGCCCAGCACAGACCCGCATCAGCGGGCCGTTACGAGTCAACGGCTTTACTGTACCTACTGGATATTCGGCACCCACACGCAAGTTCTCAGGCAGTCCTCAGCAGGGTCTCATCGACAATGCTAAGAATGCGAGCATGCTGAACTCGGCCATCGAGCAAAGTGGCCCCCCAAGACTTGAACTCACGCTCTCAGGCTCGAGCGACGAGTCTGATAGCCCCCCCAACCCCAAGAGCAGCCCATCACCGTCACCATCACCGTCACCTGCACCGTCGCAACCTCATTCGCAGTCAACATCACCATCGCCATCACCTAATCCCAACGCGGGTTTGCAAACTGATGGTGCGGTGCAGCCTGTGAAACCTGCTGGCCTTTACGTTAAGAACTCGGTATATGCTGGAAGAGCACTCTCCGAGTGGGCACAAGTCGTTTTCGAATGCAATAACTTCGTCGAGCGCCGCCGCGATGAAGGGATGGAAAATCTTTGTGACGTGGAAATCCCCATTCTCGGAGTCGAGGGTTTCCGCAAGGTCGGAGGCTAAAAGCTAGGAATCTAAGATACCCCAACTACTAAGCACAGCACGTCTATGCTATACGTTCTTTTGCATACACGATTCTCTTTACCTTGTTATTACACGCATCAACAATGGATCGACATATCTACCTTTCCTGCACAAGCATCTCAATATTGTCATCGGTCATCCTGGGATGCCTTTCTTGCATTGAATCAAACCCAGTGGGGCTTGCGTGGATCGTGGCATTGTTTCGAGTTCATCCTCATGATTTGTTCGTTTGTCTAAGGATTTAAATGGTACTTTGGCGTCATGGTGGCAGAAGAATTGGTTGTCTAGAGCACAAGGGACGAAATAATTCAGTCATCTTAGCCTAGCTTGGACTATCACTTAGGCTACTTTACTTTAGTAGCCTAAGTCTCAGACGACATTTCTTCTGTTACCCATCTAGTTGGGTTACATGTCTTTGGATGTTCAGGCGTTTGAGGGAAAGCAATAACTGGACTGTTTTGCTTCATTTTATCATTTATCATATATCAAGTCGCCACAGGCGATATATTCGGGATGGGTCTTTTTAGGTCAAGGGGAACAGGCAAATATGGAAGGAGTAGGGATGCAATTGAAAAAGCCTTATAACGAGCACGGCTACATGTACGGAGCAATGGTTTTCTCAGTGCAATCTCATGTGTACATATCATATTGGCTGGGGACGAGAGCGTGGATGAATACGGAAGAATTGCCTTCTAGACTACCTGTTTGAACAGAATCCTAATGATAATGGCTGCAATGAAATAAATAGTCTCTTGAGTGCTACTGTGCTTCTAATGAGGGTTGTTGCTGACCATCAAACCAACCATATGCTATCGTTTTCCCGACTCTCTGCAGCAGTGGCTTGATTGCTTCATATCTCAAGCGAGCAACCTCTGTCATCAATTCCTCCCGGTTAGGATAGTAACCATCAAAAGACGGTTTGTCATCATTGGCAGCCAGCCAGCTCGGGCGACTGCGCGTGTAGATGTGCACACCCGGCTTGATCTCCCAAGGCCTATCCAGTGTCCCAACGCGTACATACGCCAGAGCGGGCCCTCCATCCGCATAGCTACTATGCGTCGTAAGAGAACATCTTGGGCATTTCCAAACTGTCTGTCCTACGCCAGATTCTGTCGGGATACATACACCATAACTGGCTTGAGCGGTAAGGACAACATTGGAAGCAGGGTTAGTATTGGTGAGTGCTGCAAAGGCAGGTTGTACGTCTGTGGGAACAGGGGTCGGGTCGGTGGGTGTGCCTGCGATCGAGGGAGGTTCTCCGCTCATTAGCTTTAGATGATATCTTTCAATGATCCCGTTGAGGGAGAAAGCAGATCCTGTTTGGCGCTGACAGGCCGTGCAGTAGCAGCAGTGGACGAGGAGAAACGGTGCGGTGATTCTGTAGCGAGCATAACCGCAGGCGCAGCCGCCATAGAGAGGTGTACAGTCAATTCCGATAGTGGAGTTGTTGTTTATGGTAGATGGGCTGCTCATGGCAGGCGAGTTGCCCATGGTGGGTAAGCTATCCGTGTCCGACAAGCTGTTGACGCCGGGCAAGTTGTTTATATCAGGTAAGTTGCCCATGCCAGTTGAGTTATCGATGCCGATCGAGTTATCCATACCGGTCGAGTTGTTAATAGCAGGCAAGTTGTCTATGCCGGGTGAGTTATTTATAGTAGGTAAGGGATATATCAGCCATTTTACACGTGCCGGTCGAGTTGTATATACCGGCCGAGTTGTTAATAGGGGGTAAGTTGTTCATGGCAGGTAAGTTGTTCGCGTCTGGCAAGTTATCCATGGTAGGCAAAGTATCCATACCAGGTAAACTGTTCATAGTGAACGAGTTATTCATATCGGGTGAGCCGTTTATGTCAGGTAACTTTTCCATACTGGACATGTTGTTCATGTCGGGGGAGTTGTTCATAGACGGAGAGTTGTCTACGGTGGGTAAGTTGCTCACAGCAGGCGACTTGCTCATGTTAGACGAGTTGCTCCTGGTAGGTGAGTTGCCCATGGTGGTGAGTTGTTGATGGGGGGTTAAGTTGTTCAGAGTGATCAAGCAGCTGAAGTTGCTAAAGAGAGAGAGTGAGGATGGAGGAGGAAGTGAGAAGCAGAAACGAAGTTAAGAGAAGAGCCCATGTTACAAGAGAAGAAGGAGCGAACGGTTGACAAACTACCTACCTACTAAACCATTAAGTAAGGAACAACCGTGCCAGAAGAACAATTCTGTGTGATTACTTCCCTTTTGATCTAATTCACTCTTGGGCTTCGCTAAGACCATGTCTTGTTCAACGAAAGCGGGGTGACGAAAGCTGGCCAGTGAGAAGGAGCGACACGGCCTAATTAGGAAATTTGTAAAAGGCCTGACTTACTGGGGACACAAACGAGACACCAGTTTTGTTCTTAGAGACTGAACAGTTCGCCTTCTACTCTCTAAAATAACTAAAGCAAAAACTCAGTGCACCTCATCTATCACATTGCATGCTCTTTTAATGTAAGCCACCGACCGGGAAGTGCTTTGTGCGCTGCCAAGTTAATATATAAGGATGCACTGGGGTATCTATTCAGTAAGATCTAGACAGTCGAAATTGTAGTTCAACTTCCTCAAACAAGTGCCCGGTTAATGTCGCAGTTGGTAAAGGAAAGATGGGCACCAGGTCATCTCCCCGACGGATACCGTATTGTTTCTCTTAGATGTTTCTATTCTTGGGCACACATAAATGATTTCAGACAGAGAAAAATTGACGTCAAAGATCACAAATTCTTATTAAATATGTTATGCTATCATTCTAGGCCCGGCTGTCCTTTAACCATGTCCTTGTTGTCAGGTCTTACAAGTGTCAAGGAAAGCCATCATCAGGCACCAAGGGAGCTTTCACAACAATACTGCGCATCATATCAAAATCCATCATCATTTCCCAAAATCCATCCGGCTTCTCATACATATCAAAGAAGCTATTTATCTCAAAGCAGCCGTCGCCGGTACTTCGGGTGATCCTTGTTCCTCACCTCGTTCCATAGAATATAAATCGGATGTCGTCCAAAAGCAAAAAGAAAAGAGAAAAAGGAGAAAGCAATTCGTGGCTCAATATGCCACGGTTCCTTACACTCGGATATTCGGTCGTCCAATCTAATCATCCTCCCGACCATCTTCAGACAACATTCGCACCTTTGCAGCGTGCGCGGCCAGAGTATTGATATGGCTTCTGTAAAGGGGGTCGGCAGCTCTTTCGAGTTGTTCATGGATCTCCTTGACCATCTCATCCACTCCAACACATAGCCCGCAGATATCCATGAACGCGGCGACATTGCTAACCTTCTACTCCAATATTGTGAGACTCATGCTCACGCTTGTGCAATCTTGGTACCGGCTTCCAGGAGCAAAGAGGTCCATGACGCCCTCCTCTTCAGCTTTGCTAAACATTTTGCCCAACATAAGACAAATTTCGGCACGATCGTGTCGGTTTCCGCACAGCTTGCCGCTCACTGAGCAGCTCAAGACTAGTTCGCTCAGACCCTGGCACTCATCCTAGAAAGTTTCCAAGGCTAGCTGACGATGTCCTTCAATGCATGCTAGATAGAGTCAGTAAATTCGATGCTAGTAGGGTTGGTTGGACTTACTCATAACTGGCAGCTTCTTCAAAACGTCGTTATCGGACAGACGCTGCTTATCGGGGCCAAAAACCAGCTGGGAATCTTCATCGGTGGAACAGTTGTGAGTCATGTACCCAAGGATCTCTCCAAAATCGGTCTGGAATCCAAATTCCCATGCAATAAAAGCCATCTTGAAGATGGAGGCTTTTTCAAGCGTTCGAGCGAATAGGTACCATCGCTCGGCGACAGGTCGTAGAACGCTAGTCATGCCATATTTTTTGGCTAGGGTGCACACATCGTAGAGTCGGTCAAGTGTCAGTTGTGTGGGAACTTTCTCAAACCGGGTGTGGATGAGGTTGAGAACGATTGCAAAAGACTTTGGGTCATCTTCGGGAAAGCTGATTGTCCAGCGGTGTCCGGTGTCCTCTTTAGTACTCTGAGATATGACATCACGTAACTTGACCGATGCACGACCAAGAGCTCGTGAGTCTACCAGCATGGTACGGACATTCTCCTTACCGACTTCGAGGTACAGATCTCCCTCGCGGTCAAAGCGAATGGTTTGTTTCTTCCGTTCTGCATCGACGGGCCCACTAGTAGTTATTCCAGGAGATCCAGGTGCAGCGACACTGCTGTCTATTGCCAGACTGTCGGACATCAGAGAATCGCTGGTTTCGGATTCGGTAATTGATGAATCACTGCATGTAACTGGGGACTCGCTGAGAGAAATGGTGTGGTAATTGGTGATTGTATGGCCAGTGGAATTAATCTCGGAAGTCTCATTTTGCTCTGTCTCGGGTTCTTCAAAGATCGTGTCAAGACGTTCACGGTAACTTGGTGAGCTTCTGTGATCTTCAATCTCGTAGTAGGGGGTGTAAAATGATCGTGCATCAGTGGTCTCGAGTTCAATCGTCACACAATGGTCATAGGGGGGTTCCTCAGTCACAGACTGGGCTCGCTCGTTGTGGGTGGGGGAGTTTTCAATACTTGCTACCTCGCGTGTCGGAGTGCAAATGACTTGGGGCTCTACGTCCTCAAAGTGGTTCAAAGAACCGTCGGTGGTAGGCTCTGACGGTTCGGAGTTGAAATCCGAAAGATCCTGGCTGGATACCTCAAAAGTAGGGCTGCCAACTGATTGATGCTCTGGTGCTTGTTTTTGAACGAAAACGGGCGCATGAGGGTTGAGCTTGATACGTTCGCTGGTAATAGATGAGGCATCATCGTCGAGGGTCTCGCTACTTGAGGATGTGTTAGATCAAACTATACCGAGAGGGTGAGGGATGGTACTTACTCCTTGGTCACACAATAATTTTCATCGTGAGAATTAGCCAGGACATGGCCGGTGATTGCAGATCCGGTGCTCTTCTTGCCCACAGTGGTACGGTCCCTTTTGACGACCTCGTATTGTACGCCGACATTGAGAGAAGGCTGGATATTTGTAATATCGCGAAAGGGCTCTTTGGCAACGATGCCATCATTAGGGGGAGATGATACTCTTCCAACTTCGAAGGTGTTTGGCTTCTCCAAATCGTTGGGCGGATTGCCGTTATAGAGGAAATCCAACATGGATTTTCGTGATGGGCATGAAGCTCTCATCTTCTCGAGACGCTTGAGATCCATTGCGGTGGTAACCAAGACCTCTTCAAAGATGATAGATGAAATCGTGTTGGTAGATGGAAATGAATGATAGAGGGATTCTGTATAGAATAGTTCTTGATAGAATAGTTTTTTGTGGAAGAGTTCTTGATGGAAGAGTTCTTAATGTGAATTGCGGTTGCGGTTTGGGAAAAGGTTGAAGGAGGGAAGAAAGGATGAATATTCGGGAGGAGAGGGAAGCGAGAGATAGAGAGAGCAGGAGGGGACGAGTCCATGGCAGTGCCCGGGCGACCACACAATAAAGTCGCTCCCCTCTGTGACAGCCGGCTGCCAGTAGCAGGCAGGCAGGCAACATTCACTTCCAGTTTCGCGAAATAGTGGGGTCGCGTCAATAGATCTAGTGCTTCCTACGTAAGCAGCGTGTCATTTTTATTCTATTGTTCTTGTTTGCTATTATGTTCGGCGTGAACAATCGAACGGTTGTTTGTGTTCGCCATGCAAGGGCGTTCGTTGCCTCAAGGAACTCCGATTTCGCTTTGTGGATATCGCCGATACAAACTTGGAATTTATTGATAATAGATCTGAAGCATCAAGAATTTCCTTTTTATGTAGCTGCATATCGAATTCCATTATTGTTATGCCATAGCAAGGACTCGTAGTACAGCCAGCCCAGAGTTGCCCATGCACATATCAAGTTACTCGTTCTACCTGCCCAGCGTTAGGGCGTGAGAAGAATTAGTCACCGAAAGCATAAGAAATAAAACAGCTTAGTTATCCTGTTTCAACTTAGACCAGTACTTAGACTACTTTATGTTGGCAGCCTAAGCCTCGGAGGACAACTCTGCTGTTACCCACCCGTAACAGTGAGCTAACTGCGACACACGTTTATAATGCTATGATACCAGTATAGGCAATAAGGTAGATATAATAGAGTCAAGTCCCGTGGCTATGTTCAAAGTATTTTTCATGATTATTATTCTGTAGTTGTGTCCTGTTCTTTTATCCTTCTTTCACTTGGTAGAGTCTGAACGTGGAACAGTCCAAAACGGCTCAGAGTACTTGGATACCAGTATCATTCACTATGAACAACCAACAAATAATTATTCTTATAAATAATCTCCCATGGATATCAGATATTTACTGTACCTAAAATATCCAGATAGTGGTAGTGACAGTGGCCGTTGTAGTTGAGTTGTAATCGGCCCCGCACGTGATGATACCGTTCCTTCCTCTGTCGTGAGTCCACCGCTAGTCCATTTTGGACGACAGCTTGCAGAAGAGCTTCGAAAGGATTACCTCTTTCAACCTTGACAACCCATCGATTAACGAGATACGTTACAGGCTAGTTACATGACTCTCTGTCTGCTTGCCGATCTGGATCTCTTTTCTCTTTATAATGCCCAACACGGGGAAACCAAGCAAGGATTGCCATCTCTGCCGCTCACGGCGTGTCAAGGTCAGCTAGCCAGCTTGCTCGTGCTTACGCGTTATCTCATCTCACATCAATCCTTCAGCTATATATACAGTTGCTGACAACGTTTGCAGTGTGATCTAGGTCGCCCGTCTTGCCAAAGATGTATCAAATATGGAAAAGAATGCCCTGGTTATCGAGATGAACAGGAGCTCGTCTTTCGCAATGCAAACCCAACTTCAATTAAGAAGAGGAAGAAGAAAACTCAACAAAAGACTCATGGCGAGTCGGTCATGTCATTTAACACTCCTTCCTCTTCTTCTTCTTCTTCTTCCTCAAGTGGGGGGTCTCCTACTCCCAAGCTTACAACAGAAGACGACTGTGCACTGAGCCCGGCCTCCCCAATAATAGTTGATCTCGTTGAATACACACAAACAGGGGGTTCTCTCATTATCCCTCAATCCCTCAGCGAACATTGGACCGCTCATTCAATTCCTATTCTTCTTAATGTTTACCATACTTTGGACTTCCTCCACGACACTTACAAGAAGAGCAGCCCCCAGGGTCCTCTTCTCTGGGCTACACATCTATTTGCCCGCACTTACATCACCAATCTGAGATATCCAACTGCAATAGATAATGGTTCTGTCGAGCAAACCGATAAGGAACTCGGCACTTATCTTGGAAAAACTCTCAGCTCAGTAAGCGAGGCACTCAAGACTCCAGATGGTCCTATGAGGGATGACGTTCTCGCAACAGTCTGGATTCTGGCAAACTACGAAGTAGGCAGTACATCCCATTTGACAGTTGTGCTATCATACTCACGACTCCACAGCTTCTTATGGGCTCAATCAATCGCGTATCACCCCAGAGCCCCTGGCATCTTCACACGAATGGGCTATACAGCATTCTCAAACAGAGGGGCACAACTGCCCTACGGGAAGTAGGCAGCCGAATGGGCTTCTGGCCTGCCTATAATATGGTGGCAAGTCATTTCAGGGTTGACCATCAATCGTTTACTAACGACAAGACAGCAAGTACGGTGTCTACTGACGTCCCTTGAATGCCCACCCGAGTCCAAAGAATGGTTTAAAGCGATCAGAGAGACGCTGCATCCCGGAGAAGGTTTGGCGGTTGAGGTTGGTGAATACATTTGCAAGATGGCACATGTTCAAAAGCGCATACTCGATATTCTTCGAGCTCGTGACTTTGATGCCGCCGCCGCCGAGTATTACGACCTGGTCGGGATCATATTCCAGGCCGAAGATCATTTCACTACGTTTGATGCAAGTTACCACTTTGTCGATGAGGTTTTCAACCCCTATCTTCGAAACATGCTCAACTCGGCACGGCTAAAGGGATACCATGTCATCTTGACCTTTGCGAACTTCCTATCTAATCACCCTACTACTCCTGTCCACGCTGATGAGCTCAAGGTACTGCGCGCACATTGCGTTTGGCGTGTCCGAGACAGCGCAAAAGGTGTCATGGAAGCGACACGGCGTCACCTCGACCCAGCATCCTTCCGTAACAACCCATCTCCTAGAACAGTGTTTGACGCATTGAAACTAATCTGGCCCTTAACGGCGGTCTACCTTGTCCCGTCGACACTCCCCGAGCAGAGTGAGGCCGCAGGGGAATCTTTGCTGTTTATTGGACGGGAACTCGGAGTGAGGCAGGGTCTGAAGGTAAATCGGGGAGAGTCCAAGCTGCCTCCAGAGGCAGAGACACCGTCAAAGCTGGTAGAGGACGAAACCTTTGATCCATTACCACAGAGCCGAGGAATAATGTGAGGAGTGTTCAATATACGGGCTCACGATTTAGACGCCCTTGATTCGGATTTGGTGAGCATTCAATGCCTTGGAGCTATCCGGCGGCTCAGTTACCACACATGGTTAATTGCTTCCAAAGCTCAAGGGACCTAGGGGCCAAGACACCCTGTTCGGTGCACCTCCAGCTGGTTCCACCTGTGTCCCACAAGGACACAGACGGCCCCAAAGCTCTGCTCCGCTCCGAGTCTCCGGACCCAGCTGGAAATCCGAGACCCGCTCCGTGAGGCCCAACTGAGATATTGGGTCGGATGTTCTAAGTTTAGAGCTGTAGTATCTTGGCTGGAGAGCCAAATCCCGGCCAACTTGGTGATGGGTTGAAAGGAATACTGGTGGTAAGAACAGGATCTCGCTTAGAGCCTAGTCTACAGATCTATTCGACGTCCAAAATAAGCGACAGTCATCTGCAGTTTCAGCAGTTCATTTCATCTCAAGAAACGTCCAATACAATTCCATCAACACGAATTGCCCATGAAATTTGTGGCGCCTCTGTGGCGGAACCTCAGCATCCCGGCTAAGCGAGGTGTGGCGGTGCGACATGTCACTCACGAGCTCGCAGATTAAGCAGTTCCAATCAAATAAAAGTCCGAGAAATCTTTGGTTAAAGATACGATTCTAACACGAGAAAAGCGACATGATCAACACGGAGAGTACATGAGCCCGGCGGGTGGCGGCAGTTAATCCAGTGGATGGTCAAGTCCTCAGCAGCGGCTGTTTTTAGAGGGTAGAGGGTCTGCTCTACTGCAACTAGTGGCTCGTGTTGGTGATTTGGAGGGTACAGTAACACAACACAAGACATGATTCTCAAAATGGAAACACTACAGACTTTTAAGTTGACAATTTGCCTTTAGCTTTAGCTTTGGCTTTGGGTCTAGCTTGGTCTTTACGCTTTGCAGTAGCATTTCAAGCCTTGACACGAGATGATGCTGCCACATTATTTGCGGGTATCTCAATTCGCACTGTATATACGTGACAGTTACACCAAACGCTACAGTGTCAGAATCTACCCAAAAACGGTAAACGGATCGAGTGATATCCGAGCCAATTGCAACCTCCGTCTCTCATTCATCATTGATCCAGATCGTGATCGAACACAAGAAACAGTTGCACAATCCCTGCATCGTGCTTTCATTAGCCTTGTTTTGGGCTGTGACCTTTTATGTTTCCCATACAGCAGCAATTCAAGTCTTACCCCAGATTCCACGACCGTTGCATTGCCTGCAGGCGAGGCGTTGCAACGGAAAAAAGGGAAGCGTCGAAAGCAATAAGCAATAAGCAATAGATCCTGTTTCGTGGCATCACACTTAAATCTCGGATCAATCATCTTCGAGAGTTGCCAAAGCATCAATCAACAAGCGGTCGGTCTATCGGACGATCACACAATCCAAAACAAAAACAATAAAAACCAAGGCTACACCCCTGGGAGCATGTGAAGTCATCGCCACGTCTCTGTGGCCCAATCATGACACCCTCGATGCCAAGACCCGGAGATGAATCCGGTAATGAACGACGCTGCAACCGAATTGTCAGTCATCAGCAAGGGGAAACAAACAATAGCATCCGGTTTGGCTTGCTCGGCTGCGCTTCTTAGTGCACCGTGTACGGCTGCTAAGAGTAAGCTTGTGCACAATGGTGTGCGAATCCTCACCACAGGGTTTTGCTTGGCTCGTTCAAGCTCGTCTCATTATCGAGGGAGACGGTGCTGGCATTGCATTCGCGATATTGGATTGTATGCGCTCAACGTGACGATCCTGTTTGAGCTGTACCTTTTGTGCACCCTTTTGCTAAAGACCAAGTACTGTACAAGGTACGGCACACATACTCTACCTATCCAGCAGGTAATTGCTGCTATTGCCAAGGTCCTGCTTAATTGACTGGTATGCAGGTGCGTCTACCATCTCCGTTCCCATACTCGCGTAGCTGGGCTGATGGGCTGTGTTTCGCCTTGTTTGACTACCTCGCGTCCATCTCGGTCGATATCAGTGATATCGAAACTAATTCCATCCAGGCAAAGCTGCTGCGAGAATCGATGATGTAGTGGGTCAGGGGTTGAGAAACAACGGCGCGCTTCGCTGTCTGTCACTACAGTATCGAGATGATTTACAGTGCAATGAGGGCCTTCGTCTGGCCCAAGTATAGTAAGTGCTGTACCAAGTGGAGAGAGCCCGAGCTTCCTGTTGCTCAGCTATGAACGTCGATCGCTGTTAAATCCGTTATTAGAGGCTGAAGCTCCCTCAAAAGGCACAGTCGACTCCCGCTTGTGAATTCTCTGCTGGCTCTCCCAGCTATTGTTTTCTTTTTACGTCCTCTAGAGCCCAGTTCCCATTTACACAGGCCATATTCAATACCCCAATCAAATCCGTTCTACAGGCCATCATATCAAGCCGCCTGCAGGATATGATCCCTACAGAGTTGTATTGCTTGAAGGTGGCTACATCATAGTACTCGCCGATCCGAGCCAGCAAGAGACAGACGTTATCGCCACAAGCCATCATCCAATCCGTATAAGCACAAGCCCAAGCATTCGGTCACGATGTCAATGGTTAAATCCTCTCCCCCGTCCAATTCGGGTTTCTTAGCTCCAGCTCGGCCTCGTTTTAACTCGCAACGCACCTCGGATCGCCTGCGTGAGGCTCAGACTTTTGTAACACCACCATTTAAAATGGGAGGCGCTATTAGAAAGGGCAGAAGATCCGTCTTTAAAGAAGTCGGCTTGGAACACGATTTGGATTGTCCCACTTCTGCATCAGCGCCTTCGCTGTTGGTTAGCGAGCACCTTGATACCCAGGACAACGAAAAGAAGCAACCGTTTGAACAAGACAGCAATCAGAGTCAGGACAGCAACTACCAGCGCCCACGACAGTTATCATTATCATCGCCCTCAACTTGGTACGCTAAACTATCAAATCCCAAAGGCCGACCAAGAATCAAGAGCACTTCGGGTACAGCCCCAAGCATTTCAGGCCTACAGCGCTTCACCATGTTGGCAGTTCTCATTGCCATTGTTCTTCCCGCCTTCAGCTGGAGGAATGGTCAATCATTCTCCGACATTAATGGCGCCAGTGCCGGTGTCATCAACAAACGCGAGACCAGTCCTACTGAAGTATGCGCCCGGTGGGGTCTTCAAGCTGCTCAGCTAAACGGGACGCTCTACTTGTACGGCGGTCGCTCTAGATCAAAGGCCGATCAAACTGACGATACATGGAACAATAACTTTCTAACATTGGACCTCACCAAGGATTGGGACATTGACTCGCCTGCTCTTAAGGGCCTTGAGAAACCGGACGGCCCCCCGGACGTTTCTATGGGCTACCTTTGGCACGACTACAACAACCTTTATCTATACGGAGGTCAATTCTCCGATGCACCCTACGTCGACCCTTCGCCCGAGTCTGTCTGGCGTTATTCCATAAAAGACGAGGAATGGACTGAGTTTAAGAATCCTAAAACGTCGCCTGGTAACGAACCCGAACCAGGCAATCGGCCAGTTCATCGCGCTGCTGAGGGAGCTGGCATCTCTGTACCAGAGCTCGGTCTTAGCTGGTACTTTGGCGGCCATCTCGATTGGGCCACTACTCCGGACTGGTCTCGTAGCGTCGAGCGTGTATATCTCAAAAGCCTTCTTGAGTTTACGCACCCTGGTTATGTCAACACTGGCATCGATAGTCTCTCCGATGGTACGGGTGCAGGTGAAAGCGGAGCTTATCGCAACATCACCGAGGCAGGCATTCAGAGTGGTAACTTTACTGAAAGGGCAGACGGTGTTCTCGTCTTCGTGCCTGGATGGGGAGAGCAGGGTGTGTTAATCGGCCTTGCTGGAGGCACCAACAATAGCTTTACTGAGGACCTCGGTGTACTGAACGTCTACGATATCGCCAACTCGGAATGGTTCCATCAAAAGACGTCAGGAGATACACCAGGCGTTCGTGTCAACCCTTGTGCCGTCATCGCCAGCGCGCCCGACGCATCAAGTTTCCAAATTTACTTGTTTGGTGGACAGGATCTGCCTTTTGTGAGTATTGAGTATTTCCCACCTCTTGCCAATGCTAACATTGTTGCAGGGAAACCAAACGCAGTATGATGACATGTATATCCTTACCATCCCATCCTTCACATGGATCAAAGTCGACCAAAACGACGATAACAGACCAGCCCCACGTGCCGGCCACTCCTGTGCCATGTACGACGGTCAAATTGTCGTCGTTGGCGGAGTAGGCGAGGATATCAAATGCGATCCAGGCATGTACGTATTCGATGCCACTTCGCTCAAGTGGAAAGATAAATTCACGGCGGGTGATCACGATTCAGACCATTATCCTGACAACTTTGTTCTCGCTGGATCGCATGGATACGAGGTCCCCGACGCTGTACGCGAGGTTGTGGGTGGAGACAAAGACGGTAGCGCTACGGTGACAACCCCCGCTGCGGGGCCGGCTACCGGAGGTCCGTTCCTGACGGGCAAGCCTCCGGTTTTTACTGTCACGTCCGCACCCACAGCAACAGTCAGCTCGTCTTCTAACAACAGTGATGACGATGAAGGTACTGTTAATGGAGGTCTTGTCGCTGCAGGTGTGATCGCCGGTGTCTTTGGCGCTCTGGCTTGCTACCTTGGTTTCTGTGCCTGGCTCTACCGCCGTCAGGTCAACGCATACAGAACGCATCTGGCAGTTCAAAATCGCTACCCCGCCTCGCACTCGATGCTCAATCCCTCGGGCCCCAACCGCGGATATTCCCAGCGCAGCCTCTTCGGTTGGGTCGGCTCCAATCGTAACCAAGAGTACACTTCAGAGCCCAAGTGGCGTCCTGAAGACGAAGACGATACTACGCCCGGAGCGCCTGGCTCTAGCAACGGGTCTGGAGGTCCCAAGCGCAGCGAAGAGACCAGACCCGGAACGAGCAATAGCAGAGGCTCAACCGAAGGGCTACTCGAAGGTGAAGAACCGAGCTTCTTCAGTGTTGTCATGGGCCCACGCCGAGCGTTGCGGGTTGTCAATAACGCGGAATAGAAAGTGTATGTACGAGCAGAGGCGTTGTTGGATAAAGGAAAGGACTTGAATTTTTCTTACTTCTGTGGACTTGTAAATCGGTTGGAATTGATTGATGATGATATACGAACAAATGAACGATGTACGAACTGCCAATGGTCCTTGCACCAACGCAGCTGCATTCGCTTGATACCCCCTTATTTCTTACTGTCCTGTTGAAAAGGTTTCACTCGTGTACAGACTTTGGACAACTTACATATATACAACGTTAACGATGAGTATCATGCGAAGAAGTAATAGTTTATTCATGATGTCGTGTGCTTTTATACGCATGCTAATTAAATCTGATATAGGTTTGCTTCGAAGTATGATCCAGTCAATGTTCTTAGCGGCAAGGGTGCCATTGATATGATCAGAAACATGACCGATATCAATGGTTTGGCAGTGGCCATGCTCTCGAAAACAGATACGCCGCAAACACCGTAGACTATGTGCCCCGTTCCATCCATCTCTTCGCTAATATGCCAATTATAAACAATGTACAAAACGAGTTGCTATGCCACATAAATTCAATCATTTACGTGACCACTTCTTGAGCTTCTTCTCGGGGATCGTGCTAACGAAGGCTTCCCGAAGGAAATGCTTCCAGACCTTGTTGCTCTTCCTCCGCTTGTTCTTCTTTTTCTTGCCCTTCCTGGTGCTATCAAAGTCGGACTCGGGCTGTTGGTCGTCATTGTCATCATCATGCTCTAAAAGGTCAGAGACTTCATCTTCCTCCTCGTCATCATCATCGTCTGAGTCATCTTCGAAATCATCGTTGTACTCTTGAACGGACTTGCCCTTGCCCTTCTTCGCCTTTCTCTTGGCAATTCTAGACGCCAGTCGCAGATAACTTCGGACTGTCAGATCAGGCAGCTTGAATATCTTGTCGGTGAAGGTGCTGTATTCAACCTCGTATTTGAACTTATTTGGTCGGGGCTTGTCGTGGTTGGGTACTTCATCACTGAAGTCACCATCGCGCCACTTACTCATCGCGGTCAAGTCGGTCATGTCGTTGTTGATATAGGTGAGATTGGCAAAGTACTGTGTGTATCCCAAGAAGGTAAAGGGCTGGCGAGAGTATGCAGGACCAGGAAGCGATCCCTTGGGAGGATCCTCGGGCACCACAAGTTCGGGGTTTTTGGGCTTCTTTTTGCCTTTCTTGCCCTTCTTTCCTTTTCTACCCTTCTTGCGGTGGCTCTTTTTCTTCTTTCGCTCGGCTTCGAGATCTCTCTTGAGCTCCTGATGAGCTCCATCGTCTTCATCTTCGATGACACTTGGAAATTCGTCCGGCACCTCAGTGCGAACGTCGATTGAGTCAGTCCAGACTGGATTGTTTTCCAGACCACTGATATCATACTCGATGATGCGGATCGTGGGAAAGTAGTTGGGAACAACACTGGGGCTGACAAGAGATACTTGGTATCGCTCGCCGTACTTGCCTCCAATTTTGCCATGTCCCTTCTTCTTTTTACCCTTCTTTCCCTTTCCTTTCTTTCTGTTTCCCAATTCGTCCACGTCACTAGCTTGCATAACAAGGCTGTCATCGTCGTCGCCGGTGAAATCTTCTCCCATTGCTTTTGCAGCTTCGCCTGGCAAATTAGACCACGACTTTCTCAAATCAATCAAGTAGTCGCCTTTTGATTCAATAGAGAAATCATCCTCGATAGGTTCGCGAGAGATGCCAGACTGTTCATAAAGACTCAGGTCGATGTCTTTTGTGTCCTGGAACAGGAAATGATCAATGTTCATGTGTCCGTAGACAGAGCCCGTAACAACATCGCGGAACTGCTTCAACCATAGCGTATATTTCTGCCAGCAAGTTTCGTCCCAGAGCTGCTTATTCCTTGTTCGAGCAGGAGGAACATGACCGATCAGGATGGCCTTCATTCCACGGTCACGCAGACGCTGCAGTTGAACACTCAACCACTCCATATGCTTGAAACCGGGTTCTGAGGGAATGGCGCAGCCATCTACCCCGGCGTTGCGATCAAAAAAGTACATGGTGTTGAGACTAATGACAGACAGCTTGTTGGGAATAACCTCAACCTCGAACCAGCCGCCAAAGCCAAAAGAGTGGCGCTGCTCTTCGGGGATGAAGCGGTGCCATATGCTGCTGTAGGCCTGCAGCCATTTGTTTGGTCCAGGATAAAAGATATTGTGGGGGAGAAAATCGTTATTGCCAAAGGTTGGGATAACAGGAATAGACAGCGCGCCATGATCAGAGAAAGTGTCGACAACTTTCTTGGCGACCTTGGTGTTCATATTCAACACCTGACTGGCGTTTCGTGGTCGCTTCTCATCGCTATCGTGGCGTGCGGTGTCACCAGTCCATACAACAAAGTCAATATCATCCTTTACATGAGCCCGAATCCAGTCCAGTGTCGCGTCGACGAGTTCCACGGGGGAGTCGCAATCGGTGGTTTCGGCGCCATATAGACCAGCAGAGCCCTCTCCGCGGTGACAGGCAACGCCTTCTGCCGTGGAAGAATGAGCCTTGTAGAAACTGTCAGGGTGGAAATCTAGAGTCGCAGTTGTCAGTGGATTTGGTCTTAGTGAATGCGACCTTGATGTACCACCAGTTCATCCCATGTATATGCAGTATCCACAAGCTTGTTTCGGTGTATTGCAACGTACCTGTTAGATGCAGAAATTTTCCCTTCAACTTGCGACTTGGTTGTTGAATGTGTGGTATTGTTTCTATAGAATCGCGTGCTCCTGTGATGGCATCGAGAACTTTTTGACCGGCTTCGAAAATTGGCGACGGAGAAACGTTAGGGAAGAATAGGGCGGCTGCCACGAGCAGTCGGGCGCCTGTGAGTGTCATTTTGGGCGCTTAGTCGTACTCTCTCTTTTCCGTATATCGCGCTGCAAAATCTGAGGTTCTGGGGGTTGGAATTCGATGTAAGAGCCAAGTTGAAGTGAGGCTGATGTGAGCTGTGGTAGCGTTGACCGTTTTAAGGTTGTGAGGTCATTCCAGAGTCAGTTTCTTGTAAGCCTTCAAAGGGGGAGTGAACCCTGCTCGAGCAGCAAGACACGTCCGAGTCCTGCTTTTGGACGCGTTAGTAGAAGGAGACAAAGACTTTTGAGTATCTGGTGAAGTAAAAAGATGATAATGAAGATGAGAAGAGGAAAAAAAAGACGTCAATGAACTAATTTCAAGAAAACCAGCCTACCTGAGCTATGATTAATAGATGAGGGTCCACTATGAACAAGCCAAGACGACGGAGCTGAGCTGACCGAATGTACATGCCATGGCAGGCAAAGCGGAAGGGAAGACATGAAGCTTAAATATATGAGCAAAAACAATAATGGGATTCATTGAATTGCATTCTTTCTCCTCACTTGTTGTCGTGTCGTGTGCTTGAACTTACTTTGAGACGCCTGGTGATGTTGAGTTTCGTCCAATCTTGGGTGGCAGGGGCTACACGTGTACGAGAATGGACAAATGGTGGACGATTTGGAAGGAGCAGATCAACAACCGAAACACACGATTGCCTATTCAGTTGTAATGGATTTATAGTACTGTACTCTAATCTGGATGCTATTGTCATTGATCGCGTGCTATAATAGAGTATCTACTGTTTATTATTCATGATCTCTGGGGCATGCTCTTCTTTCCTCGTCCTCTATAATTTACAGTGAATTTATCTACTAATTCAGGGTCTTGAGATGCAGCCTTGCTTTCAGGCACATACGTAATGCAAGTGGGCAGGTTTTGGATGGAGTAGCCATGCCATCAGGGTTCCTTCTACAAATCCTCAACCTCGATCTAATTGGACTGTCGAGTTCTTTATGTGGAACCCCGTGAGGTCTGTCGATGTACCTCGTGGACGTTCTATCATGACCGCTCATAGATTTTAATACACAATTATCAATATATTCTCTCATATGTTGAGTTGCAGCTCAGTACATGCCCACCGTTATGGTGAGGGACTTCCTACATCTCTCAAATAGTCTTCGTACATCCCGTCTTTGAGACAAATCGAACCCCTCCACGTTTTGAACCCATGATGTTGGGGCTTCTTGCTAACTGGTTGCCATGAAGAACATGAGTCCAACATAGACTAGAAACAGATACACGAAATCAATATCAAGATCAACTCACGTGAGTTTCTAGAACAACACACCATCATCTCATCAGTCAAGAATCGAGGGTACAAACGAACTTATACCATCAAGCTTCAGGGTAACCACCTAGACCCCACTAGCGCATCTCGCTAAGCCACAACCGCCGCTAACTCGATGTACAAAAATTCTGCCTCGATTTTTTTCTTCTCCTTTTTTCTTTTCCTTTTCTTACCACGCAACATCGTCTCCTCGACGGCGCCGGTAACATCCAAAACTGGCGTCACGAACATCTTAGTCTCCTCAACAGGTGGTCACTATTGAGAGGAGGCCGTTGCTAGACCATATCGCCGCTCGTTTGAGGGAGGCCATACGCTTTTGTGTGGTGGTTTCCTATGGTTTTTTTCGTGGCTACATATCTTTCCCATCAGAGTTTGTGATGTTTTTATTCATGTCATTTGTGACCCTTTGTTCCCGGGCATCTAAGGTTTCGGTACTAATGCTATAGCCTTATGGCCTTACCGTGAACTTCACGTTGATTACAAATCGTTACACTACAGGGTTACCAGATTGGTTATCTGCTCTGCACAATGAGAAGACAACGCACGCACACAAATGTTAATTATCTGCTCTTTGCACAATAAGAAGATGTTGTGTGTGTTATCTTCTCATTGTGCAAAGAGCAGACAACTAAGCTAATTACCCTGTCGTGCAACGATTTGTAATCAACGTGAAGTTCGCGATAAGGTCATAAATGGTATCAATACCGAAATCTTAGATGCCCGGGAATAAAAGGTCAAAAATGGCTTGGACACAAATCACAGGTTTTTGAAGAGAAATGACTGCTTTATTAAAGTCTTGAACTCATTGTCACTTGTTCTCTCTACCTCCTGCGTACGGAGGATCTCGACAGCCTGCTTCGTCCAAGCTGTAGTACGGATGGATGTGTTTTTCTCTGAGACTGAGAATTCATATGATAACCAAATAACCTCATGACCCCGGCAGACCCTCCGAGCCGTGGAAAGCGCTACATGCCGCCGTAAATCCCGAGAATCATTATTTGGTGATACCAGATTCCGAGGAAACTGTCAAATCCCGAAGCTAGTACCAAATTCCGGGGCTAGAACAATGTCAAAACAACCACTACGCAACTCTAGAAGATGGATGAAAAGAACAAGTACAGATTCAAAGACGTTTTATTCTTCGTGGACTCTGTTCCAGTCGCAGTAGTAACTAATAGTAACAAGATATTCATAATCAATTGACTCCAAAGTGTCCCATGTTGAATTCCTTCTCCAGATATCATCCACGCCCATCCACTCGTTTAATCATTTAACTCGCTTTGACACACACATAAACTCATTTTTTAGTCTCCGTCTAAGCAGGTGCAGTGCCCTTCCAGTACTTGGTCTGGATGAAAGGCATCTTGGTCACAGTACCCTTGCGTGCCTTTCCTCGGACAACAACATCCACCTCAGTACCGACCTTTTGGTTTCCGCTCTTGATGTAGCCCATGGCGAGGTTCTTGCCGAGCGTGGGGCTGGGCACGCCGCTGGTGATGACTCCGATCTTCTCGCCGTCCTTGTGGATCTCGGCACCCTCTCGGGCGGGGGCACCGTCGACGACGAGGCCGATACGGCGGCGGCTGACTCCTGCTCCGCCCTTGCTTTTAGGTGTGAGTTGAGGGATGATGGTCTCCGCTCCATGGAAGCCACCGGATTCGCGACGGGCAGGAGGAATAATCCAGCTCAGACCGGCCTCGACGGGTGTTGTGGTGTCGTCGAGGTCGTGGCCGTAGAGACACATGCCGGCCTCGAGACGGAGAGAGTCACGAGCACCGAGACCAGCGAGCTGCAGACGCTCAGGGCCAGCCTTACTGAGGAGAGACTGGATAGCAGGCGTTGTTGTCTCGAAAGCGGGATAGTCCTTGCCGTTGAAAGAGATCTCGAAACCATCCTCGCCAGTGTATCCACCACGGCTGATAAGGACGGGGTGAGTCTTGCTGCCGTCAGAGAGCTTCAGCTCAGCCCAAGCAGCGTTTCCAAAATAGAGCTTTGAGAGATCAACATCACTGGCGAGGACCTCACTGAGGATCTCAGCACTCTGGGGACCCTGAAGGGCAACAAGGCCAGAGTTGTCGAGGCGAGTCCACTGAACATCACCACCAAACTTGCCAAGCTGCTCATCTATGTACTTGGTGTCCTTGTCGAGACAGGCGCCGTTGGTGACAACGTAGTAAGTATCCTCACCAATTCTGGTAACAACCGAGTCGTCCACAATACCTCCAGTGTTGGGCCACAGGAAAGTCGTCAGCTTGCTCTGCATGTTACCCTGGTTCGTCCAATCCGAAGGTGTCACCTTCTCAAGGAAAGCAGCTGCGTCCTTGCCCTTGAAGATGTGCTGAACCATGTGGCTCACGTCAAAGAGCGAGGCATGTTCGCGGGTGAAGTGGTGAGACTGAGCGAGAGAGAGGCCTGAGTACTGCACAGGAAGCGAGTAGCCAGCAAAGGGAACCAGCTTTCCACCGTTGGCGACGTGAAAGTCGTATAGGGGAGTCTTCTTGAGATCAGCTGAGCCTCCAGAAGCAAATCGCACACTCTGTTGCGACACTCTCAGAGCTGCCAGTGACGCAGGTCGCGCGGTAGCAGATGATAGGATACGGGGACCAGCCCTCGCGGCTAAGCTGAGGCTCTTCATGATGTGTTCAATTGACGGAATTAGGAGTAAGTGAGGAGAGCCAATTGATGAGGAGACAGAGAGTAAAGAAGAGGGAGAAGAAGAAGTTTGAACCAAACAAACAGCCGAGGGGGTGCTTAAAGGCGATTACAGTCCAGTACCATTCACTTACTTATCATGCAAGTCACCCCAAAGCCAAGCCAATTGACTACTTGACTCTGGTGGGGTGTCACCGAGTCACCACGGCCTACTCCTCCGAAAACCGACCCCGGACCCCCCGGAACGCCCTCCGAGGCCCGACATGAGGGGAAACTTTGGGGAAATCCACCGCGGCAAATTGATACAGAACATCACCACCAATTTATAAGTCATGATAGCACGCAAAAAATCATGCTCAAAAAGCTTCATTCTTACGCACAATGTGATGATAGTCGACGTGCTCCAACTATCAATAACTAAAAAGTATGCCATTACAAGCTGATGCTTCTCTCCCCTACAGCTCGTCTAGCGTGACGTGACCCTCTAAGCTCGCCAACTCGGAACTAATTGACCACTTGACGACATCAAGTCGCCTCTGTAATAAACAAGATACTGCCGCCAAACCCTCCTTCTAGACTCGAACCAGCTCACTTTACTGTTGCTCAAAACTGTACTTCAACCAGCCTCCCAGCGCTCGGAGACTCTCCCATCGCACGTTCTCATCATCTGACTGCATGAGCTCCATGATCCTTCTCTTGAGGCCCACCTTCTCTAGCTGGTATCTCCTCTCAGGGACCTCCTTAACTAGGCACCCGACATCGTTACAAGCAATAGCGAGCACCTGCTTGTCGTTGTCCCAGGGCTGTTGCATAATCTCGGCCAACTTTCGAGGGATCTCTCCGTTCTCAAACTCGAGGATCTTGCGAGCATTCTCAGCCCAAAAGACTGAGTTTCGGTGAGGAGGTGACCATCGAAGGTGGCCGGACTGCACCTCGGCAACATACTCGTCGAACGTAGTCTTAGTCTTGGTGTATTCCTCTAGCATTTCCTTGAGATTGGTAAGATCATCCAACAGGTCGGGGTCAGTCCAGTGGCGGCCGCTAACATTCTCAAGGAGAGCAGGAAGGCGAGCAAGAACGGCGGTAGGTAGAAGTGATTTTTGGTTCTTTTCGAGCAAGTTGTAAAGCGTAGAAAGAATCAATCGAGTAGTCTTTTCCTTGGGAGATAATCGTAGAAGGTGAGTGTAAAGAAGAACGATATCATACTCGCTAAGTAGGGTCAGTTATGCGCCGATTTACACATTCCCAAAAACAAACTTACTCATTAAGGTCATCGCCAATCTCCTCGGCCTCGAAGCTTATCTGCCAGATAACAAGGAGAGCATGGTAGAGAAGCTGGAGTCCAACACCTCCGCCCAGGGAGCCTCCAAAGCCAGTGGATGCGGTGCCTGTGTTACCACTCCAGAGACTAGCAGAAGAGCTTCCTCCGTTACCAATGTTAGCAGCAGTCTGGAGGATCTTGATAAGAGGGGCAATCGTCTCGCTTCGCTGGTTCCAGAACTGCTCCCTTGCGGCATGTCCAAAGAGAAGACCGGAGTACTCTTGCACAGCAATATCTTGTAGACCAGCATCGTTGCTCTTGGCCAGGCCGGAGAGGTAGGTTAGAATCACAGGCAAAGCCTGGAGGGTCGATCGCGACTCATCTCGAGCAAGAGCCATGAGGGTGGTAAGTGCATGCGCGGTAAGCAATGGAATAGGATCCTCGGCATTAGTCGAGTTAAGTAGAGGCAAAAAATGTCGGTAGGGCTCCTTTGTCTTGAAGAGAGCCTTGGCTAGGGATGGAACAGCTGAGGAAAAAAGGTCAAGTTAGCATTGGCGATCTAGTTATGACGAAACTTGCGGCTTAGGAAGTAGACATGCTTGCACCACTACTTCCACATGTCGCACAATATCGAAGGGTCGTTCTTACCCTCAAGAAGGTCGCTGAGCAAAACGAGGATGTACTGGATCACGTTCGCATGCTTTCCTGCCGTCTCGAGGACACTCGTCTTTCCTTCATCGCCGACAAACAAGACGCGGTATCCGTCAATATCTCCCGACACAATCTCCTTTCTTTGTTCAGGCTTCTTTGCCTTGTCTACAGCTCGGATCTTTGCATACTGCTCCTCAGTGAGGGTGCCGGCCCTGACAGCACCGTCCCAGGGAATAGGTCGCTGACGGATGTTGCTCTGGAGAGAGGCCAGGTACGTCGGCGGGTCGAGGGTCATGATTACAGCGTCGCGGCTGCGAGCAGCGAGCGGAATTGTTTAAAGTATGGACCAAGGGAGGTAAAACTAGGTGGCGGGGTCGGAAGGAGGTAAATGGCGATGGAGGGGGATGGGGAGGCTGATGAGGTGAAGTCGTTGGTGATGCAACCAACTTGAACCGCGCGGAGCGTCACAGGGCATAGGTAGCAAGCTTCCAAGCAAGCACCCAGTCTAAACCTTGGAGCTTGTCGGGTAGCCACACTAAGCATGGACGCCACAGATTGAAGGTGGATGTGGGAACATCCAATGTGGCTTGACATTGATTGTGGCTGCCCAAGTTCAAAGACTCATCCTGGTCAAGTTCAAGCTGACGACACCACTAAGAAAAGCGAGTCCAGACCGACCTGGAATTAATCCCTGAAAAAGTGCTCCCAGCCTCCGAGTTTCGTTTCCCTGTCAAATGATCACAGCACTTTAACAAAAGCGCCAATAAGACGAACTAAATAGAGTTAACTGCCCCTGACCAGTTTAATTAGAATCTGCATCATGCAACAGAAAACGCTCGGCTGCCCTGATTGAGTCGTGATCTATTCGGGGCCGGGGGTGGTCCCCGCGCGTGTAAGTGGTGATGACATTCATCCGGTGTGACCTACAGCTGTAGTTTGTAGAGGCCCGGTCTAGCTCCAGGGCCGCAAACATGGGTTACAGGGGACTTTGTACTGCTATTGATCGTTGTCCAGTGAGCGAGCACAGGCGTCGTAGTGAGAGGTATCAATGAGCTGGCACCCCGCCATGGAGTGAGGTGCATATGTCCAACACCAAGACCTCGTCATCTTCACCGACAGCAAAGAGGATGAATTATTACTGACCAAAAAAGGCTGAGTGTTCCTCCTTCCTCAAAAAGAACCGTTGCATCGAAATTCTAAACTGATTTGTTGGCGTGTGGATCAGGATCAAAGTCCCCTTAAACCGCGTGTGTCAAGTTCCCCGTCTAGGAAAATCAAAGAGGCTGGTCTCAAGTTTCTCAGGTCTAAGGTCTAAGTGGGAGGTTGGGACTCAAGAGAAGCCTTCGTTGCAGCCCACCACCAGCCGCTTAAAACTCTTGGTGCAGCGCCCAGAACTTAACGCAGCCGTTTTCTTGTCTCTGTCTCTTCCCATTTTTTCCTGCTTGTAATTGACTGACTCACTAAACGCTTTCACTCGCTGAGAACTTGGGCATCTCATCTCATCTCACTTTACTTTACCTCTCTCTCTCACTCAGTCCTCTTCTCACAGCGACCTTCAACTTCAACTCAACCTTCGCTCTCACCTCCATTTGAAGTTGTCGGCAAAAGTCAAGTCTCGTCTCGGGCACCAAATACGCTTTCCCCGCTACAACCGTTTCTACCGCGTTCCTTAACTGTCTCACAGCAGTTCAGTTAAATCTCGCAACTGGTCTCAGCTTTTATCTATCTATCGTGTGCACTCAATTCAATTTCGAAACAAACCCAGGCTCTGACTGGAATTGGACTCAAACAACAAATTCCGACTTCGGCGCTGCGCCAGTCTCAATCCAATACCTTACTCCAAAACAGCGACGATCATCAGCAAAAGCCGCTGCAATGCGTTCAGCGATGCAGCCTTTGCTGCTTCTCGCCGCCGCAGCTGTTTGCTCTGCCGGTCCGCTACCAAGAGACAATCTTCATGATGTTGGTTACTCATACTTGATGCGCCGAGAATGCGACTCATACTGCGGCTCCGATAACCAATACTGCTGTGGCTCTGACGAGACATGCGAAGTCTCCAACGGAGTCGCAAAATGTGTCGGTGGAAAGGGAGGCTGGGTCGGCGACTACACCACCACCTGGACAGAGACAAGAACATACACCAGCACAATCATGACCCGCTGGGAGCCTGCGCCAGAACCTACAAAGGGCGTTGACTGTGTTCCCAAAAACGACGAACAGGAAGAATGCGGTGAGATCTGCTGCGCTGGCTGGCAGACTTGCGCCTACAAGGGTCAGTGCTCGGCAAAGCCTGGTTACGACGAACCCACCGCCGTTGTTATCACTAGCGACGGAAAGCTCACCACTCAATACTCGGCACCCTACCGAGTCACTGGTACCACCACTATCGTCAACAGCGGTGCACCTACCGAGAGTGATGAAGGTACCGCGACTGCGACTGACGCAGAAGCCACGGCCACTGAGACCAGCGATGAGGCTGCAGCCGGTGCCACTGGTACTGGTGGTGGAGGTTTGAGTGCTGGTGCGATCGCTGGTATCGTCATCGGTGTTATTGCTGGTGTAGCTCTTCTCCTGCTTCTCTGCTTCTGTTGCATTGCCCGAGGTCTCTGGGTTGCCCTTTTCGGCAAGAAGGACAAGGACAAGGAGAGCCGTGAGCGAGTCGACGTCTACGAGGAGCGATACTCCCGACACGGAAGCCGGCCTCCTGCTTCTGCTTCTGCCCACTCCCGCCGACCTCGACACAAGGGTTGGTTCGGTTTCGGTCGCAAAGGTGGTTCCCCTTCTGCGGCCGGCGACCGTCGTGAGAAGGAGAAGAACTCCGACGGCAAGAAGTGGCTCGGTATTGCTGGTCTCGCGGCCACGCTCCTGGCTCTCCTCAACCTTAAGAAGGACAAGAGGCCTGCCAGCACCAAGCCTGCGCGATCATCCCGTGGATCCTCAAGGTCGCGATACAGCGATTCTTACTACTCATACAGCGACTACACAAGTCCCAGTAAGTCCTCCATATGACAACTCATGATTGCTTTCTCGTATTAACTGTCACAGCAGGCAGCTCAAGCTCCGGCGGACGAACAAACCGCACTCGTCGCACAAGAGACAGTCGAGCAGCAAGTCGACCAAGGTCGTACTACTCTCGTGACAGCCGGCGATGAAACATCTAAATCCCCGTTTCTCGCCCATTCCATCTCATTCGTCTCACATATACATCCCGTTCTGTACATGACTCCTCATCTGACATGAGAGATTCGAGCCCCCATACTGTACCTGCTCGACTTGTTTTTTTATCATAAGGCTACTGGCGTTTTGGTTGCTCATAATGGTTTTCGTTCCCCGCCAATATTTTTACACCGTTTATTTAGTTTTCCCCTCAACCCCATCCGCAAACCTCCATTTTCAACACTTTATGTTACTCACGCATTCTATGGATGGATAATGTCGTTTTTGTTTTATTCTCAAGAGATCACGCTACGCAAGGAAGTTTTTAGAAGAGAAATGACTCGCTACGAAGGAAGAAGGAAAATTACGAGTTTGATACTAAAATGAATAAAATCACCACGAGGCACGTATTAATGCAAACACGAGCCTCGATATTTTTCACATGCAATTTTCTTCTTGGATCCAGTGTCCCATGTGTGAACATAATCGTCTTATACGTGACTGAATTTGCGCTGCATTAAGTCGTTCCATCATTGGTCGGATTCATCGGTCAGACTTCACGATGAGCCAAAGTGGTGTTCCGAGGCAGGTCATGCGCATTAGAAATGATTACAAAACGCCTTTTTTTCTTTTATCGCAAAACCCCCGGAACCCTCGTCTAAAGCCGGCCCTTTTCGCTCCTTAAATGGTCACATACACGATTCGCTAGCGAGATTCAAGTGTTTTGGTTGGCACCAGAGTCATCATCTCTTTGCTTTTTGAAATTTGTTTTGTAGCCCTTTCTTTTTGCTACATGACATGCAACGATGAACCTTCGCCACTCCTGAGACCCAGAAACGCAAAAGAAACAAGATCCGTGTCCGTGTACGCGTTTATTCGTCCTGGACAACGTTGCCCTTCTCGGAGACGTACAGACCGTCCAAGAACTATAGGTGACCGGGTTAGCATCTCCACACCACACAGCCAGGCGTTGACCAAATGTTCTTACCTTTCGGATATCCTTGTTTCGCACTCGGCAGATCTGCTGGATATCGGCAGCACTTTGGGAAACGTTCTCGAGAGAGTTACCAGAGAGGACGAGCTCATCCTTCTGGGTGGTGGAAGCCTCAACATCAACACCGGGGTGCATAACAATACGGCGAACGAGCTTCTCGCCGATGAAGTTTCGGATCTCAACCTCGAACAAGTCGGTCTCGGCGTTCTTGGAGACGTTGACGTTGATGGGGAAATGGGCGTAGACGTATCGCATCTTGTACTTGAAGCCCTTGGTGACACCGATGATCAAGTTGTTGATGATGGTTCGGACAGTTCGGAGGGCAGCGACATTCTTGCGGACACCGTGGTGAACTTCGATGGAGATCTGGTTCTTCTTGGGGCTGGTGAAGTTGACGGCCAAGTGGCTGAGATCCTTGACCAGCTTGCCGCGGGGACCCTCGACGGTGACAATTCGCGACTTAATGGCAACCTTGACTGTAGGCACAAGACGAGTCAGCATTTCGGATCTTGTGAGTTAACAATTCTTGATATTTTCCCCTGCCCGTGAACAAGTTCCCCCCGAAAAAAATGATACAGTAGTTCCCCATTGCGAGAACGCAGTGCATTTCGTCTTAACGTCGTATGTGCGCAGCTTTCAATCGCGGGCAAAAACTCCAGTAACCTTGATTTCGGAAAGATGAATTATTCGAGCAGGCGGCGGCGACGAGTTCAGGAATAAAAAGAAAACGGGCGCAACGTACCCCCCTCGGGGATCTCAAGGAGCTCCTGGGAGTGAATGTACTTCATCCTGCCGGCTGTGAGGTGTTGATGTCGGGGGTTGAGGGTATCTAGAGCCGTCCGCGAATTTTTGGGAATCTGTGGGCAGGAAAAGTTCCAGGTAAGGTGCCAGAGGTAGGGCTCGCTCTTTCCACGTGAGGGCAATTCTGGTGGGGAAGTCGCAACCGACCGCACTAGTGATTTGCTGCCCACTGAAAAGACGTGACCTAGCACGTGATGTGAGATGGCTCGTTTCTCTCAAGTGCCCCTCTGAGCTTTGTTAGAAGCTGATTTGAGCCAATTAAATGCCATTGTCTTTAGGAATTGGCCTCGACAAGACTTCTTGTTCATAATTTGAACAGTTTTGGTAGGGAAATCATGTAGATAATGACTCTATATACTGCTCAGTACAGTCAATTTTAAATTCCTACAATTTAATCTCCAATTCGCATACAATCCGTCTACATAACTCATATCCAAGTTGGCCTCTGATCAAGTCTCATCTCACGGCAAGCTCGGGTGGGTCTTGATCGGTCCCCTGTCTCCCCCGGCCGATACGTCAGCGCCGCCGACCTCCGACGTCCTCACCAAACAACCCAGCTCAGACCAGGCCAGTCCAGTCCAGTCCAGCCCAGCCATCCCACTATCACCAAGCGAAGCGAAACTTGCGCCAACCTCAGCCTTACCTCACGACATCCTCCGGATAGCAGGGGCAAAAGACAACAGACTTGGTCAAATCGCCTGTCATGTCGTACTTCTTCGCGACTCCCGTCGATATCGACGTTGTCCTCGACGACACCGATGATCGTTCCATGGTCGATGTTAAGCTCGACAAGAACCGTCGCGAGAAGGCGCCCCTCTTTATGGATGGCGAGTCTGTTAAGGGCGCTGTCACTGTTCGTCCCAAGGATGGCAAGAGGCTCGAGCATACTGGTATCAAGGTCCAATTCATCGGCACGATAGGTACGAAACCAACCCCTTTACACCACAATGGGCCTACAAGCTCTTATGCGCTTCGCCGATGCTCCCAATACTGACTGATGTGTCGCATAGAGATGTTCTTTGACCGCGGTAACCACTACGAATTTCTGTCCCTGAACCAAGAACTCGCTGCGCCTGGCGAGCTCCAGCACCCCCAGACATTCGACTTCAACTTCAAGAACGTCGAGAAGCAGTACGAATCATACAATGGCATCAACGTCAAGCTGCGTTATTTCGTCCGCGTCACAGTCTCGCGCCGCATGGCCGACGTCATCCGCGAGAAGGATATCTGGGTTTACAGCTATCGCATTCCTCCCGAGATGAACAGCAGTATCAAGATGGACGTTGGTATTGAGGACTGTCTACACATTGAGTTTGAGTACAGCAAGAGCAAGTACCACCTCAAGGATGTCATTGTCGGCCGCATTTACTTCCTGCTCGTTCGCCTAAAGATCAAGCACATGGAGCTGTCCATTATCAGGAGAGAGACAACGGGTGCTGCGCCTAACCAATATAACGAAAGCGAGACCCTTGTGCGCTTCGAAATCATGGACGGTTCGCCGTCACGAGGAGAGACAATCCCTATCCGACTATTCCTCGGCGGCTTCGACCTGACACCCACTTTCCGCGATGTCAACAAGAAGTTCTCCACCCGTTATTATCTCAGCTTAGTTCTTATCGATGAAGGTCAGTCAAGTTACAGCTCAACCCATCATCTCAAAACGCACCCAACTAACCGAATCGCAGATGCTCGACGATACTTCAAGCAGTCAGAGATTATTCTGTACCGCCAAGCTCCTGACGCGGCTCCTATGCTAAACGCCGGTACATCATCACTACCTGAGAACAAGGCGGTGACCGCCCAGGCATGATAGAAAGAGAACCCAGCTGTTCGTCTGATGTACATTCACTGTCAGCTTCATGCGCGTCCTTTAAGCATCGGTCCTGGCGTTTCGGGTTTCAAGAAGGGAAGAGCAAGATGATGGAAGATTTGTAGTTCTTTAATTTTCGTTTAAAACCAAACCAACCGCAAAACAAATTAATCAATTCCACCATGAATGATCCATCCCAATAAATATAAACATGTCCGAGGTATCGCGCCCCTCCGCATTTTGAAAGAATACACCCCTTAGTCTACATGAATTGGCCTAACATATCTTTCCTAACTCTGCGCTCATGAAATTTCCATAACGTCGTCCGCCTCGAAGCCAAACTGGTTGTTGTGAATTGCTGCGATTCGGTCCAGCTCATCTTGATACTGCTTCCTGATATCCGCCAATGAAACCACCTTGCGCTTCACTGCATCTTTCTGTCCATAGCCAGCTGGGGCTTCATCATAGATCCAAGCCTGTTTGGAATCGACACAGCTGAGAGCGTTGATGAGCAGGAGGTATTGCCTGGTCACGGGCGTGTCCAAGATGTCCTCTCCTGTGGCCTCGTCGCCTTCTCCAGAACTTCGTAGCTTGTGAATTCGGTCCAGAACGACTGATGCAGCACCGCGGTAGTTGTTGTGCTTAATTCGCCATGAGTACAGCACCTGGTGGTAGGGGAATCCTTCTATAACATCCAGTGTAGCCTTTGATTTTTGCGTCAAGATATCATCAACCTCCTGCTGCAGACCAGGAAATGGCAAAGAGACGAGCTCGATATTGTGATAAGTCGCACACATCCTGTCCACCAGTTTGCGCAGGTTTGAAATCTTCATTGCCTGGTCCTTGATTGACACCAACGTTGTGTGAGCAAGCTCGAACTGTGACGTCGCGACTGCAGCATTGAACAAACGGCTTTGCATGTCTGTCTTAGTAAACATAGCATCTTGCTTGTTTCCAAGGAATTGCATAGCTAGTCGGGCAAATTCAATCACGTAAGAGTAAGCCTTTTGCTTCTCAAACAAGGCGACAATATGTGAGTAGTACTTTGCAGGGCCGTGGTTGAGGAGGTTCCACTCAGTATCATCCAGTAGGCCACTGCTGTGACGATCACTTTCAATGTTTTCCGTGCCTAGTTGGACGTCAGTTAACGTTGTTACGGCAAAAGGAACTGACTTACTCATGCCAATGGCTGCCTTTCTGAAATAAATAGCTGCAGTATTAAAGTCCTTCAAGGCCAGCTGCAGACGACCTTGAACGTATGTTGAGAAGGGGTTCTGATCACAGAAAGGCGCGATGTCCAGAGCCAAATCAGACCTCTCTCGCTTTATGAGGAAGCACTGAATCAGTGCTGGGGAAACCTCAATATCGCTGTCGGGGGCACACAGGTTGGTGACCAGGTCAGTGATACCAGTAGCAAGAGGTTCACCCTTGCTGGCGAAACCAAGTAGGTGACCGACATTCGCCTCCAGTGCGGTCACGTATTGAGATTCCTCGGTGGTCCTCCTTAAAACAGCGCCGTTTTCGCTCTTGTCTCGGTTGTTGGGCACTGCGAGCTCGGTCGAGGCGAGCCATTTCAACAGCTCCAAGCGTCGCAGAGCCGCGATAAGCTGTCTAAAAACGTTGCCAACGTCGACTCGATTGTGAAGGATGTCCGCGTCGTTGTCGAATTCGAATTCCATGTGAACAAGAAGGATCAACTGGCTGAAGTAAATCCTCCACTGTAACTCAATACTGTCTTGAACCGCCTTTACGACCAACTTCTTTCCAAAGTCAGTGAGAGGGTGACGCAGGTTACGTGTCTTGGCCTCTTCAGGAGCAGAAATGAGATTCATCACATCTGTGTACAGGTCATCTGTCACCGTGCTGAAGTTGTGACCAAGAACGTCAACAACTTGATTGCAGTCATCATCTGTGATCCCTCGCCAGAACCCAGACTTGTCGGAGAAGTACTGAATACGTTCGAGATCTGTCTTGGACGAGTCCTCAAATAGCTCGGGTCGCAGCGTAGCCTGGCAAGATTGGATCAAGTATTCAGGGAAACCGTCCACAAAGTTAAGACCCGATCCGATCAAGGCCGCTTGAGCCAGCTGATCTTCCTCAGGTGAGGGTAGGTTATGGTACAGACGCTCTAGGCTGCTGCATTCCCTGATGGCCGATAGGAAATCGGCGCAGACAACCCAGGTCAGACCTGTGTTAGGATCGAGGGTCAATCCGAGTGCTTCTCCTCGTTGCTTATCCAATTCAAGCAGTAGACGGTAGAACCTCAACCACTGGGCCTCACTCGCCGCGCGGAAGGTTTCATACTCCATCATGCCCGAAGAGCCCCGATCCAGTGTTGCAGTTGATCCCAATATGGAGCAAATCGCCTCAGCCAGCCCCCTGCCCTTACCAGTCTCCTTTGATTTTCCAAAGCCTCGCTCATAGATCGACAGTGCTGCCTCGAGGGTCGATTTAGTAAATTGACCGGGCTTCAAAATGAGTTGAAGCCACTTCTCGGTGACATCAGTTGGATCGGAAGGACCAGACCCATCAGCAGCCTGGATCAAGTTGTCTGCGTAAACGCCATCCCAATTCTCGCTCCAGCTCTGTAAGATGTTCTTACGATCCACTTCGAGCCGTTGCACCCTGTATGTCATGTTGTTCTTCCAAAGGGTCCAGATTTGAATAGCGCTCTCGGCAGGACACGATAGGACGAAGTCGGCGAGAGTCCATACGTCAGAAGAAGATGGTGTGGCTGGAACCAACGAGTTCTTCGGGAAGATGTCTTCAACAACAATACTGTTCGCATTCTTTGCTGTGATCTTCCAAAACTTGAACTCTCCAGCGCCGATAGGTGAGTACGTCGCGCAAATTCTACTACCGCGGTTCCTACCCACGATCTGGACCAAATTTGTCTGTGTTGGATCAATAGCCCACTTGCCAATCTCTTGAGGATTCCTCTCGGCGTTCAGGATATCGCTTGTGTAGAGAATCTGACCATCGTCGATGTTCCAAATTCGCATTCGGTGATCGAGGCAGACGGTGATCGCAAATAGGCTGTCCTCTAAACCGAAACTGGTGACCTGGATCGAGGTGGCTGAGCTATATTCCATGTTGATCTTGCCGTGCTTAATCGTGTGCTTCCCTTGGAAGGGAAGAAGACTTCGAAGGTTCTGTGCCCATCCCTGCACATTGAAGAACGATTCTCTCCAAACGTTTGAGGATGTTACTGTAGAAATCAGCATACCATTTTTCGATTCCCAATCCTTCAGCAACTCACCGTCATTCGCCTTGTTTTTATCCAATCTGATCATTCCTCCATCATTAACTGTCACCAGCAGGCTTTCCGCATTCACAGCAATCATACGGTGTGGATGCTTGAAGCCCAATCCTGCTGGCGCCTGGACCTTGCCCAAATCAGCGAGGCCGGCATCGACAGCCGATCTCTTTCTGAAGAAATCCGGTCGAAGAGTGAAGCTGTACAATTGGTATGCCTGATCGAGAACAAAAACACATAGCGAGTCGTGCTCTTCGTGATCCGAGAAAGCCACACATCCTGGCTGGATTGGCACCGAAAAGTGGAAGTTCAAGTGAAGAGGAAAGTCGGCGGCTTGTGTTTTCTTGCAGACGTCGACAGCCCGAATGCTGAGTAGTGTACCATCCTCAAGAACTCGCCAGAGGAAGCTACGGGGTGTATCGTGCCAGATTCGATGATAGATAGATGAAGAAGTCGCCAAGTTTTTCACTCGAAATGTTGTCTCGTCCTCCGAACTGCCTTCTCCTGCCGCTTTGCGATGGTTTCGGCCGTGGATCGAATTCGACGGTACTCGGATCGTAACGACAGAAGCAGCCGTCGGAGGGTCGAGGTTTACTCTTGTCTCTTTAAAGACATACTGCGTATCGCCTGAGTCCATTTCGACCCCATAAATCGGATCGATCGTGACGGGATGGTGTCGTGGGTTGGGCGATGTCTTCAATGTGATGGTCGCAAAGTGGTAGACAGACTTGGCGAAGTGCGGTCGCGTTGCCTAGCAGAATTTCTGAGGTGGAACTGTTGGTCGCGACCGCGCTAACCGAGAAAGGTAATCAGCTCTGGCTCACTGAATCACGAATCATAATGGAATATCAAGACCAGGCAGCGCACGTCTACAGTATTGCCTTTCTTTCTTTCCCTTTTATTATAGGTATATCAAGGTAGGTCATTGGTGACAGTTTCTTTTATTAAAGAGAATTCACTATGTTAGGTAATCATTCCCATAGCCCATACTCCTTCCCAGAACAGTTCCATACCATTCCAAAAAAAA